AAATTTACAACTTTCTGTTCTCTATAATCGTCAGAAAAATCCCAGAATCATAAAGCGTTCTGCGAAATAAAAAAAAAAACTATATAAAGGGGCGAATTTTTTTGCCAAAAAAGTCATAAGTTACAAAAAAAAACTCTTTTCGGGGATTTCTTTCTTTGATTGTTCTCTTCTTTTACCAATTAAAATGTTTGTATCGACTGAGAAGAATTATAATAATTAAGAGAACAAACTTAAAGCCAATATTCTTCATCAGAATATAATCAATAAACTACAAACTTGTCATTTGTAACTCACTCATCTCCATAATGTCTTGAAACTCTCGAGTAAAGTGTGGATCGAACGCTATTATAAGTTTAATTATTGACCCTGAAAGTACCCCTTCAACATTTTGATTGAGTATTTCCTTGAAACACTTTAAGCTTCCTTTTCAAGTTGCCAGTCCATTACCGCGGTTTTAATCCCCACTCCAACAACTTAATTCGGTTCAAGTTATCATTTATCAATGTAAATAGTTTCGAGTTTTACTTCCATTTACATTTTTTAAATTAAAACCATCGCGATCATATTTGTAAGGCTTTCTGTAGTAATGATTTATATAGTATATAATTAGATTTATAATGTTATATCCTGGATAGCGCACTCAAAAATATTGTTTAAAATGGTAATTAATTATTAATTTTACCTGTAGTTGAATTTATTAATTAAATTTATTATTTATTTTATATAAATTATTATATCATTGTAGTACAAGAAGATCACATTTGAGCCATAAAACTGAAAAATTTTTAATTCAAAAGTAAACTGATAATAACAATAAATATATAACCAAGAAATAATTATAATATAACTAATAAATTAAAAATGTAAAAAAATATTTAATTTTTAAGAATTCAGTAAACTATTTTTATTCTTATAAATTTTATGCTCTCAATTACTAGCCGTCTAACCTTGCCTTGACCCTACAATAATTGAACCGCTTCTTTTGTTCTCATTCAAAATTTAACTGTAGCGTGCGTTTATCCGCCCCTGAAAGCTTCAATTCCCATTTTGCATGTTTTCATTCCAACCGCCGTGTTGGTCTTGTGATTTTTAAATGGAAAAGCGGCTGATTATAATTAATGAGACGCAGCCTAGGGCAAGAAGGGTCTTGTTATGGGCTGACCCAGATTTGCGGTGAATCCCCGGCGACTTCAGCGCGCAAACCCCTTTGCCTGACAATGGCGACCACCCTCAGCAATTGCTCACGGGCAAGGGTCACTTTCTTTCTTTCTTTCTATCTGATCCTTCCATCTTTTCCTTCCTCGGCACTCCAAAGCGAAACAAAAAAGCACGATGACGACATTTGTCTCCCTTTCTCATTTCGTTTACATCCCTGAGAGTCCTTTGGGGCGGACGATGGCGAAAAATTATTGCTGCAAAAAACAACAACTACTGTTGTCTCGACACGCGGCGAATCTGGAACGTCCCCTTGGGACTGTGGATGTTAATTTTTCATGTTTCAATTTAAAATGCTCCAGTTGCAAATTAAAATTGCCTGTTGAAAACTTAATACGTTTTTGCGTTACAATTCCAAGGCATGATGGTAATTTTTCAGAAAAAAATAGTACATTTTATAAATAAAAAATTGACATTTTTACTACTCGTTTGTGAATTAATTATTAAAGTATTCTTTATCAGGAGGATTAATTAAAAAAAGAGGGGATTTCTATTTTACAAGAGTTTTCAAACTGATAGAAATTTAAAAGTAATTCTTGCATTGTGAATGAAGACTGAAGAGATGTTGAAATTTCTTGTCATCTAACTTGATACTGTTATTGTGCAATAACACCTTTCGTGTTTTATTGAAATATTAAAAATGTAACAAAGTAAAGAGAATCAGAAATTTTCAATTTGAAATATGGTATTTGTTTGAAGAAATTGACACTTGATGAGATATGATCATGGAAGTGAAGAACTCGGGCTTTTTCCTCGCTGTAGAAAAAAAATTTGCGGTCTTCTTTTTTAATAAAAAAATTTCTTTGAGGAAAGAGCCAAAGTTCTTCTCACTTCCATTAAATAAAATAATTTGGAGAGGCTTTCAGTGACATATTTCAAATATTTATTAGATTCTTGAACTTGATTTAAGAAAGTAGGAATTTCTTGAAGATCTAAATTTGGGTGATCATTCAAAATACATATTTAATTTAAAGTTTACATTTATATTGATTTCTGTTTTAACTGTTTAAATTTACTCCTTTGACTGATAGTCTACAGAGCCACTAAATTTTATTTGTATTTTCTTTAATAATCAAAAATAATTTATTATAATTAATTGATTTTAATTTTATAATTTCTTAAGATTAATTCTTATTTTTTTTAATGATATTAAATAATTATTTTATTTTATTAGTAAATTTTAATTTATCCTTTTAATAACATAATTGATTTTTAAACTATATACGTGCAACCTTTGTGCTTTTAAGTTCATTTTAAAATTCAATATTGTATTGCCTTGCCATTAGCAAAATTATAAATCTCCCTATACTATAACTATTAATTCATTATTACCTACTAAAGATCGAAACATAATTGAATTTTGAATTTCTCAGCCATTGGACAGTATTAAGTCAAAAATTTGAAATTTTTATGAATATTTCATATTTTAAAGATCAAAGCCTAGGCTCGCTATGATTCAAACTTGTTTTCAAGTAAAAACATTTTGAAGAGACACCTGTGAGGAAGCTTGAAATTTGAAATACGTCTGCATTGTCCTTGTTACAATCAACAGTTTTTATTTCAAGTAGTATTATTTGCCGAGGAAAATCTTTTCTCAGTGAGGCAGAGTGACAAAGTATAATCCTGACCTGTTTTTTTTTTCTTCTCTTTTTACAACTTCAAAGGGTCTCTTTGCAAAACATCGGTGTGCCCAGTCGCGACGTTACCCGCTGACCCAAATTCGCTCACTCGAATTTCTATTCGAATGCGGCAAAGTGAAATATTTAAGTGGCGCCGCGAAATGATAAAAGTGAATCGCAAAGCGCTGCATACATTACACGCCGGCTGCACATGAACATTGAACATGCCAATTTGCAAACTGTGTTGCTCTGCAGTGCGGCGGCTTAAGTCAGAAATCCGGGCGAAGACACGACCCTTTTTGCTCGTCCCGCAAACACAAATTGTTCGCTGGTGATAAATTTAATACGATTAGTATTATTTTGCAACAGAGTTTCCGCCAGATCTGTTGATGCGAATCGCAAAGCAAATATTAATGGAGCTAAACGTTGATTTTGTTACGGTGCTGGACACGTTCGTCCCAATCGCACATTTTGAGTGCAAAATCAACAAAACTCTTTCATCCGAATAGCAAAAAATGATGTGTATTTGATAAAATATAGATTAAATATTAAAACGTATTGACATTAAACCAAAAAATAAGTGGGATCCACAAGGAAAAACCTCGTCAAAATAATTTAAACTTTGTAAAATAAAGAGATCGGGCTTTCCTTGTTGCAAAATGTTGTTTTTATTCAAAAACAAATGTCTCTGCCAGTTTGGGTCACGATAATTATGCGACCCTATTTTACGAACCAGAAAAATATAAAAAATTCAGAAAATCGGAGAACACCACATTTTAACGTACAAATTAAAATCTTAAAACCAACAAACATAACTGGTAGAGTCAATTTTTTTTTAATTAAAACAGTTTTTGCAACGAGGAAAAGCCTAATCTTTGTTTATTCAAAATCATTTTCTTGAGTATCAATTTCTTCAAACAAAGTTGTAAAATAAGTTTTTAATTATTATTTCGTTTCTTAATTTAGTAAGAAATATGTATTTTATTAAACATTTAAATTTTATATTATATGAATTTTTTATAATTATTTGATATTTTTTAAATAAAATATTAATTTTAACTTATACTATTATTTGAATTTATATAGATACTTGTAGGAGTAGGCAAGTTTTACTTTAATCTGAAATAACTTTTCATTAAGAAATCTTTTTTCATCTTAATTGCTCAAGGTATTCAATTAAATTTTAGATCAATACAAATTTAACGTTATAAAGTTATAAAAATCAACTCTTACTTTGGTTTGCCTTGAATTCATTTTTTATCTGAGAGGTATTATTTTTTTCCAACCTTGGTGCTCTCTAAATAAAGCTACTTTTAATTTTTATCAGAATTATTTCGTATCTAAAAGGCATCCTGATTTTGATGTTGAACGTTGAACCTTGCTTTATAGGGCTCAAAATAATGCTGTTGTTTTAGTCAGTTTAATTTTCGGCACTTTTGACACACAAAGGGTGCGGTTTTGACGAAGAAAACGAAAGCAGCCCTCGTTCCGCAGTTGATTAGCCGCGGCCGCTATTGAATAATTAGTTGGACAGGCACACAATGCACGCCGAGGGCCGCATGAATATTTCACAAATTAATTTGTCATAATGCGCAGGGCGCACAACAAAACACGCATACATTCTCGTATTTTAATAGAGAGGCAGGTTTGCCCGAATGAAATATAATGAAACGTGCCGCAATCCCAAACACACACCGCCAGTTCGCTACTCTTGCTCGGAATTTAAATAATTATTATTATTGCGGGGAATTGTGGAGGAAGGTGAGTGAGTGAGAGAGAGAGCAGTGGTGTTGCCACTGGAGCCGCCCGCAGTCGGTCTCTTGTCACTCACACACCATTTTTGTCTCGAGCGCCGCTGCTGCTTTTTGTTTTTTCAAAGATTTCGCGGAAATTCCCGGCACTTTTGTTTTCCCCGACCAAGAGTGACGGGACAGGTTTTGCTAAAAAAAAAAACTACACAGTCGGGATATTTATCAAAAGGAAAAGTTAAAGTTTAATTTAAATATTTTTACCGATTTTTTTTCTTCGCTTTTATATAAAGCGAAGCGGCAGCGGTGCTTCTTTTTCGAGCCATGTTCTCCGAGTCAGAGTGAGTGCCGCGCTGTGTAATTACTGGATTAATTGGTTTATTGTTGTTGACGGCGTCTGTCTTTTGTGTGATTGCAGAGTGCGGGTGGAATACTACGTGAACGAGAATACCTTTAAGGAGAGACTGCAACTCTATTTTATCAAGAATCAACGCTCAAGTAAGTGCAATTTTCTACACAATCATTCGCCTTAATTGCATGAGAAATTGCGACGAGGAATTTCCACCTGCACTGCAGACGCGCCGTGTTATTTTATTGTTTCTTTTTTTTTATAATACATCCGCTTGAAAATTGCACGGATCACAGGCTGTAAATTTTAATTCTGCGAAAATTATTTGCAACACGATCTCTGATCCGAGGGCTCTGATTAACAATTTTAATTGTAATTTATAATAAAATTCCTGGATTTATTATTAAGTTTTATTTATTAAAGTTTTATTTTTAAGCTTATTGCATAGACATTTTTTTTTATTAAATTTATTTTATAAAATGTTAGTTTACAATTTTTACTCTAATTTAATTCTATTGTACAATGGTTTTGCCAACATTTTAATCAAATTCAAGTTTTTATTTATTATATAGTTCATTCATTGCTCTACAATTTTGCAATACATCAGTATACAAAAGTATCATCTCAGAAACAAACATGCCGGAATGAAGAGATGAATTTATCATTATTTATATCATATATCAAATTTTTAAAACACTTTTATGAACTATGAGTGCTTAAATTTTATAACTTTTAAAGAAATTTAATTAATAAATTAATTAAATTTTTATTCTATTAACCCTCTTAACCAAGAGAATGATATTGAGGAGAACGTTGATTGACATAGTTCATGCCAGAATTATTGAAAGGCCATTCAAAGCAATTCACAAGCAGAGGCGAGCTCAAGACAAGAGTCAACTATTATTGCAATTATCATTATTGAGCCATTGTGAAGAATTTTGTTGAAATACTGCAATGACAATTGAATCAATTAAAGTCCTTCATAATTGCTCTAATTACTCTCACTTTATATCATGTTACTGATGCTCTGAACTCCTTTGCAGATGATTGGAAATTAAATTTTATTACTTTTTTAAGTAAATTATCTTGTAAAATATGAATTTATGTAAAAATAAACTATTGCTATTAAATTTAGGATTATTTTAATATGAAATTTACTATAAAATTTTATATTTGTATTAAATTTATATTTGTATAATAAAATTTATTATTTATTCCACCTTTTATAATAAATAATTACTTTTTTGTAGTATCTATAATTTTTATTTTGTAAAAAAATATAAATAAATTTAAGGGGGTTTTAAATGAAGTTTTAAAATAAAACGCAAACGTTAGTAAATTAATCCTTGGTATGATGAATTATTGATGTGCTATTGGCTGATTTGATGCACCCCATTAATCACATTGTTAATTCAGAACAGGTAGCTTGACGCGCGAGTAATTACAGAAACGTCAAGCGTTGATAACATGCACGTGTTTTTAAAGGGTTGCGCGCGCGTTCCGTTTTACTATTTCCTAACTTTGCTCTCTCAAGAGGGGCAGATTCTCAATTAGCAAAAACGGCTCCTCCTGTGGAATAAAAAGCGCTGTCTGCTTAATTCGCTGCCAATTAAGAGATCGCAAGAGAGCGAAATTGCTGCTCCCTCTCTCGTGCAGCTGCGTTCGGCACTTGATTACTTTGTTTTCGACTTCCAACAAGAGTCGAAAATCGTTCGCCAAACTTCTCGTTCCAATAATTAGTATTTCAATTGAGCAGTCCGGCAAGAGTTCATGCAAAATTGTTTAGTAATTCTTTAGTAAGTTTTGTAAAATTTTACTAACCGGGCCACGAATTACTATCATTTTACTATGTATATAAGTCATATGTAAGTAAAGTTGGAACAACTGGGATGTCAAAAAAAAAACTCTTGCTATTAAACTTCCAAGAAACTATAACATAAAATTTATTTTAATTTTGTATAATATCAATTAAATTTTATATTTTAAGGTCCTTTCCGTGATAATATGCTGATGAAATTTTACAAAAAAAATTTACTTTTTGAAACTTCACATATGCGCCGAACGAAAACCGGTTTTTTATGGCCGGTATCCTTTGCATATAACCGATTACTGGCAATCAAAGTAAAAACGAAAAATGCTCATATTTTTCCACTGAGGAATGAAAGTAGTACGAATAAGGTATTTTTCGATCCCAAATTTAACCTGGAACCATTATTTATGCTGCTTATATTTTTTGCATTGGAAAAAGTTAAAAATTTTAAGAAATTATAATTAGCGTTTAGGTTATTTTGCCAAAATAACCGGTTTAACTTTTTAACGGCATGAAATAATTGAAAATTTTTCGTGCGAAAGTGAAGTTAGCCACTATGGTTCTCTATTTCCAACATAAAAACACTTTGGAACGCGGCTACTTTTTGTGTGGCAAGCTTTAAAAAGCATTATTTGTAAATTTTCCTGCTTCGGAGATAGGGCTATTTTAGTAAATCAGCTGTAACTTTTGATTGGTATGAAAAAAAGTTTTGAAATTTTAAACACTTCTTAAGGACATGATGACAAATCGTTCAATGTGCCACATGACCAACCTTTCCTGGCTTTCCCACATTTTCCAACCCTATTTGACCCTTGTTGGGAAATTTTTGATTTTCTCAAAAATGGAAAATGCAAAAATAATTTCCTTTGGGGAAGTTTGTGCCTATGAGTGACGTCAAATTTTGGCTATCTCAGATTTAATTTTCCGCTTGCATACCTTCAGGGGCAGGCATCAAAATTTTTTGACCCTGATTTCAGGGTACTTAACCCTTTCATAGAAAAAAATTGTCAATGCAAAAAACATAGGAAATTTAATCAGCTTTCAGAATATATGCTGTTTTTTGTTGTAGGACTTATACTTAATGAGATACAAGTGGAAAAGCAAACCCCTTTATAACTCAGCCATTTTCCGGAAAAGTCGGAAAATTTTTTCATAGAAGCTCTTATAATGGCTAAATAAAAGCAAAAAATGGGTTGCAATTATTTTGTGGTCATTTTTTCAAATATTGGCAAATTTAGTGGGCGTAACCTTCGATTTTCACTGAAAGGACCTTAATACTAAAATTTATTATTTCTTCCATTTTTTACAATAAATATTTCCTTGTTTATAGTTTCTATAATTTTTATTTTGTAACAAATATAAATAAATTTAAGGGGGTTTTAAGTGAACTTATAAGGCTTACGTTAGTAAATTAATCCATGCGGAAGTCAGTTTGTCGTGTTTTTGGATATTCATTATTTAATTCGTATATCGCGTAAATATTATTATAATTTTGTTTATTCTTTAAAAATCAGGAAATACAGTAAGAAAAAAATATTAATTTCATTTTTAAAACATCTCAAGGAGTTTTGCAACCGAGACGAATTGATAAATAAAGGAGATTGACAGATAAAAAAATATATTAATTATTAAATACGTTTAGTTCAAAAAGTCAGTTTTTTTATTAATAAATCATTCCTTCACATGAAAGAATAACCTTGCTTTTTAATAAAACCAACACTATATAATGTAATATTTTTTTTTCATATATTTATACAACGTTGGTATTTTTCATGAAAAACAAAATTCTCTGGAAAATTCACGGTTGCCGATCTGACAATAAACACAAATAATTCAAGTCAGCAGAGCTGCGCACTGGTTTGGCCTTTGCAATCTCTCTAGGGGTGCATGAAATATTACATTTGACTCTGAAAATCAAATTTTGTGATGAAAAATGTTTAAATTATTCTCAAATCTAAGGATAAATAATTAATAACTGCTCTTTTCTCTGTTACAAAGAAAAAATTACACAAAAAGGTTACTTCATAAATTAGAAAGATGCCGTTTTTCAACTTTAATTAATTTAATAATTAAATAATTGTAATTTATAAAACCTAGATTACTTTTTACCTGAATTATATTCGTGAACAACAACGATTGTGACATGAAAACTTCTTTTATCCAATAAATATGTTAACCAAGCACGTTGGCTCTCATTAGCGCTAATCTCAAGATCAATATATTAATCAAGCGGGACTTAATCTCGCTTTCAAGTGCTGCATTTTTACTCTTCAGAACATATGGTCGGTGGCTTTGTATGCACATAAACCCACTTACGTGCTTGTTGGGCAATCTACATATGAACATGGCCATTTTTCGATTCGAAAAGTGAACAGGTGTGTCGGGGTAAAACCGGCACTTCCTCGCGCGACCACTGATGGTGCTTGCTGCACCATTCGTGGCCGCAGCTGAGAGACAGACAGGGCATCAGGTGACAGAGCAGCAACATTGATAGATGAGTCTTTTATGTGAAGCCAAGTGACACAGTTGCGTTTTGTAATATGTGCAAAGAATAAGGCCAAATAATTACATCAAACCTTTGAAAGTAAGTAAAAATTGTGTGTCTATTAATTCTAATTACCCCAACCAAAATGATTATGAATTAAATAATTAATCTTAGCATCAGGGATTATTCGTTTCCCGACAAATGGCGCCCAACTAACAGCCCCCCCGACCTATGATGTAGTTATCTTCATCCCCCGTGACCCATGCTGTAGATTTTTTTATCCCCCACAACCCCGCTGATCGGATGCATTTTATCCGTTCACCCCGCGACGCGCGTGAAACCCCAGCATCCGCCGAATAGTCCCCATTTAGCCCATCAGCCAGACGCCCAAGCGTCGGTCATTTGACGCCCCTGTTTGCATGTGCAATGTGAGCCGTACTTGCAACGGTTTTTCTGCTGCACAATGCCACCGAATAAGACAACGATACCCCTGCTCCCCGATAATTTCCATGGCACTCCACATGAAAATGCTCGCGGTCATGTCAGTATGTTCAAAAAATGCCGAAACATAGCTGAGTGGTCCGACCGTAAAGCTCTTGCGTATTTCCTGTTCACACTTCGTGACGATGCTGGCGACTGGGCCGATTTCTATTTGGCCAACCCTGCCAATGCAAACAAAACTTTAGACGAAATTTACGCCGATTTCATTGCGCGTTTTTCACTCACTTCAAAATTGCACGCAGAGCACTACCTGTCGAACCGCAAACATCAGCCAGACGAACGCCCGGAATTTTACATCCATGACATGGTCCGCTACGCTCAGAAAATTGACCCGAATTTCCCCGAATCTGCCTTGGTCCTGCGAATAATTCATAATTTGCAACCAAGTCTCCTCCGCCAACTTGGCGCTCCACTCCCGAAAACGATTACCGAATTGCTTGACCGAACCACAACTATTCATGGCTTAAATCAATTGGCCAATGGCACATTCGGAAATCCCAACAAGAAAAAGGTTCACTTTCAAGACGAGCCGTGCGAGCCGGTGGAACCTGACCCCGTCGAGAAAAAGCGAGCCCGTTGCTCCCACAACGCGCAGCTCTCTTCAGTAGCTCTGGATGACACTTCTTTAAATTCGTCACAAAAATCCGAAACTCCGACGAATGAATTTTCGGCTCAACTTTCCACTTTAACTCAACAAGTGACAAGTCTCCAAAATTTGCTCCAGGTCCAGAGCAGCCAAAACTTTCAGCTTTGCGCCTTCTGCGCCCAATTCGGCCACACTGAAGAGCACTGCTTTTCTCAAAAATTTGCAGCAATGCAAGACGAAAATAAAAAGCTGCACGCGATGTTGGAAAACTGATAAGGAGGTCTGCCGATCAACCCCCAACGACAGACCTCCCAAATCAGCAACCCTCTCTGATCATGACGTCAACTCAACCAGTCACACCCTCTTTTCTTACCCCCGACGAATCAGTGGGTAAAAAATCACTCTACCTATCCCCTTCTCCTACCCCTCTCCTTGCCGAGGATGCTGTGCACCCCACTGCGTCGAGTTTATCATCCGGACCCCAGACACCTCAATTTGGCCAAAAATGTCTGGTATCTCCGTCACAAACTCCTCGCCGTATGGTTAACCGTCCGAACGCAACCACCCAATACCAATACCCTAAATCACCAAAAATCAACCGATCAATTTTTGGGCATCAATCTGGACCCCTGGCAGCTGAAAATTGCCATGTATCTCCAGCCAATACAGCCCTGAATTGTGTTTCACTTCCTATCAACATTTCCCAAACTTCCATACCAAAAATTGACCACCTGAATGATTCTCTCACAAATGAAACTCCGCAGCGCACAATACCGCGCTTCTTTGAGGCGACCGATAGGCCTCCCCCCTCCGCCAAAAAAACCCCCAAAATTTTGACTCCAAGTGCACATCTCATTGACCACCGCAATAAAAATGACTCTTACGCCACCGATAAGCCATCTCCACGCATACTTGAGACAAGTGCACTTCCAATTTCACAACAAACAACAACCGCGATCTTAATGAATGACAAACTGAAAAATGATTACTGCTCCACTCAAGCTTCCAGCGCCTCCGATGCGCGCTTGCCGTGGCCGTTTTGTGCCACTGATCGACCACCACCTTCTCCTCACGAGAATGCAAGAAGAAAATAAATGCTGGATTTATTTCCAATTAGAATAGTGGGAATTTTATTGCTGCCTGAGAATTAATCAGTCATTTTCAATAATAAAATCAGTAGCAACTCAATCCTAGAACCAAAAAAAAAAAATAATAATAATAAAAAAAAGAAAGGAACACAAAAAACAAAAACTCCATGCAATCAAATGATTAAAAAAAAAAAAAAAAAAAAACTTGTAACTGATGTTTTCCGCAGTTACCATTATAGTCCCGGGAGTAGCAAATTTAGGTTTAGAAAAAAAAATTTCTTCCTTATCCACAATATCCCCAAGAAAAAAATACGTTGTTGCTAATCGAATTTTCATTCCAGAATTTTGCCAATTGCCAATGACGTTGTATGACTGTGACCCTTCGACAGAGATGCCGCACGCAATACCGCACTGGCGTGCCTTTAATAAAAAAATCTAACTTTCAGCCTCAATAGCGCCTTATGCGCCCACGGCTCCCTCTGAGCTCCCCCTAAATTAAACGTCTTAATATGTCTGAGGGTTATGAGCACTTTAAATCCCTTTTTTAGATTTAAACACATTATATTTTAAGATTAAATCAATCACACAATACACAATAAAACACAAAACCATCATTCAAAATTCACGAACAAACTGTACTTTCGGCAAATCCAAAAATTAAAATGTAAAACAACACAAACAAATGCATGACACAAATTTATTTTCAACTCGCTCAAATCATTGCTTTGCGCACAAAATTGGAGTTCAGTCCTTCTCAATTTTGGTTCTCAAAACCACATTTCATTCCTCCACTACAAAAAAAAAAAAAAATGCATCTCCAACTCGTAGGTATATCTGCTTCTGTTGTCCCGGGGGGGAAAAGCCAGTTTGCTTCGGGGCCTCGTCCACCCCATTTAAGCAATGCCTGCCCTGGGTAGCAGCGGAAGTAGAGAAAACTGCTGAGAAACAACTCCTATTTCTTGCGCAACGCACCCCAAGAATACGACAATTAAAATTTTAACTTCACAAACCAATTAAATTGAACAACAAAAAATTAACTTCTCAAAATTAATTCAACACAAATACCCTCCAGTGCTCAATTGAAAAATGTATCTTTACTTTTAAGTTGTGCTCAATTGAAAATGTATCTTTCAATTTATGTGTTCTATTGAAAATGTGTATCTTTGAAAAATTAAATTGTTGTCCTCATGTCACCGATGATCTTGTCTCCTCTCAGCCGGGGAGGTGTCGGGGTAAAACCGGCACTTCCTCGCGCGACCACTGATGGTGCTTGCTGCACCATTCGTGGCCGCAGCTGAGAGACAGACAGGGCATCAGGTGACAGAGCAGCAACATTGATAGATGAGTCTTTTATGTGAAGCCAAGTGACACAGTTGCGTTTTGTAATATGTGCAAAGAATAAGGCCAAATAATTACATCAAACCTTTGAAAGTAAGTAAAAATTGTGTGTCTATTAATTCTAATTACCCCAACCAAAATGATTATGAATTAAATAATTAATCTTAGCATCAGGGATTATTCGTTTCCCGACAAGGTGTTCACAGAAAAGTCAGCTGTTGCAATTAAAACGATTAAAACGGTGCTCGCGCCGACAGATTTCGAGCTGCACTGCGAGTGTCAAGACATATATGCGCGCACACGATTTTTTTTTTAAATATAAACGCCGAGCATGCAATGAGAATATTACAGAAGCTATCTCGGCTCGAATCTTGTTTTACTGCCGGGCCGAAAATTGACGTGTCAGGCTGATAAACGAACTTGTGAATAAATGTACACACATGTGTGATGAATTTTCAGAGATATTTCGACCGAAAAGCACTTTTTGCTGTGTAGGTTTATCAGGGAATTATGCCACGAGAGCACGGTTTAATGCTTTTTATTAGAATCTTGACTGCGGCCTAAACGCTAGCAATTATCCTCGATAACTATCCAACAGCTTTATGGACATAATATTATATTAGAAGTCGAATTTTGTAATGTTTGTATTACATATTTTTAACCAATTCCATCCCCACTCCCATGATACATTTTGTGTATACATTACTTCAGTATATAATCATATTTCTCAATTTTATTTATTAATTTAGTTTCCCAATGCGTTAATTTTTATTTTAATTAGTTCATAATATTTAATAATTTTACTTTTATGCCTTATTAAGATTGAAAATAGAGTAAAAAATAATATTATAAACTAAAATTATGTAAAAATACCATACATGGGCAGAGCGCACTTTGCGCTCTGCGATCTGCGCTCTGCGCTCATGAGCGCGATCGCAGAGCGCGAGCGCATTGGTCGCTGAGCGCAGCGCTCAATTGCGCTCATTTTGCGCTCAAACCAAAAGTAAAAATCCCCGAATTTGATTAAAAATTGTAATGAAAAACAGTGTTTTTATACCAGAAACTTCAAAACTGATCCCAATTTTGATGATTTAACTTCAACTTTATCATTTCCAATTGCCGATGTATTTTTTGTTTTATTAAAAAATTGTCTAAAAAGTCGCACTTTTTCATCGGATAAAAATATTTTTGAGCGCAACGCGTGAGCGCAAGACTTTTTAAAAATTTGAGCGCGAGCGCAACATTTTCAAAATCTTGAGCGCGAGCGCAGAGCGCGAGCGCAAAATTGTTGAGCGCACCCATGTATGAAAAATACAAACATTTTGAAGTATTTAAAATCATTATTTTAATTGAGATATTTTTTTTTTTTAATTCTCATAAATATAATGTTAAAACCTTTTCAATTGTAATGCAGGTTGCCAACTTTGTGGCCTAATTGGAACACAATCCTTCCTTTCAATTTAATTATAACTATTTCCCTTGTAGTTATTACTCCAAAAATAGACTGTCCACCTCTATTTCTGACAAACATTAATAGCCGCTTTGGCCTTTTGCTTTCAGGTCTTCGTATAAGAATAGCGAACCTCTTTTTTAAGCTACTGACATGCATCCTGTACATAGTGCGTGTAATCACCGACTCGGACCCCAACTTTGCTGCGTGGTGAGTTTTGTTTTGCTTCATCAAAGTTTCACGCCGGTTTTGATCGAGTTTTGCCTGCTCGGCCATACCTGTTTTCGCCGAATGGATTCGTCTGCTAATCCGTCGATATATTTCCACCAAAATGTGTATTTTTATATATTTGCTCTGACATAATGCAAAGGCTTGGTTCTCCCTTTTCATTGTCGGTCGATACCAAATTGATTTCTAATAATGCTCTGCGGTCGTCCGTCATGGGCACATCATTTCCCTCGAGGGCCCGCGGCGCTTCCCGACTCTCGGTGCCGCCGCGTTTTTCTCGAAAACGACCCAGTTGCATTCACGAGTGTTTCAAAAAATGTCGCTTGCCTTTTCGTCCTTAACATTCAAAACGTCCTTCAATAAATCCTATTCAATCCGATCGAATTATACGAAAATAAAAATGGAAAGAAAGTCTCAATTCAAACTAAAAAAAATCGAATTTTTTCAAAATATGTATGAAACATTTTGTGCAAGCCGAATTTTTTTTCTTCTCAACAATATTTGCTAATTTGAAGAAGAAAAATAACAATTAATTTCATAGACTTTTCCTTTTTATTTAATTACATTGAAATGAAATTCAAAATATTTGCAATAATTGTTATTCGCCAAAATATTTTATTATTAGAAAATTGAATTTAAAAATAAGTAGAAAGCCTACTTTTTCTTGTTAAAAAAAAATAGTTTCACTGTATAAAAATTAACTCTGCGAGTTTTGATCATGATCTGCACCTTGTTTCATGATGAGCAAGAAAACTAAAAAATAAATTTGAATTGACAGAAAGAAAACTAAGTAAATTAACCATTTCCTTCTCTTATCAAACATAATTTCAAATGTTTATTAAAGAATTAAACTAACGAAATTTTACTTATAAAAAGTATTATTATAAAATTAATTCTTTTTTATTTAACTCTATTTATACCATTTTCCCAAGCTGTTTGAGCTTTTTAAAGAAACTTGTCCCATATTGTTTGTCTAAACATTAACTCGGTGAAGTCGAGCATTATTGGCTAAACCAAGAGCAGAATCCTTTTGTGCGACAAAGCAAATAAACAAAAGGCTTGTTAGACGAGCAATTGATTTGTTAGCCGCCATAGAGATCTTTGATTTCACTCGGCTTCTCCAATTTCCAGCTACGGCTGCACCCCGGGGAACAAAACACTTTACATCCTCGCGAGCAACTTGACAGACGAAAAGTTCCAAGAAAATCCAATCATCAACTGGGACGCAATCCTCTGGGTCAACAGGCCGCTCGAGTTGTGGGTCGTGCAGGTCATCCTTGCCATGATCAGCCTGGCCGAGGCTCTGCTGCTCGCCTATCTCGGATACAAGGTGCATTTTTGGGGGGCAATAAATTTTTATTCGTTTTTATTGAAGCTCTGTTTTTATTGATTTTTTGAAATTGAAATAATAAGAGGGTTGCTAATGTTAAAACAATTAAATGTTTGGAATATATTTAGAACCTTTTTTGAAGACTAAAGACAAAATCAGAATATTATTTCAATTTTGTAGGGCAAAAATAATGTTTCGTGATTTTGATAATTTCATGTCAATCATGTTCTTGCCGTGAATTTAACTTAATATTTTGATATTAAAGATTACAAGTAAAAATTCAACTTTATTTCAGAAACAGACACATTTTTAATTAATTATACAATGCAAATCATGATAAATTTTACAGTTTTTTTGTTTATTTTCCAAAAAAAGCTTTCGACTTGTTGATGGAAAAAATTACATCAAGTATTATTTTCAATTGAAGCTCTTAGCAAAATGAAATTTTATCAAATTCGCCACATCATATTTCCAAATAATCTTAATAATTGTTTTTTAATAATATTTTTACCACAGTGACTATAATTATCTATTTTGTATACAATTTTTACTACAACTGATGCGTTTTTTGTTTACAAAGTTAACTTTTGGGTGGTCTTTGTAAGAATCAAATTCGTTTTTGTCGCATAATTTTTAACATCATTGCAAATTTTAATTTGATTTGAGCCGGGGAGGAAATTAGATGTCAAAGGCTGATGAAAGCAAGTTTCAAATTAGTTTAAACGTGCAGCTTTGAAGTTGCATTCTCGCTCTCGTCAACCCTCGCATTTCGCAAGAGACCCACTTTGCAGCTTAAGTGAATTAATATAATAATTTTCTTAATTTCCAGGGCAACATTTGGCAGCAGCTGCTATCCTTCCATTTTATACTAGAGCTTGTTAACACAATTCCCTTCATGCTTACGGTGAGTGTGCACTTTCTTTTGATGTGAAATTCTCTGCTCCACGGCATCAGAGCATAGAACGTGTAATTGCAATTTTAATAATTCACCCCTGAACTCTGCGATTGCAGCTCCTATGGCCACCCCTGCGCCATTTGTTCATCCCAGTTTTCCTCAACTGCTGGCTCGCGAAACACTCTTTGGAGAACATGTTTGTAAGTAAAAATAGTTTATTTAAAAAAATATAAATTAAATTTAAAATTACTTTATAATTTGTTAACTTTAAACTTATATTTTTTTTTATTCTACAAAATATTTTACATCTTTAATGTATTTAAACATTTTTTATATAATTTTTGTCACTCAAATTTGAATTAATTTAAATCGAAATTTTTCAAATTAAAATAGCACAGTATTTTTTTATAAATACTTTGCATTGACCTGGTCTAACTTGGAGATAAATTTAGATAATTATTACAGCCCAGGCATATTCTTCGTTAATTAACAAATTATTATATATTAATATTTGTAGGAGGTCAATACAATAATTTGCAAAAGTTCAAGTGTCAACTTGATGAATAATTAATTTTATAAAAAAAATCAATTGAGAAGTGAAACTAAAATAGCTCAACCTTTCGATTTGCAGAATGATCTGCACCGCGCCATGCAAAAGTCCCAATCGGCCCTATCGCAGCAGCTGACGATTCTTTCCGCCACGCTCCTCTGCCTAGTGTTCACAAGGTAAGAAATAATTCAGCGCGAAAGACGAGGGTGTGGCTATAAATAAGCTCGCTTTTCCGCGCCATATCGATCCGCGATCACTCGCCTTAATTAGTCATATTTCCCGCTCTCTTTTTATTTTTGGCAGCGTGTGCGGCGTGCAGCATTTCCAGCGGGCGGGTCACCGACATCTCAACCTGTTCCAGTCCATGTACTACGTGGTGGTCACCTTTTCCACCGTAGGCTACGGCGACTTCGTGCCCGACATCTGGCCCTCGCAACTCTACATGGTCATCATGATCTGCGTCGCACTTATTGTTCTGCCTACGCAAGTGAGTGCTTTTTTTTCAATAAGAATTTCATCAATTCTAAGAGGGAATTTTAAAAAATGACAAATATTGACAAATAAATTTTTATGAATTCTGTGCAATTTTGAAGAAAAAATCAAGGATTTGCTACGCATTTAATATGATTTATTTGCAGAATATAGAATATTTTATCTGATTTTTATAAAGCTTGGAATTTTTATTAAAGTATTTATGTTATTATTTTATTATAGATTAGATAGTAAAATGATTGATTCATTTTTTCAAGCAATTCTTGCTTAAAAAATCTTTCAGGATCTTTGCAACTCGAGTCATCTGACAATGAGTCTACACTAGCATTTTTGAGATTTTTTAGTATTTTTGATCATTGTGTGACAATTTGTTTGATTTTTTCTTAATTTAGAAGCAATTTATTATGTTTTTCAATATTTTAAATATTGGATTTTATATAATGTTATAAAATTATTTGTTTTTTTTTCAAGTAAAAATAAGTTTAAATCAAATTTTAACACTCATATTAACTGTTTTATTTAAATAAAATATAAATCGATATAGTTTAGTACCCAATGATAATATTCAATATTTATTTCTATATTAATATATTTTTTTATTTTTTATTTATAATTTGCTTATGCAACCGTGGCATGTGGTAAGAATTTCCGGTTGTTATGGAACTAACATCGTGTTGTTTTGATTGGACACATAGAAATAATTATCTGCAATTTGAAATATAATGTAAATTAATTAATTATTTTGATGATATCAATTTTTTAGAGTCTGCAAGGAAATGAATAAGAATATTTAATTACAACTTTTAAGGTTATGCTCAAATGATTTTCATCCAAAGCTGTGCGTGAGCAAACTTTCGAACGCAACCGCAAAGTCCATCAAGCAATTTGCCCTTTTGCCCAAGAAATAAACCACTCTGGCGCTTTGTTGCGAGCTCTTTTCGCTCTGAAATTGCGACCGAAATTGAATTTTCTTCTTGTGTGTGCTTGGCAGTTTGAGCAGCTGGCTTTCACGTGGATGGAGCGGCAGAAGCTGGGCGGCTCGTATTCCTCGCACAGGGCGCAGAGCGAGAAGCACGTGGTCGTGTGCAGCACCACCCTGCACGCGGACACCATCATGGACTTCCTCAACGAATTCTACGCACATCCCCTGCTTCAGGTATTTTAGCCTTTCAGACCCAATTTTTTGCTTTCACCCACCGCACTTTACAAAAAGAAGAAAAACTTCTCGCGCTGAAGAGATAAGAATTAGCATGCAGAGTAGGATAAGGGAATAAAGTGGAACTTCTCTTGCAAAGAAAGTGTCCCAGAGGAATATGGTATTCGTTTAAGCGAATGGCCTATTTCGTGCACAAAAGGGAGTTAGTTTTACTTTTACGATAACAAAAAATTCCTGCTAAAGTTGAAGAGAGAGTATCGCAGCACAGAAAAGGGTGGTTTTCATTTTCTGGACAATGAAGCCAAATTTAATGTAAATTTATCTGGCATTAATCATTCTTCTTTTTTTTCTTTTTTTTTTTCTTTCTTTGCTTCACTGACCGTACATATTTTCCATGAAAATAATTGTTGCTATTTAAAAATAAAATTTGGATGAAAATTTACATCGAAAGGAAATTAAGATAGAGGAATTACAGAATCACCAATTGTTTTTTTTTTTATCCTTTAATTTTAGGAAATATGCCAGATGAAATGAAGTGACTTTGAGTGGAAAGAACTCAATAAACGCTGCTTAAAGACACCATGCTTTCCTGGAAAATCTTGTGTGTTATAATTGGAAGTAGGATGAAACCAACAGAGGGATATCAGTGATGATTAATACCTTGTCTTGTGGAAGTTCTACGTGTGAAAGTTAGTTTAAATTAAACCAAAAGCTTTTTAAATACCCCCTGAGCAGATTTCTACTTGCCATTTTTACGGAGGGATAAATATAAAGGGTGTACTTTTCAATAATTGGAAATGGGATAAAACCAACAGAGGGATAAGTCTTAATCCAGTGATTGTGATCATTAATTGATAGAGTTTGTGGAAGTGCCACGAGGGCATTTCTCTCGATCCCTTATTTCAAAAAGTACTTTCGCGTGGGAATTTTTGAAAAAAATTTAGACACATATTTGAAATCTGCATAAAAAGATGAAATTAGCACAGTTTGATTCATATTCCGAGCTACTTTTGTGCATCCTTCAAATTATTCCAATGTTCAGGAAAATTCTATTATTTTATCCTTTTTCATTAAAAAATCAGTAGCGATCAATTTCAAATGTACACTATATACTTTTTTATTATATCAAATTTCTCCCCTACCTAGTAAATTCTTCTTTTATTCCGCTCCACAAACCACCACTTTATGCACCACTCACTTTCTGCATTACGAGATCGGATCTGCAGAATGGCGTGTCCGTGTTTGAAAGAACGGAACGAGATTTGCATGCAATTGTACCTGTCGGGGGGCGCAACAAGAGCCGCCATCGCTGCCGCATCCATCAACGTCGCGCGTCGTTATTGTGTCACCTGTAGTACGTGTCACTTTTTACGACTCTGTCCAATTCATGTGTCATTTTAATACGCGGCCACTCGTTTATTATTCGGCTCGGGCGCATTTCGACACGCTGCCAATAAAGCGGCGCGGAATGGGACACGGACGCTCCATTTGCCCGGTAATAAAATGCGGACAGACGCTGCTGACAATGGACAGCACACAGCAGACCTGCGGCTGACAGATAATTAACTCGATGATGCTTTCCTCAAATTCTGAGGGTGGATTTGCTTATAAATATAATTTAAGGAAAAATCTGTTTGTTTATACCTCATGATTCTTTATCCACGGCGTAATTATATAATAAACATCTTAATTGTTTTCATAAAATTTAAATTTCATTTATATTTATGATAGCAGTACTTTGAATTTTATTTTTAACTGCGATTCAGTTGCCACTGCACTGTAAATCTTGTTTTACAATTAGATGCATGCAACAAATAAATCAATCAAACGCGTTGGAAAACGGTTTTTTTTTCATTTCAATTCAATTCTTTATTGCTTCTTTATTTACTTTAATCTTCAAGTAAATTTTTTTTTAAATACTTTTATAATGACTAAACAACAATTAATAATATAAATTTAAATAAAAGTAAAGAATTATTAAAATATTTGCAACATATTTTACAATTAAAATATTTTAATGTCTTTTTTTATTTTAAATTTATTGTTTATGTTATAAATCAATAAACACTTAATTTCTAATTGAAATATAATTTTTTGACACCAAATTAATTATTATATTTAAATACTCATCCTGCATACATTGTTTGAAGTATATTTGCTATAGGTAATAAATTAAAATAATGTTTAGGTGGTCAATCAGTTGCGAATTGGGCAGCGTTTATTTATTTATTTACCATTCAGACACATTAAAAGTCACACAAAGTTTTACATAAAAACGGACGGTGATAAAAGTTTGAATAGACACGTACCTTTCAAGCCAAAGCACACGTCAGTTGGCAAAGGGTCGTGGATTTCTTACAAAAAATCTGGGATGAAAATTTGACGGATATTGGCGCGGAAAATATTTCGAAATGACAAAAAGTTTCCCGAATAAACGCAATATTGTTGAAATTCAAATAAAAATTTAATATCTCACATTCTTCTGAGAAACAAAAATGTGGCTACAAGAACCAAAGATTTACTTTTTGTCTCCTCTTTATCCTGAAGAATTTGGAGGTCATTTTCTAGAAGTTCAATTCCTTTGTTAATCTCTAAAATATTTTTTATCTAGAACTTTATTAAATAAAAACATTTGGAAAATTTGTCTATTAAATTTCAATTTCATTTAAAACCTATAATAGCAACTCTATGTATTGAAAATAAAATAAAAATTTAGTAATTCAGTTCAGTTGCTACTGCACTGTGAACTCTATTTTAACTATAAGTTGCATGAAACAAAAAAACCATTGGAATGAGTACCATTCTGTATTTAAAAAAGTTAATGTAAAGAATAATACAACATTAAATATTATAAAACTTTTTAATACAATTTAATTTTAAAATTTTTACTGCAATTGAATTATTTTTATTTCTTATAAAAATAATTTTACTTATTTTATTTTAAGTTTATATTTTGTACTATTATCAATTTATATTCTTTAAAGAATAAAATTAAAATATGCAGCTGTTTGCACTAATTTAATTATTATATATTTGCACAGTCTGCAATTTGATAACCATGTTAAGATATGAAATTATCACTCTTACGCTGCGTTGCAATTGTTTATTAATTTGCTATAATATTTATTAAGAAACATTGGAAGTAACAAAATATTTTACATCAAAATTGGTGGAGATAAAAATTTGAATTTACTCCTCTTTGCAAAATGCTAAATAACTTTCAACTTCAGTGTATTTCCTCAAAGATAATCAAACAAAACTGCAGACTTTTTGTCCTTGCAAGGCGAGTCTGCAGAGAGATAAACGCGGTTTATTATTTTTTTTCTCGACTCTGAAGAGAAACTTGACGGCAGCGGGGGATGCAAAAACCGCCCCGGCCCAACTGCCGCTGCTGTTTTATCTTTTGCGTCAAAGCCGAGCTCATTAGTGCAATAAAAGATGGAAGAGGGCCTGCGAGGGTGAATAATTGAATGAGAATGGCGGCGCCGCCGCGAGGTGTGCTTGCTCAGTGTATATGTTTATCTCGGCCAAAGCACTTCTCGCTGAAAAACGAGACGCGAGAGAGAAAAAGAAACACGGAGAATGAATAAGAGTTGCACACGCGCCCGTCCGAAAGAGCAGAAAGGGTTTTTTTAATTTAATGAACCTCCCTCACCTGTTTCTTTTCTGTGTGGCATTTGACTTTTCAAAAGGGGATGAAAGTTTGCCCTCTCTGAAAAGCTGCCAATTCAAGCCCTTAAACTAATTTACTCTTTCGTCGTTTCTCCGGAAAGTGAATTTTCAGAACGGAAAAATTATATATTTATAAGATTTTTGTCGGGGTCTTTTTTACAGGACTTTTACGTGGTGCTCCTGTCCCCGATGGAGTTAGACACGACGATGCGGATGATCTTGCAAGTACCAATTTGGGCCCAGAGGGTGATTTACATCCAGGGCTCGTGCCTCAAGGACGCCGACCTGGCCAGGGCGCGCATGAACGAGGCCGAAGCGTGTTTTGTTTTGGCGGCCAGAAATTACGCTGACAAAACTGCAGCGGTGAGTAACTAATTAATAAGAAGATTTTAATCTTTTATAACAAATTTCAAATAAAAAATAGAATGAAAAAAAACTCTGCCAGAAAGAAACATCAATTGATGGAAACAAATTAATATCAAATTGATTTGACACGAAATATAAAATTTAAAATAAAAATAGATAACCAAGTTACAAAATTTTACCCATTGAACTAAGTTAAAAAAAAAATTTGTGGTTTCATTAATGTATTTAAAAATTTAAAAGATTTTAAACAAAATATTCTACAAATTGTAAATATTACATAAAACTAAATATTATTAATCCTTTATTAAAAAAGTAATGCTTTGATAAAGCATTTTTTAATATTATATTCTTATTTTTAAATAAATTTTAATTTGGTGACAAAATCTGAAATCCGTTTTTTAACTTTTTTGTTAGGACGAACACACCATCCTCCGTTCGTGGGCGGTGAAGGACTTCGCGCCGAATGTGCCGCAGTACGTGCAGATTTTCCGGCCGGAGAACAAACTGCACGTGAAATTCGCCGAGCACGTTGTGTGCGAGGACGAGTTCAAATACGCCCTTTTGGCCAACAACTGCACGTGTCCTGGCACCTCCACTCTGGTCACCCTTCTGCTCCACACCTCCAGAGGACAGTACGTGTTGCAACTTCAGTATATTATTGCATCCATTTTTTTTTATTGAACTTCCTCGTAAATTGCCAGGATTTTAATTAAAATGACCTCGTGTAAAGTTTGATGAAAGAATTACGCCACAAAACGCCAATCAAGAGGCGAGGTTGTTGCGAAAAGTTTCCATATATTGCAGAGACACGTGTCTCGGTTTGTCCCACTTTGTATATTGATGGATGTGAGGAGGAAGTGATCTAAGGCAATCTGTGTTGGTGCAGGGAGGGCCAAACGTCCCACGAGGAGTGGCACCGTCTCTACGGGAAATGCTCAGGAAATGAAATCTACCACATTGTGCTGGGTGACAGCAGGTTCTTCGGCGAGTATGAGGGCAAAAGCTTCACCTACGCAAGTTTCCACTCGCACAGAAAGTAAGTAATCAGTGTTCCACTTTCCGCACAGTATGTAAAAAATCAATGGTATCGAAGCAAAAAATACTTAAATAATATTGTATTAAATATTAAATTTTAGTTCCTTTTTTCTAGAAAAAGTGTTATTAAAAATACTTTTTGATTTATAAGGAGAAATTTTCAAAATTGAATGATTGAGCCAAATTTTTGGTACTTAAACTGAATATTGCCAAATAAAATCTTCGCATCCTAATTAAATTTTAAGCCAAATTAGCAACAATTTTAATTATTAAATCGTTTAATAATTTTTTAAAATTTTTTATTTAACTAAGTTAGATAGAATTCCTGTTTTTTACTGATTTAAATTAGAGGGAAAAATCAGATTTGTAATTACAAAAGTTAATTTTATGTAAATTATGACGGAAGAGAAATTTATTACTTCCAAAATAAAAATCAATTAAGAAATTAAATTCAAGCATTTGAAAAAAAACCAAATTTTCTATGAACATTATAATTTAATTTATATTAAACTTTTTTTTTTAAATCATTCTCCACTCTAACTGACAAAATCCTTTTCTTAAAACAATAGTTTCCAAAAAGAACTGTCAACAGAAATTTCATTTGAAAAAAATGTTTATTTTATTAAGTTTCTTGCTCTTTACTACGCTTTACTAAATAAATTATTGAAACTAAAAATTGTCGCAAATATTTTTTTATTTCATTTTTAATTTGGTCAATTTGCGATTCAGGTACGGGGTGGCTTTGGTGGGGGTGCGACCGTCGGAGCTGCCCGAGTTCTACGAGGAGACCATCCTGCTGAACCCGGGGCCGCGGCACATCATGAAGAAGACGGACACGTGCTTCTACCTGAGCATCACCAAAGAGGAGAACTCTGCGTTCATCGTGGCCAACAACGCGACCTCGCCCGAAAAGGAGCAGGTGGCCGGGGCTGTGCCCGGCAGTGCTGCAGGCTGTGAGGCGGGTGCGGGCGCCGACAAGTCCCTGCAACAAACCGCCAACTCAATTATGAGTAAGCCCAATCATTGATTTGGACTGCCAATTTCCAATTTCCGCCCAACTGTTTCCAATTTCCACTTCGGAACTTATACGAACGAGTTGTTAAAATTTCAGCTACCATTACGGATGCGAGTGTTTGTGATTCTTTTGAGCAACTTCAAGAAACTCCCATTGGACCAAATCACTTAGGACTTCCAGTCGTAGACAATAATCCTAACTTTTTAAGTCCGGACACCTTAAGCCAAAGAAGAGGTCGAAAAACATTCAATTTTCAATTATCTTTAGTGAATATTTTCTTGTATTCAGGCAGTAGACGACCTAGTATTTTACCTGTACCAGACATGGTGACGAGTTCGACCCTGAACATCTCGACAGGCCCTCAGGACGAACCTGACGAAAGTGAAGACGAGCTGGACGACGACGTCCCTTGGAGGTCGCCGAGCGAGAAAATCACGTGAGTGCCGCTCGAGAAAATTGATAAAAACAATAAAAAGGCTAAAAGATTTTCACGCTTATTGGTGACTCGGAAAGATCTTGAAAGTTAAGCTCACCAACCACGCAGAGTAGCACAGAAACTGTGTCGTTTATAGCAATTAACTTTTCACACAATAATAGCTCTTCAATTGAGAAAAAAATTAAGACTACTTTAAGTGTCTGTCCTGTGTAACTCGTCCTATGTACATTCAGTGTAAAGTGTTCTTCCTTCGTTGGCTTGTCTCTCACTTCAGAAAATAATCCAAAATTTCTGCATGTTTTCGTACGTAATCTACGCTTTTTGTAAATAACAGTAAATATGATCTGAAATTTTCAACTGAATCACAAGTTCTTGCTAGAATATATATTTCTATTCCCAATTCTCTTGCAGCACTGCACTTTTGAGACTTTCTAAATTTTTTACTCTATATTTAGAATTTAAAACACATACACACACCCCAAAAAAATAAAGTAGCACTTTTTAACCAAGTAAATTCTAACCTTGTGTTCCCTTAAACACGAGCAACTCTAGTTGTTCCTCCGCTCTCAGTAGAGCAGACACGTACAAAATAAATAGCACGCTTATGTGATGGTCTCGTCAGATGGTTTGGTCACGATCTCGGAGACGATGATGTCTTCGAAGACGAGGAAACCGCCAACGAAGACGAAGAGAAGCCAATCTGGCATGACGAGTACAAGAGGTAAGCGCAACATACACGCTAGCCAAGTCCATCATCCTCCGTAGTGGATAAAAAACACATTTATAGAGAACACAAAAGCGACGAGACTTTATCAATATAAACTGCAACCCGATCATATATTATATATTTTTCTCTCTTTCTCTTATATCCGTCTGTGAAAATGAATGCAGTGTGCCCATTTTTGTTTTGCTGTGCATGTCGACACACACGCCTCACTCAAAAAGTTTTAAATTTTGTCTGCTGTATTTAAAAAAAAAAAAAATACACACCAAATCGTTGTGTGTGATTTTCATGTTTTCGCCAAATTGAGCACAAATTTTATTTTTGGGACTGTTTTTTTTTTTATTATTATTTTGTCTTGGGATTGTATTTAAAAAAAAAGAAAAAACGAATGAAATAATTCAAGCTTATTAAATGAGAATGAAAATTCTGATTGAAAGAATAGAAGCATTTTGTGAGTCAATTAAATATTCACGCTTTATTAAAATAGCACTGATGGTGAGCATATAAATGAAATTATTGAAATTTGAAAAGCATATCAACCGCACTTCTGGCTTTTTATATTCATGAATTTATTTTGAATTAAATTTTAATGAACTCACGTAAATATACCTTTCAAGACAGGCTGACTGCAAATATATGAACAATAATTCTGCTGCAAAAAAAATAGAGCAAGATAATATAATTCTTTATTAATGCTTTCGTGCAAAAGTTCATTTTGAAAACTTAATTTCAGTATTGTGAAAGGCTTTCCGCCAGTTTCTCCGTACATCGGGGTGAGTCCGACGCTGTGTTACCTTCTCAAAGAGAAGAAGCCGCTGTGCTGTTTGCAGCTGGCGCAGGTAAATTTAATTAAAATTAACTTTATTTAGAAAAAATATTGAATTCCGTGGCAGATTTGCGAGCACTGCAGCTATAGAAACGCCAAGGAGTACAACTGGCAGAACCAGACGGTGATTTTGGCCGCCGACTACGCGTCCAACGGCATCTACAACTTCATCATCCCCCTGAGGGCGCACTTCAGACAAAAAACCTCCCTCAACCCGATCATCCTGCTGCTCGAACGCCGTCCCGACATTGCCTTTTTGGACGCAATCTCATACTTTCCTCTAGTCTATTGGATGCTCGGATCAATTGACTGGTTCGTTCAAATTTTGTTTATTATATTGATGGTTGTGTTAATTATTTATCATTAATTTAAAAAACCATGTCCCAAAAAATGGTGAGAATTTTTATTAAAAATTACAATCCATGAGGAACTATGACTAAGGAATGTAAATTAAATAACAAATTAGAATTAACAATTTAAAACTTTTAACAAAGTAAGTCAATTACAAAATTAATTTCAAAATTTAGATAAATATAAAAATAAATATTTAAAAAATAAAACTAATTAAAGTATTATTTTAATTCATTATAATTTATATTTTGTTTTTAATTATGTCAATTTTATTTTGTACTTATAAAACTTAATTTTTATTTTAAAATTGTAATTTTTTGTAATTAGCCTGGATGATTTGCTGCGGGCCGGCATTACCTTGGCTGAAAATGTGGTTGTGGTGAACAAAGAGCTGTCCAACTCTGCAGAAGAGGATACCCTTGCTGACTGCAACACAATTGTGGCTGTGCAGACAATGTTCAAGTACGTAATTGATTACGACAATTTATGAATTAATTATTACGATCACAAAAAAGCGACCGGAACGAAATATAAATTCAAGCGCTTTGTTTTCCATCAGTAAAAATTAGTCGCTTTTAAACAAAATCATGAATGCTTTTCGAAAAAGGAATTTTAAGAGGAGAATCTTTCATATTTGTAGATGTAGAGTTTAAAAAAGGCAAAAAGTTGCTTTTGCAGTCGTTGAAATTTCTCGGCTCGTTCGTTCGTTCGTTGAAGTCACTGTAGGCTTCTTGCTGGAATGGCTGATTTTGCTCGCTCGGTGCAGGTTCTTCCCAAGCATCAAAAGCATCACGGAGCTGTCGCAGAGTTCCAACATGAGATTCATGCAGTTCCGGGCGCACGACAAGTACGCGCTTCACCTCTCCAAAATGGAAAAGGTATTGAAGGGCAGCCAGCTAGTCCCAAGCCAGCTCCTCACGCCAGATGACGCTGCTGGTTACAGGGTACAAATACCAAATAATATACCATATTTATCTGACCGAGAATTCTCTTTTTTACTCAGTACTATATACTTTTTATATTATTTTTCCCGTTTGTATCTCTCATATGCAATTTTTTTTACTATAAATACAAATCTTACGAGGATAGTTTTTGTCTCAGCAGTTTTTCATTTTGTTTCTGCATCTCTATCTCTTGGATTTTTAGATTTTTCGTTTCGTATATATTATACACGTTTGACGATTTTCTTCCAAACCCGCCTTGCATTCTGGACAAGCGGAAGAAAATGCTATTTTTTCGCCCAGATCTTAAATGAGAGGCCGTTTTATCCTTTTTTTTAAACAAAAAAACGTTAAATAATCTGTACTCTGCGCATGAGGGGCTGGTAAAGTATTTGTGTAATTGAATTTCCGTCCTATATATGCTTCTTGTGAGGAGAGTTTTTGTTTCTTGCTATTAAATTATATACATGTGAGTCAATTGTCACTACCAAAAAGTAGGTGAATTACTTTCTTACTCCTGACCCTTTATTAATTAAGCTCTCATTCACTTACTAAAACCAAAATCATTCACATTCTTGCATTTCATATTCATTTCATTTCGAATAAAGATAACCAATTCGTTTCATTTCAACAACAAAAACTATTAACAATTATTAATACAGCTAAATTAAAACAAATTTTTATTAAATATTAAAAAGGACATTTTTCTATTTCCACAAATTAACTCTGAACGCCCTTTTGTCTTGAAATATTTTTAACAAACACAAGTGCACATATAATTAATAGTTATTCCTTACTTTACTAAAATCTTTTAAGCCAGGCAGCTTTCTTGCTCCATTGTTTTCACTCACAATCCACAAATGGCAAGACCACTGACTCGCAAACAAGTACCATAATTCAGCCAACAGAGATTTATTTAGCAATAGTGGAATGCGTGCATTTTGTTTTTTGTTCGTTTTTATATATCGTAGTGCGTGTCACTGCTGCTTGCGATTTTTATAAATCGGTAGAGTGTGCCTCTTTTTTTTATTTTCATCTCAGCACTTCTTTTTTACTTCCTCTTGTCACTGAAATTTCTTCGTCCGAGGGACGCGCCTTTTGCAATAATTACACACGCGCCTTCGTTTTTGTCCGCAGCAAGAGAAGGAGAGGGGCTCGCACATTTCCTACATGTTCCGACTTCCGTTCGCCGCCGGCTCCGTCTTCAGCGCCAGCATGCTGGACACTCTGCTGTACCAGGCCTTCGTCAAGGACTACGTCATCACTTTTGTCCGCCTCTTGCTCGGCGTCGATCAAGCTCCTGGCTCTGGATTTCTCGCTTCGGTGAGAATAGATAATATGTTTTTTTTCCCCATTTTTTATTTGTACTGAAAAAAAATCTTCTAATGATACAAGACAGTTTGTTCAAATAACTTATTGTTTGGTTCTTTGACATGTTTTTAGTTATAAAAATGAATTTGATTGATTTTAATTAACATTTACCATTAACCATGATAGTAAAGTGCACATTAAATTTTCATTTAAACAATAAGATAGGAGATTGCTGGGTTACATTTAATATTTTTCAATAATAAATGTAAGTTTACAAGCAGAATATTACAAACTAAACTAATTTATAAATATCATAAGAACGTCTTAATAAAAATACTGTAAAAAAATTAAACATTAAAATCAATTTTAATGATCTTAATATTTTTAATTTGAAAATAACTCTTTAAACAAAGAAATATTAATGCTTAAATTAATTACTTATTAAAACTAAAAGCTAAGAAAATTTAAAACAATTATGAGTTTAATAATTTTATACATGCAATTGTTATTTAAAGCGTTTACCACTACAGAGACGCTTTCTTTTAATTGCGACACAAGTAAGTAGAAAATATCTGTGGATTTTTTCGCAGATGAAAATCACAAAAGAAGACATGTGGATCCGGACGTACGGCCGCTTGTACCAGAAACTTTGCTCCACCACCTGTGAGGTGCCCATCGGCATCTACCGGACCCAAGACACTTCCCTTTGTGACACCAATTCTCAGGTAATTATTATTATAAAAATATAAATTATTCAGTTCGCGGAAAAAAATACGCCACTCGTAACAATTCTTGCAATTATTCGTCAGATAAAAAGCACAGTGCAATAAAAAAAATTTAAAGATCCACTTCAGGTAGAAATTTTGCAATCATTCAGAATAAATAAAAATAAAAGTGGGTCTTTAAATGATATAGTAAGGAAAAAACGAGTGAACGCAACAATTTTGATATTTTTTGTCAATTTATTCGGTTCTTGTTTCTTGATTATTTTGATCGCCTCAAATCCGGGTAAGGGTCTTTGACGCCGACGATCGCGCCTTGAAACAGATCCATCAGGGACGACCCTTTCTGCACTCGGCTGTTGAGTTTTTCGCTTCGGGCGGACAGAGATTCCTGCTGCGATCGGAACTCGTTGATTCCCTCTTGGATCTCGGCCATTGTTGCTTTGATGCTCTCCAGCTCAAGTTTGTCCTCTTCGGTGAAACAAGCGGCGTTGTTTTCAATTTCGGACGCTTTCAATTCCTCGTCCAGACTGACGTGTCTCTTGAGCAGCTCCTCTTTGGCGGCAGTTTTTCGCTCCAATTCGCGCTCCAGAGAATTGACAGAGGCGTTTGTGTAGCTCGAGCGATTGCTGCTGGACCCTTCGAGGGTCGCCTCGTCCGGCTCCGAGTTGCCCACCAAGATGCTGTGCCGCTTCAGGTATTCGCTGAAGTGGGATCGGATGTGGTCCACAACCGGTTGCAGAATTTCAGGCGGCGCCACTCTGGTGATGCCTGCAAGAAGAAGCAAGAAATTTCCTTTTTAGTAACAAATATAATGGAATTTATAAAAGTGTTTTAGAATTAAAATTTTATCTGACACGAAATCTTCAATACCCATTTCAATGATATTGAGATGAAATAATCAGGATCAGGAGTTCAAATTCAGTTCAAATTAATTAGAAAAAATTTGTTATTTATAGAACAAAAGTACTAAATTTTATTAAAATACAAAATATATCTTTTACAAATTATTTAGACTATATATTATATTTTTTATTTTATCTATTTTAAATAAAAAATTTTTTTAATAATTTAAATTTTAAATCTCGTTAAAAGAGTAACTCTTTTGCTATTATTAAACTTTATAAAAAAGTTTAAACAAAATTTATCTTTAAAATAATTATTAAACTTGTGATGCGCAAAGCCATGTCCTTGTAATGTTAAGTAATGAAAAATAAATTCCATGCAGCCAAGCCAGAGTGCAACTTTCCTTTTAATGAGCAAGTAAAAATTAGATGAATAAACACACATAGATACTGAAAATTGAGTAATTAGTGTTGTTAAGTTCAATTACCAGATTCTGAAAGAGTTGTTAAATTTTAATTAATTTAAAAAATTTCGCTGAATTTTAATTTTTTTTCTTTCTCATAAAAAACGGTTGCAGAACTTGACCGAAATTTGGTAGAAGGCTTGTTTCTGTGAAAAAAAAACTCATAACTGCTTTTCTCTTGTTGAATGTCTCCTCAAGTGCCTTCTTCTCATTTTTTTTTCTTTTTTAGAATATATACATTTAAAAAAATTAATGTAAAATTCAGTGTTCTATAAGTTGGATTATTTTTAAAATAATTAACTTTTGTATGATTATGAAAACGTTAATTTTAATAAGCCGATTTCTTAGCACACCCATACCTCCAATCAGGGTGTCCAGCACCTCCTTGACCTGGTAGTCGACGTCGTTTGTCCGCGACGAGTCTGCAAACACGAGTTTGGTCATCTCCCTGCTGACCCGGCGTTTCTCCTCCTGCAGTTTGCGCAGCGCCTTCCTCGACTCGGTGAAGTCGGCCAGCATCTTGTTCTTGACGCCGTTCAGGGTCTCCTGCGACTCCTTCTGGTGCTCCTTGCACAGCTGCAGCAGCCGCTGCGACTCCTCCAGGTCGTGCTTGGTGGCCGCCAGGGCCTGGTTCAACTGGACCTTTCGCTCGACGGTCCTGCGCAGCTCCGTCTGCGCCTCGCGCAGCCCGTGCTTGGCCTCCATGTGCTCCTGCAGGGTGGAACTGGTGTCCGCCTTCAGACGCACCAGGTCCTCCTTGGACATCTCGACCTGCCGCTTGACCTCGTCGATGGCCTCGCGCTCCTCGGCCAGGGCGTCCAACTCGCACAATTTCTCCTCTTTGGCGTTGGCCAGTTGTCCTCGGATCTTGTCCAGATCCTCCTCGGCTTGGGCCAATTGTCCCTCGGCTTGCCTCCGCACGGCCAGCAGGGCTTCCCTTTCCTTCACAAGTTCCTCCTCGCCCAGGTGGATTTCGCTCAGAGACTCTTTGACGCGCTCCAGCTCTTGTCTCTTGACCACCATGTACTCGTTGCTGGCGTACAACTCCGTCTCCAGGTTGTCCTTGGCCTCGGTCAACTGCCTCAGCTCATCTTCCAGCTCGGCCACGGTCTCTCTGGTGCTGAACAGGTCACTCTGAACCTGGTAGGCGTAGTTTTTGGAGTGCAGATCTTTGATCTCAGCCTATAAAATAAATTAAAATTTGCAAAATTATGATTCTAAAAGTAATTAATCAAATTTTGAAACCATCTTGTGGTAAAAATATTTCTATTTTCTGAGTTTTTACTTTTTATAAAAATGTTGAAAATAATTAAAAGAGTTTTGAATCCAAAATTTAACGTTTTTATTTTTTAATTAAAAATAATTATTGATTGTCACTTGAATTAATCAAACAGTTCTGTCACAATTTAAAAAAATAAAAATCAGATTTTACCCTAAATTAATTTCAAATTATTTTTAATCATTAACCTGCAGATCTTTGATTCTCTCCGTTTCAATCTCTTTCTTGGCCATCGCGTTCCTTTTCTCTCGCACCACCGATTCGAAAGCTTCCTTCACCTCTTGGACCTGCCGCTGCTCCTGTTCCAACATTCGTACCGATCTCGCCGTTTCCTGACGCAGCAGCAGCAGTTCCTCCTCGGTCGAGTGCAGGAAACTCTCCTCGGTGCGCAGGTCGTCGCTGACCCGCACCACCTTTTCGCGCAGCTTGTTGAGCCGCGCCGAGCGTCGGTCCAGGGTTTGCTGCAGACTCGTCTCCATCGACGGCAGGTCTTTCTGGCAGTGGAAACAAACCGTGACCCTGACCAGCGCCAACTGGTCCAGCAGGATCATTTTGTCCCGCTGCGCCTGCACCAGCTGCTGGCGCAGAATTTTCTCCTCCGAGTTGCGACGCGAATCCATAATTTCCAGACTGAAAAAGCTTCTTGAAAATGAAACAATGAACCGAATTTTTCTTCAATTGTTGCGGTTATTGGATTGTTTGATACGCAATTTTTATTTCAACAATCAAATATGGTCAAAAAAACACTAACAAGTTTTGAATATTCAGCGAGTCTAAAAGTCTAAATTGTTGCGTTCACCAGCAAAAGCACTGTAAAAATGCATTGTTGAAATAATTTCAGACATAATTACATTACATCTTTCCCTATCCAAAATTCAAACCGGCATGGGACTATATAAATGCAACCCGCCAATTTTTTTTCATAATTAGATTAAAACTTTTGAAATTTAACTCTAATACTTTCAATAGCTTCCTCAACTGCAGCTAGATAGTTAGAATTTGTCTATTAAAACAACGTGGCATGCCCTCTAAGCCTCTTTGTCACTTATTATATATGCAAAGCATGCAACTCTCATTACATGGAAAGTGCATTTATATACTACACGCATTTTCATAATTATGTACAATCGAGTGCGCTTTAAAATACTTCATTCTAATGCTGAGTACTCTCGTCAAAAGGCCCATCCGCGATTCATGAAATTGCTCATTGATCATTGGCACGACCTGAGCCATAAATTCAAACACCACAACAAGGTTTGTCTCCACGCAAAGTGTTCTTTTTTTTCATTAAAATATTTGAGTGGTGAAGGACGCTTTCTTTTAGTTCAGGAGGTTGAGGCCAATAAATCAATTATGAAAACTAACCCTTTTAAATAGATTAAAACGTGTGGATAAAAAAAAATAAAGAAAAAATGCTTGAAATCGCACGTGTATCTTGGCACTTGTGTATAGTTCGGAGATGACGAAGCAAACGGTGGCGGCCAACAACAGCCCACTTCCGGTGAACAAGGGGTCGGAACGTCTTACAAGCCGGCAAAGAGCGAAAAAGGCGGTGCAGGCGCTTACTGCCTTGGCTGCACTTACGACCGGGGGTCCTCGGTAAGGATCACTCACTCGGTGTCTCAGTGTCGCATACAATTTATTCGTTCAGCCAGATTATATTATTATTATTACCACCCATTGGTGTACACACACGTGTGCGAGTTTGCCCATGTGAATCACGCGTGTTCTCGTTTCCAGTACTTTTATTTCAAACAGGGTGTTGTTGTTGGGATTTGTTGAGATACTTTTTTACGGAGAAAAAAAAAATACAAATTCAAGTCGATGGATTGGGCTTTTCATTTTCTGCCTATACCCCTCATTCTTTTCTTTCTCATTAATCGCATGGATTGCACTGCTTGAACTTTTGCACGTTTTGATATACTAACTTTGTTTTCGTGTTGAACTTTCAGCTCTGTAAGAGCTTCCTAAGATGTAAGAAAGTTTGAAAAGATTACGGGGATGTCAAAATTATGCAACATGCAGTGCATAAATGCAGAGCTTGTTGCATAACCTGACCCACGTGATCTATAAAAGTTTGAGAAAAAGTCACGTTTAAAAAAAAAAAATTAGTAAAAATTTGTGCATTTTTCCCTTTAGAAATTCGCTTTTTTTTTTCAAAATATAGAACAAGAAAAATACTTTTTCAGTTCGTTGATTGTTCTTAGGAAGCTCAATTTCAAATCTTGCCATCTTATTCTTATTCAAATCTCTTGTGCGTCTCTTTCCAGCATTTTTCCGTCCTGCTCTTGATTGTAAAAACTTGAAACTTTTCTAACATTTTGGTCCCAACTCTTTTTTTCTTGAATAAAAAATTAATATTTATATTTTATCGTGCATTTGTTGTCGTTTTTCTGATCTCGTGTTTTTTCTCTTTTGTCTGTCCGCCCGCAATCCACCACTTCTGCCTCCACCTCACCCGCTTTTGTCATGTGCGCATGGTGTTGATCTCCTCTTTTGCCGCTGATGCACCCGTCTCTCCGTCTCGACTCTGTCTGTCTCTCTCTCGCACCCACCCTAACCAGGAGGATGTCTCCTTGCTGATGTCTCAGTATTCTGTCAACCTGGTCGATGAGGCGCGCGACAACCACACGCAGATGATCGAGCGCGCCGAGATCGCCAACCTGGTGCGCTCGCGCATGGAGTCGCTCAACCTGTCCGGCATCGACTACATGGACGTCAGCGAGAAGAGGAACAGCCTCTCGTACGTCATCATCAACCCCAGCTGCGACCTCAAACTCGAGGAGGGAGATATCATGTATGTTTCAAATGTATCTTTATAATAATGAAATACTTTTTTTAAATTGATGCAAGACAATTTGAATTAATAATTTAGCTCCATATCTTTGAAGATTTTGGTGACATTTTATTTCCAAATTTTTTTTTTTTTTAAAGGACCGAAACATTTTATTAAATTTAAACAATATTTTTATAAATAAAAGGTAAATTTAATAATTATGTCTTTTTCCCTTGATCTGCTGAAAAGGATTTGATTAAAATTTCACCAAATCAACTTCATATTTATTAGCCCTTAAACCCCAAAAATTCGGCATAATTGAATCGCGAAAAAGCTTAAACTTAAAATTTACATTGAAAATTTTTAAACGTTTCGCACCTGCCTATCTCTGTGTAAGGTTTTCATTTTTAAGGAATATTAAAAAAAAATAGCATATGTATATAAGTTTTATTTATTTTCAAGCAAATTTAATTTATAAATAACTTTTAGTTTAATAATTTTATAGCTTTTTAATATTTTTTTTAATTTTGAAATTAATATTTTTATATCTAATTCCAAATTTAATATTTAAACACAGAAATTTAATCGTTTTATGTATTTTAGAGCAATGGAATGATATAAATATATTTGCTTCATCCCCAATTTAACACAATTGTTGACATTGTAACAGAAGTTATCTCGTGCGCTAATGCTTGTTGTGTCATCTAAAATGTTCTAAGAATTTTATTAATAATTATAATTTTATAGAATTGACCGTGGTCCTAATTTTTTTAAATGGTTTAAAATAAGATTAACCAGTGATAAACATCCTTTTTTTAATTTAAAATCGAGTTTTTATAATCATGGAAAATCACTTTCAAGAACTAATTTGCACCAACTAAAAATTATTTTGAAAGTTTTCCCGCGGTTCCATCTATTTTTTAATTATAAAACATTCCACCTCAATCAACTAATTTACAGAAAAATATTCTGTTAAAAAAACTTCAACCCACTAAAAGCCTTTCAAACAAATTTTTTTCATGTTTTTCACCACTTCACCATTTCGATTTTTTATAGATTACAGCTAAAAAAATAATAAAATATCTTGCAAAAAATTAGTCTTTTTTACAATAAAAAAAATAGTAAAAAACATACATGTTCACAATGTTCTCATCTTTAATTTGCAGCTACCTGATCCGGCCGAGTCCGTTTTCGGCGCAGAAGACGTTCGAGCGGCACAACAGCCGGCGCAAGTCCAACATCAGCTTCTGCGGCCCACCCCCGGGCGGGAGCACGATCGGCGCCCCCGTGTTTCCGTCGCGGGCGCCGCCGCTGGGGTCCAAGTCGAATTCGCTGTCGCTGCCGGAGAGTCCGACGCTGCAGCCGTCGCGGCTGTGCCGCAGCCGCTCCAACTCGCTGCGCATCACCGACGACATCCTGCTGCGAAGGTCCAACTCGCTGCGCCAGGGCCTGTCGACGGCCGGCCTGGCGCGACAGCAGCGCCGCAAGAGCAGCCTCGAGGACGTGGGGCTGGCGCTGCTGCGGCCGCCGGCGCCGAAAATCGCGCTCAACGGCAGCATCGGCCTGGAGGTGACGCCGCCGGACGACTCGGAGCAGCAGTTCGCGTCGTCGTCGCGCTCGCTGGCCGAACCGTCCAACTACGCGGGCGGCGACCCGCAACACCTGCAGGGCACGATTGTATGATATCACCTCATGTGGGGGCGGCGCAGAAGTGGCACAGCGCAACGGAGCCTCTGGCTCTGAACGCATTTCACTTGTAGCTCTCACATCGTCTCATTGCTGTTCACCCACTCGATGTTGCGCCCCTAGGATCACACTCTAGACTTCCTTTTCGACATTTAATTGTAATATATCCGAATCTAGCCGCCGTACTCGTGTACATACATTTTGCGAACTGCTTTTCGATCAAAGGGAAAATCATAATAATATTTGTTGTTGAAAGGAAATTCATTCTAGCTGAATCGAACAAGTGCTTCTTGATGCCTGGTATTTTCTGAAATTCGCGGCGAAAATTTTGCAAATATCTCCCTTGTGAATTTTAGTATTTTGGAAAATGACAAAACCATTTAATGAAAATAGGAAAAATAGATTAGATCAAAATTTTCACCTTCATAATACAATTTTGATTCAAATCCGAGATTTTGGAATTACCTGATTGATGAAAAATCACAAATTTCAATTATTTGAGTAAATTACAACCTATTTTGGAATTATCCGCTTTCAATTAACAATTTCAAGTTAAAAAATTTCACCTATCTATAATTAATTTTTCCATTATTTTCATTACAATCGCCTATTTCAAACACTATTTTCCAATCTGAAGAAAATCATTTATAACTTCACAAAAAAATACCCCATATTTTTCTTTCACCTCTACTATTTTCAATCATAATTGACTTTTGATTAAATTTGGATGACATTTTTACTAAAATTCACAATACAAAAAATCTAAAATCGATGACCAAAACTTTTCAAATCATAGCATTGCCATCTCCTCATTAGGAAATCGCATTGTCTCATATTTAAAAAATCTGACGAAAATGTTGAAAAAAAAATACAAAATCTAGAAAACTAACAGGCAAACACACATATTATGACTGGTTCCGTATTTTTATAAACGTCTCTCGCATGTGAACTGGTGATTTTGTGTGAGCCTGGGAATTGAAAAAAAAATCAAAATCATAAATATATTGAAATTTACTTTTATGCCAAAAATACAGAATGCTGGTCCAAAGATCAATTATCAGATGCGAAAGATCGTCGAAGTGCAGAGTTTTTGAGGGAGTGTCGTGTTGTTTGGCAATCAAAATTGTTACAAAAAAAATCCTGCAGTGCATCTTGAGACTGATATATCAGTGACTAATTCGTTTATCTGTGATTTGTATCTCTGTTATTGGCTGGAAACCGCCGCTGTAATCTTTTTGTCAGAAGCTCTCTCCGTTTGCTGACACAAGAGATGAGACGAAAAAAAATTATTATAAAATGTTGTCATCGACCTGGAGTGTGTAATGTACTCTCTTTTTCCCAATTAAAACAGTTGGATAAATCTTGGACATTTCGAAAAGCTTTAGATTTGTGATGACGTCAGATTATAGTAAAAAGATCAATTAATTGAGAAGAGAAAAATACATTGAATCATATAATTATTATATAATAAAATGAATATGGAATCGCCTTTCTAGAATGGGGAAGTAGCTCTTCGTAATTTCTATTTAATAAGAAAATACACTAGTGAAGACGCAGCATAATATCCATTAATTACCTACCAATGACGAGGCATTGCATTATTTGCTCCTGCTTTATTAAATTTATAAAGCAAGAGACTAACGAGATTTATTATTAAAAATAGTATTTATACTAATAGACATCTAACAATACTGAAAGAAATTTTGCTTGTTCACAAAAGTGGTTGCATATTCCTAGGGATAAAAAGTAAGTGATATAAAAAGCATCTTATTAAAAACTAATTGTTATTGTATAGGATAATAATTATTCCAACTTAAAATAATTGGGTTTCCTAAGATCTGAAAACTTTATTGCAATCATTAGTTTATTAGAACTTGAGCCATCAAAAACAGTAGAAACTGTCTAGATCAATTAAAAAAAAATCGCTCAATGCAATCAAGTCTAAATTAATTCTTTTATTAAAATTAAGGCGCAATTTTAAATTTTAATCAAAGAAGCTCTCTTTAATTTTCACCACGCCACTATTAATGCATATTTTACATATCATTCTTTATACAGCTGGACTAAATTTGAATATAAATCGCGTTGTACATAACCTGAGGTTGGATGCGCAAGCGGCATTTGTGTCACTTTTATCCCATATATTGTATCATTAAAAAAAAAATTGTATTTCTCTCGTATAGATACGTGTGTGTTTTCATTGATCCAGATAATTATCAAAAAGTTTAAACACAAATGCAAGGTAACTTTATGCTTTAAGTGAGAAGGAAAAATCTTGTTTTCTAATTAGAAATCAAGTCGCAGTTCGGGAGAGACTATCTTTATCAGCAGATTCGCAACAAACACACAAATCGATCAAATGCTATATTTTTGTAATCGCGCCTTGTTGGGATGAAAAGCTCTCCCGCTTTTTGAGTGTGTCAATATTACACGCACAGAACCAAAAATCCACTTAAATGCCAGCGACACTAATCTGGCGCTTTTCTGCGTAATCTTGTGTAAATAAGAAAATTATCAAAAAACAGTTATGTACTCATCAAAAGTTTAATATCAAGTGATTAATAAAAACTATAAATGAAATTATGCATTTGAATATTGAGAGCAGAGTTCTTTTAATTGTTCTGACGTGAAAATGAAAGGAATTGTGAATATATTTATAATTTGTTGACGGCTTTTGTTACTCAAGTAGCGTGGAACGTGCAAAAAAAAGCGAACCACGCCTTTGCCATTTTTTTGATTAGCGACTCCCTTTGATAAGCCATTTGTGACGTGGCGCCAAACCTTTTTTGGTATAAATATTATAATGAGCGCGAAATTGTATATTGAGTGATTTAAAGTCGTGCATGAATAAAATCTATTATTAACTTTGAAAGCAGCATATGCCAGCCAAAAAGTGAATTTCATTTCGCAAAACCTTTAAAAATAGTGCAATTTAAAAAATAAAAATAAATTTATAAAAACGTTGAATTTATTATTTCAGTGTCTGCTAAGAGAAGAAGATCTGTGGTTTACCAAAAATAATTTTTTTTAAATTTAAAAAAAAAAACATTAATAAGAAGACATTAAAAATAATTTAAGTAAAAAAATACTCAAATTACCAATCTATCTAATTATTTTGTAAACTAATATTTTTTCCCCAAAATATATTGGGTGTTCTGACCGACGTGTGACGAGAATTGCTTCTTGCTAAATATCAGCTATGAGTTTCTTTGTCAGTGAGACTATTTTATGTTGACTTGTTGAAATGAATTAAATAGTAAGAAGTTTAATTTTAATGCCATTCCTGAACAGCTGTGGCGTGTTTTTACGAGCGCCTTTTAAATCTTTTTCTTTTTAAAATTCCTCTCTGATAATTTTAAATTCAATGCTTAAATTTGCCATTCAAATTGAATTTAAATTTAATTTAGGATTACACACAACTTCTTATTTGATTGGAATTTCTAAAAAAGGAATTTATTTTTTAATTTTATGAGATTTTTTTAGAATTCAAGGCTTCTTGTCAATTTTCCCGAAAATACAAATCTATACCTCAAATAAATTCAGGTCTGGCATTGCAGCCTTTTTAAAGATCAAGATCAATAAATATGAACAAATGAAAACCACTCCTCTATGGCTAATTTGAAAAATATGTTGATTATGAACACTCTACCTAGAATAATAATTATTTTGGTGTCTCGCGATTTGAAACCAACCATTGGAGCAAAGTACAAAAATTAATGATTTGATAATTAATAACTTAGCTGGAACTGCAACATTTCAAAGGTTGTAATTGTGGTGAAGTTGCATAACATTTAATCAAAAAGGCAATACTCGAGCCACGCACCAATGTTATTTTTATTAAGATTCAATTGGTTTGATTGATAAGCCATGCGGCGCCAGATAACCCTTACGTTTAAGTAAGAAAGTTTTAATTTTATTATTATTGTGTTTAAAATCGCTTCAAAACTGAATAAAAACATGAAAAGTTAAGGAAATCATAAATTAAAAAATTAAAAATAGTTTTCTTTTGTCTTTGGCACACTTTAATATATAAATATAGCCTTTTATTTTACAATCACAATCAGAAGTGAGAAAAATTCAGAATTTCCACAAAAAATTATCTTCAATTCCTCAACTTGCAGCACCGCAATGATGCATTAAATGTAAAAAATCAAAAGGTGAATAAATCATGAAAAATGATTTTCCTCATCACGCACACTAGATCTCGCATTCGTTTTCCTAACAACTACGGCAGCTTAGAAGCACTTTCTGTGCACAATGGATGGGCCGGACTCGTCGTACTCCTGCTTGGAGATCCACATTTGCTGGAAGGTGGACAGGGAGGCGAGGATGGAACCGCCGATCCAGACGGAGTATTTCCTCTCCGGCGGAGCAATGATCTTGATCTTCATCGTGCTGGGGGCGAGGGCGGTGATTTCCTTCTGCAGACGGTCGGCGATGCCAGGGTACATGGAGGAGCCTCCGGACAGGACGATGTTGGCGTACAGGTCCTTGCGGATGTCCAGGTCGCAGCGCATGATGGAGCTGTAGGTGGTCTCGTGGACACCCTGCGCTTCCATGCCGAGGAAGGACGGCTGGAAAAGGGCCTCAGGGCAGCGGAAACGCTCGTTGCCGATGGTGATGATTTGGCCGTCGGGCAACTCGTACGACTTTTCCAAAGTGCTGGAGGACGCGGCTGTGGCCATTTCCTGCTCAAAGTCCAGGGCGACGTAGCAAAGTTTCTCTTTGACGTCGCGCACGATTTCTCGCTCGGCGGTGGTGGTGAAGGTGTAGCCGCGCTCGGTCAGGATCTTCATCAGGTAGTCGGTGAGGTCACGACCAGCGAGATCCAGACGTTGGATGGCATGGGGAAGGGCATAACCTGAACAAAAAGAAAAAATTTCATCAGTCAAAGTTGAAATAAGCAAAATACATGTTCTAATGAACTTATATCGACTTTAATTAGTGTAAAAAAATTTTAAATTATGTTAAAAATTAATTTTATTTTTTTAAGTTAAACTAAATGAACTCATTAAAATAATATTAAATAAAATACAATTTATAAATAATAAAATATTATATAAATAATTTATAATAAGTATAAAATAATTAATAATTTTATAATAAATGTGATAAATATAATACAATGTAAAATTATATTTTTATAATTATTATTTTATAATTAAACTTAAAATTAAATAAAAGCTCTTTCATGGAACTCGATTTTTGGGAAAGACTTTGTAATAATTTTTATCTAAAATAGAATTTAAATTATACCTTCATAGATGGGAACAGTGTGGGAAACGCCGTCACCAGAGTCCATGACGATACCAGTTGTACGACCTGAGGCGTACAGGGACAGGACAGCCTGGATGTTGACGTACATCGCAGGGGTGTTGAACGTTTCAAACATGATCTGAGTCATCTTTTCGCGGTTGGCCTTAGGGTTGAGCGGCGCCTCGGTGAGCAGCACAGGGTGCTCCTCAGGGGCCACCCTGAGTTCGTTGTAGAAGGTGTGGTGCCAGATCTTCTCCATGTCGTCCCAGTTGGTGACGATTCCGTGTTCAATGGGGTACTTAAGGGTCAGGATACCACGCTTGGACTGCGCTTCGTCACCCACGTACGAATCCTTTTGACCCATACCGACCATCACACCCTAAAATAATAAAAAGACCGAAGATTTTAATTTTTTTTAGCACAAACATAGGTGAATAAAAATTAAATTAAATGAAGAAATCAGTTAATTCAATTGAATAATTCCGCTAGCAAATTTAAATATTTAATAAACTTTTATCTGAAGAGCTTTTCCCTTGATGTAAAAAAATTGTTTTAATTAAAAAGCAAGATGCCTTTACTAGTTTCAGTCACGGTCTGCGACCCTATTTCAAGATTTTGATTTTTTTTTTAATGATAGAGGTTTTTTGTATTTTTTTTTCTCATGAAATGGGGTTGCAGATTGTGACCAAAACTGGGAGAGCCGTCTTATTTTTTAATAAAAACAAATTTTCACAATATTTGCTTATAGATAAATAAATAAACAACGAGGAAAAAGCCCGTTCTTCACTTCCATGATCATCTCCTCGAGTATGATCGAATTTCTTCATTATTAAGAAATTGATTTGATTAATTTAATTTACAAATAAAACTTATTTATATTTAATTTAACTGAAAATTGATCAACTGCAATAGGTCATCCATCAGGATTTCTATTGAATTTTATAAATTTTTGTAATTAAGTACTAAGATTTTTACGCACCACATGTCTGGGGCGGCCGACGATGGACGGGAAGACGGCGCGGGGAGCGTCGTCGCCGGCGAAACCGGCCTTGCACATGCCAGATCCATTGTCCACAACGAGGGCAGCAACTTCGTCGTCACACATCTTGCTTTGCTTCTTGATCGAGGGAGTTTGTGGACGGGGCGCCGGACGAGAATTAAATAGACAGAGTTTTTGTATCCCTTTCCTTATATGGCGGCCGCACCGAAAGCCTAATTTGCCATATAAGGTAATGCACGGCGCTTCGTCAATACTATTGGTGAGTTGACGCGATTAGATAAGCCGCCGTGCGATGGCCACGCGATCGGAGCAGGAGATGAGTAAATTGCTCCCGAAAGATAACGCCTGATGAATTTTGATGCCAATGTGCAATGTTGAAAACACTTTTCGTGTGACGGAGGAATTAAGACTAAAAACGATAAGACAAGTGGAATTCTTTTGGGTTCACCTGATGGGAAAATTGCCTAATCGTGATTCCGCAAAAAAAGTGATTTGGGTAGAATGCTTGACGACAAATCGATAATTTGGCTCACCACTTCAGTTTCCTCAAGGGGAAATTTCTTGCAAAAAAATTGATAAATAATTACTACTCCAATTTCCGCTTAAACCAAATTGATTTTATTTTAGTTAAAAACTCCAAATTGCAATTTGAAATCATTTTTTATTTCTCAGCAAATTTGCTGGAGCCTTTAGAGGCCTTTTCATTGTCCGGAGACGATTCTGCGGGCACATCAGGACAATCCTCGCAACCATTAGGACGTGGTGGGCATGCAAAACAGTCCGCAGGTGGACGAGGTGGACAGTCGTCGCAGTTAAAAGATTGCACTAATGGATGATTTTTAGAGCAACGATCGGGGATAAAAGTAATTTTACCTGTGCCCCAATTCATGGTCTTTTAAATAAATTGGTACAAAATTAATTATCAGAGTAAAGAAATAAATGATAATATTATTAATACCATCACCACGGTAAAAAGCGCAAAAAGAAATAGTTCTCTGAGAGCCATACTAGGTTTATGAACCTTGCACAAGCGGATACAACTTCCAACTACTGGAAAATTCAAAATCCAGCCAAGGTTGTCGCAACAAACATGGCCGTTTTCACTTCCTCTGTGTCGACAAGAGGAAGTAGTGACGTTTATAAAAAAAAAAGTGTAAAATTCAGTGTTCAAAAAAACCATTTTAATAAAAAAAAATTCTTGTCAGACCTTTTTAAATCTTGAAATAAAAAATCCGATGGAATCACTGCATTCTTCAGCGTTGTCCGTAGGTGGTCCGAACCGTTGAACCTTGGAATAAATTTCCTCTGGCACATTCTTCAAAGGAATGACCTGATAAAAATTTAATTTTATTCTCAATTTAATAATTTTAAGATTGTGAATACAAACTTGGGTTACTCTTTTCCTCGGGCTTTGCAAAACCAAAATATTTTGGAATTCTTGCATGGCCCAGTTGATCAGACCCTCGTTTTCATCAAAAGTTGTCGAGCATGTGCAGTAGACCAACTCGCCACCTGGTTTGAGTAGATTTACAGCCTGGGAAATGTTAATATAATGAAGTTTTTTATTTCTTATTAATTTTACTTACTGTTCGGAAAAGTCTTTTCTGTAGAAGAGGATTTGACTTGATTTGCCCGGCACTGATTTTGTTTAAAAGCTGCGGCCTCTGCCCCAGGGCACTGCACGGCGCATCCAAAAGAATCTGATCAAAATTAAAAAAATTAATAAATAAAAAAGACAAAATTTTTAATGAAACTAACTTTGTCAAAACTGTTTTGGGAAAAAGGTGGTCCTTCCTCAATAACCCTTTCCACGTTGTCCTGACAGGCCTTTGTTGAGTCGTAACAAAAAACCAAACTCTTAGCACCAAACTTTTCACAGGTTTGCCTCACCAGGTCACATTTCTTTTCAGTTCGATCAATTGCAATTAACGTTCCCTTCAAATCAATGTTTATTTAAAAAAAAAATGGTTAAATTACTTTTGAAAAAAAAAATACCTCATTTTGCATTAAAGCAGCCAAGTGAGAGGTTTTATTGCCAGGAGAAGCGCACATGTCCAGGACTGAGTCTCCTGGCCGAGGGTTCAATTCCCAAGAAGCAGCAGACGAAGGCAAATTTTGCAGCTGGCCCAAAGCCGAGGGAAAATTAAATGTTAAAATTCCCTGCGGAGTCCATTTTATTCTCACAGCAACACCTCTGAGAACCAAACAGAAAATTTATTAGATTTTTTACAGTAAAAAATTAAATTAAATACTTTGCTCGATCTGATGAGTCGTTGAATAAGGCGTCTCGAGCAAGTTCTACTAATCCCTTGCCAACAAGCTTCTTCCTACCCTGGTAAGAAGTTGATCCTTGCAGACATTTGCCGTCCAAATCAGCAAAAACCGAAACTTTTTGACCTACTTCCATACCTAGAATAATACAAATTATATTATAATAACATGTAATGTAAAAATTGTAAAATTACCTCTTGACATGGACAAAACGCCAGGGGCAAATAAGTGGGCGCCTCGAAGTATCGCAGCTCCACATGATGCGTCAACAACGACTTCTTCATCTGCTTTGCTAATTTTCTCGCCGGTCGGTTTTTCCACAAAATTAGGTACACGATTCCAGCTTCCAATAATAAAGACGTCATCTACGAGGGAACAGCTTTGAACGGCGGGTCGACCTGTGAAGCCGTTTTGATCTGCAACCTGGAAAAGTTTGTTAAAAAAATTTATTTTAAATCCATTTTTATAATTTACTTAAAAAATAATTAAAAAACATAAAATAATTGTCATTTATTTTAATTTTTTTTAGATGAATTTAGTTTTTACAAAAAATTCAGCATGATATGTACATAACTTTGAAAAAAAAAACACCCACCTCGTCCAAACTCTTCTCAATTATGCCTTGGGCTTCCTCTTTTGAGTACTTCAAAGAATTTACACGAAAAGTGCTGCAGTCTGGAGGCTCCTGGATCCAATTTAGAAATCTGTCAAAGTCGAGACCCATCGCCTGAAAACGATACGCACGAGAATAAATTAAAAAACATTTCCTTTTTTGCCATAAAATCTTACCGAATGTTCTTGCTGAAGGAACTCCGTGGTGGAAGGATCTTTAAAAAGGACCGACATTGGATTTTCAAAGAAGCGACGAGTGGAAGAGAATTACGAGAAATTACCATCGAAAAACCAGACTAACAAAGAAAAATTAAGACTGGAAACTGAAAATCCAAGACGGCTTCCATCTCACTGATCTCACCCATGTGTGTTTGTTTATTTTTGTTCTGCTTCTCCTCTGACGAGAGGTGGTGGGGAGATTCGTGAGGAGAGGGAACGTTTTGCTTTGCGCCGACCACTTGTAACTCAGGTGAGGTCATTGCCCGCAGAACTGAAACTTTGTGTCAAAAAAATTTTGATTTGATCAACCAGAAATAAATATTTGCAAATAATTATTAATAAAACTCATTTTAAAACTAAATATATAATTTTTTTTAGTATTTCATGAGTTAAAAAAATTTCAGGTTTAGTATGAAAATAAATGTATCTCCACTGAATTAAAATGCAAGAATAATGGACATTTTATTAAACAATGCAAGACAAGTGGTACGTGTTTGGCCGATGCGGTCTATTGAAACAAAATTGAGAGTCAGTAATGCTGATACATTAATTAAAATAAAGATTATCATTTTAGTCTTTGCACTAGCAAGAAGACACTTGAGTTGGCTGCTCTGTTGATTCTTCCATGGCTTGCACCTCTGCAGCCGCTTCAGTCACAACAGTCTCTGCACCATTTGCGGCAGAGACTTTTCCCTCCTCGACCAAGTCTTTTTCCGGAGAAGCCAACGGAGCCGGAGTTTTGTTTTCAACCTGGAGATTCTGCTCTGTTTCGACAGCAAGTTGAGGTTCTTTGACTTCTTCTGAACTGGTTTTCACTTCTTCCTTCTCAGCGGGCTTTTCTGCCGGTTCCTGGGGTGCATTTTCAGGTTGGGGCTCTTCGGTGATCTCTTTGCTTTGGGGTTCCGTAGAAGGTTCCTCGGAGCCGTTCAATGTCTCCTGAGGAACTTCTTCTTCCATAGGGGTGGATGTTTCTTGTAGCTCTGTTGAAAGAAAATTGTTATTAAAATTATTACATCAAGATTTTAGTAAATTATTTGAAAAAAAAAATCAAAGTGAAGCAAAATTTAATTGTAAAGATTTTTATATTGAACTTATTAAAACCAATAATCGTTTGGTTTAAACTTAAATACCTTAAGATAAATCAATATAAAAATTAACTTAATTTTAACTATATTTTGACAATAAAACCCACCAGTCTTCTCTTCAGTCTGGGCTTTGATTTCTTCTGCAGATGTTGCTCCTTCTTCTTCTTCAAGCTCGGTGCGTGGACGCTTTACTTCAGGGGCCTCAGGAGACTCGACGCCATTGGTGGTTATCATTGGTACTTCCACAGAGGGCTGGACAGAAACTTCATCTGCAGAGGACGTTGTGCCGTTGGTGATCGGCTGCCGTTCGCGGCCGCTCACGACGAGGACGTTCTTCTCAATGGCGCGCATGAACTTGTCCGTCTGGTTGTACTCGCTTCGGGGCGTCGTCAGCAACTCGGACAATCTCTGGACAGTGAATGGACACCTGGAATGGAAATTGTAAGTAATTTCTTTACGAAATTTTGTCTTGATTTATTTACGCGTCGAACGAATCGAGGCGGCGGACGAGACGCGTTCGCATGGCCTCGGCGTCGAAAGTGTCCGGGGTGCGGCACTCGGGACTTTGCAGGAAGTCGTCGATGACCAGGGCCAGTTTGCGCTGGAATAACGGCTTCACCGCGGCCCACGGCAGAACAGGGTCGCCGGTGCGGGCGACGCTGCGAAGATACTCGTCCAGTGGACGCGGCAGAGGCCCCGAAGGCGCACTGGACAGTTCTTGCAGCGCGGCCAGAACAGCATCGCTCTCCATCTGTCCGAAATTTGGCGTCCAAGACCTGTTGATTTGCTGTTTATTTTGCCTCGTCGTGTCGGCCAGCAACAGCAACAACAAGTCAAGGAAAGGGGAAGTGGAAATTTCGTCACGCCCACTTTGAATGAAATTCAAACCAAAAAAGCGCCAACGTCGCGAGGAATCTTCCCACCAGCAGCTCAGCCGCTCATGTTTGTACGCAGACGCCTCTAATAAAAGAATTCAAAGAATTATTATTGCGTTTAAGGTTTCATATTTATGGAAATAACTTTACATGGCACACCACAATTAGGGTACATTGGACCATAAAAGAAAGAATTTTTGTAAAATGAAAAAGGATCTGAATTTTTCTCCAGCTCAGCCAATCCTGAATGACCAATAAGCATTTTGAAAAAAAAATAGTCAAAATCAGGAAAATCTGTGGATAATTTATTAAAAATTAAAAATTGTCTTCTTTATATTATTAATATTATCATAATGTTAATTATTATAATTATTTTTATTACTATTATAATTAAAAATAATATATTATTGTCATTATGGACGCAATGTTTATTAAACAGCGAAGGTGTACAACATTAAGATACACAAGGTTTACTATTTAATAACACGTTTTTCCGCCGCAGCACTTAATTATCGTCTGGCGTTTGTTCGCAGCTCTTGATTGTGCTACATTTTAAAGGATATATATAAGTTTAAAGTTTGAACTTTGTCCGATCGATTTTCTTACGTCCCTGTCCATTTTTACGAGTAGCAACTCCCTAACAAATAAAAATTTCGGTGATTTTTATGGATAAATATTAATTTACTCACTCTAGGATTGGCCTGAATTCCTTGAATCACGACTAAAAGTAAAATTAGGGGCAGAAAAACGTCTAACGAGTGTGGCATGTCAATTCTAACTGCACGCAAGATTGGTCATTTTCGTCTCATCACGATGCGACTGTTTGGCACAACGGGCGAAACAGGAAAATTTTCGTCCTCTGACGTCGCCGTTGAGTCACATCCTGCGAGCGTTTAAAATTTCTAAACAGACATAATTTTGAGCCAAAAATTTCTAATTTTCCTTTGAAAAAAAATAGTTTTTTAGTCGAAGTTTGAAGTTTAAAGGATTAATTTTTAAGCAACTGGCTTTTCCTTGAATATTTTCTGCAAGTGATTATTAATAGAATGCATACAGTATAAAGACATACATTGGAGCTTGGAATGATATATTAAAATATTAAATAATAAACAAAAATTATGATAAAACATTTATCTTGTGCATAAACATTTTCTTAGTAGTTTCAGCTTTGTGTCTTGCGCATTTCCGAAAAACTGGTTGCATTCTCCGGCTATGGAACAAAAATATAAATTAAAAATTAAACAAGACTAAAAGAAGTTTAAACCATTTATCACGCTAAAATTCATTATGCTGTGCTTACATTCAATTATTTGAGACGAAATAATAGTAACAAATAAAAATTGAATTAGAACAAACAGAGAGTTTAATCGTATTCAAAGTTGGTTTAGTTCTTATTTAAACTTAAAGAAAAAATAGCATATTATATGAAGTAGGAAAAAGCAGATAATTAAAAATAAAGTGTCTATATTTATGAGAGTAAATAATTTTGAAATAGATTTTGTATTATATAAATAATTTATTTTCATGCGGCGCAAAATACCTGGAATTTGATTAGTCCGCATCCCGCACGACATCAACGTCTCGCAGGCTGCATAGTTTTCTTTTTTTACATAATTATTTCAGCAACAACAAGAGCACAACAAATTGAAAGAACTCCGATACTCTCTAGGACAAGAATTGAGGGTGACAGGAAGGTAGCGCGTTTAGATTTATTTGGATTTAAATCTTTTGTGGCAACTTTAGAAGCACATTATTGATTAAGTCTTCTCATAATTTGTGAGTAAAAGCAGTTTTTTTTCCAAAATTAATAATTTTTATTATATCGCATGGCTTTAAGGCCAGCAATAACCGGAAAAACCTTCATCCGTAAATTATAAAGAAAGTAAAAGTAAACAAAGTCTCTCTTCTACCGCATAAAAGTTTGAAATGTCTCGTTTAATAATTACTTTTAAGGCCACAAGAGACCTGAAAATTGATTGTTCAGCAACCCGCGCGACATCAGCGTTTCGCAAGGCGCAAAGCTATCTTTTTCAGATTCGACTCTGATTCAATCGTATAGCAGCTAAATGGTACTTATGAAATTTACATTTTCCAGTGTGGTGAAAGTTCTGGAAATAAACTCGAAATGATCCCTGAATGGAAGAATAAAAAAGTCATTACAATGGAAGCCATCTAATAAAACCTATAATTAGGGATTTGGGAAAACAATATAATAAATGGCCTTTTCTATATTATTTATAAATTAAGAGGAATTTAAAAGATAACAGCAAAATTTTTACTTGATTCAGTCGATTGGCAAATTCAAGATTTAAATTGAATGAAACGATAAACGTAATACATTAATATTAATAAGTAAAACCAATTAAATAATGAGAGGTTTCAAGGTTTTCAAAACTGATGCAGTTAAAAATCTCAAATTTACAGCAATTTTTATTATGTTAATTCCACAATTAAAAAATCTCCTCGCATATGAAAGGTTGTTTGGAGATGGCAGAGCCAAAATGGAACTTCGGCGGCGCCGAATAGTCAAGGAGGACAACCATATTCTGCGTGCCACCATCATACGCGCCTCTCGGATTATAATCCATTTGGAAACCGGGATTAAGATTTTGCGGCAGATAATCTGTTTGCGTTTCACAATCATAGCTGAATCCGCTCGTCACGTCAACAACGAGAGAGTTTGTCATCGTCCAAAAGCGATTTGAGTACGGATGATTAATAACTTTTGCAACTTCAAAGAGGATAACATTAGATTAAATTGATGTGGCATATTTAGGGAAAACTCACTTCCCGCCGCCTGCATGCATTTTGCAGCTGCAAAAAAATTGGCCGTCCTCAACATTCGCATCCCGCGCTCGCAACAAAACTTGAGTGCTTCTAGGTAATCGTAGTACTGCGTTGAAAAGGTGAAATAAAATTGTTAATTTCTCTTACTTATTATTTCTTTTTTGAAAGGCTTACCCATCCGTTTTGATATTTCATATAGTACATCTTCAAATTACTGCATTTGCAAACCCACTCTCCATTAATATAATTGACGCATGTTGAAGCATCTAAAAGATCAAATTAAATTGATTCTTTTACGTTTTGAATTAATCACACGTACTCAGATTCAACGAGGTCAGATTGTCCCTTGCAACTACCTGCATTAAAATCATTCAAATCGGTGGATTTAATTAACCGAATTTCATACGTCAATGGTGCAGTTTGACGAATTACCACATCCATACGACTTAGAAACCAGTTCATCATTCTGTAAATAAAAATTAAATATTAACAAAGAAATTAAAGAATAAAAAATTTATATTTCAATCACGTCTGCCTCCTTTTTATCCAAGTCCTTGATCATTTGGTCAAAAACCTCCGGCGACTTGTCCCTGGCGCACTTGGTCAACTGGTACGCCTTGTCGCACTCGTCCATTCCCACTTTACATTTTTATTTATTGATAAATTATTAAATAAGTTCTTTTAAAATTATCTTTCAATTTACAAGTTTTATTGTTGCACTCGTCAACGATGGCCATGTTTTTCATCAGCTCGTCCGCGTTTTTCAGATTCATACTCTCAAGCATTGCGAAAACCTCGCTCGCCACAAAATTCCCGCCGACCAGCTTTTTTCAGTTGAAAAATAAAATACAGAATTTTGTTAAAAATTTATACCAGGCCCACAGCGTCTCCAACACAATGCAAAAAACACTGAAAGAAATTATGTATATTTTTTTTTAAATTTTTTATTATCCAAATAAAGAATAACCTTGATCCGTAAGTCAAATTTCGTCATGTTTCGCAGCAAATCGATTTCGGCTAAATTAATTAATTTTAATAATTTACTAAAATCGAATATTATTATTTAGACTGGAAGTGACATTGAAAATAATTGAACATTCGTCCACCATAGCTTGCTTTCCACTCTTTGTCTGAGGGTTGCCTAATTTCTAATTTAAATTTTCAGTGAAGTATTACTATACTTAGCTCTAAAAAATTTTAAACCTCGCAAATGTATCTGAATTTCGTCTGTCCTTCGTAATCAGCGAGCAGAACTTGTCCCTTTTGACGCCAAATGTGGACTGCAACGTAGTTTTCTTTTCCTCGAGCGTTGTCCGGCTGTCCAGGCAGCCACTGGGCCTCGCCGCGGAACAATCTTTTGGCCGAACAGAATCCAAAAACAGACTCGCAGCCCTCATCCGACCCCGAAGTCCAGAAGGTCAAATTTTGAGCCTCTAAATATATTCAAAATAAAGTAAATAATAAAAAATATCTCTCTCTTGCCTTTGCTCATTTCGCTGATGTTGCCGATGGTGGCCAAAGCGTCGTACTTGCGTGGCGAGTCCAAGCTCAGCAGGGACATGCCCAGATCACAACACGCTTTCGTCGCTTCTAAATACTTATCAAAGAAATTATTTTTAATTTCACAGAAAGTCGCTAATTTAAATTATACAGTTCTGGTGTCGCTACTGTAGCTGAAGAGATAGTTGCGCAGCCTGTATGTGAACAATTTTCCATGCAAGGAAATGTCTGAAAACATTTAATCACAAATATTGACAGGGATTTTTAAAACGATGCGATGCTACCATTTGTGACCTCCATCAACAATTTTTTTCAATGTAAATATCAGAAGTAAAAATTCAAATATGTCAACAATTAATTTTAAATTGAAATATAACAGGTAAATATTTAATAATTAGTTAAATACAGTGTCATCGTAAGATGATCTTGATCTTTGATTGAGATTGAATGATCTAATTAAATTAGAAATAAATCAAGCAAATCAAAAGCTGGAAATTATGATTGCAAGAAGTTTTGAAATCCATTACAAATTCTTCTTAATAAATTCCAAAATTCACAAGTGCATCATTGACATAACTCAAATTAAAGGCCTAATGTGCCTTGAAGTCAATTATTTGAACAATAATTATGAATGAAATGAATAATAAATACTTTTTAGAACCATTGATTTTCTATTGGCCGTCAAAGTGAAAAGCAGAGGCTGCATATTATGGAAATATTTAATGTAATTAAGTGAGAAAGGGACTTTTAAAATTTTTACATCTTTTTGGCAGGTGATGTTTGGACAAACAGGACTTGCGCACTTCGGTCCTTTCGTCGGTGGACCCTGATTCCAATGCTTTTATTAATTTTCACTTCCAAATTATATTGCAATTTTGAACCTGGCAGGCGAAAATGGTTCTGTCCGAACAACGCTTGCCGCTGATCGAAACAGAGCCGTTTGCTTTGGAAATTTGCATCTGGACGCAATTCTGGTCCTTTGCAGGGTTGGCCAAGGGCAGGACGTCCTGCCAGGGCGCGGAGCCGTTGGCCGAGCACCACCCAAAGGTGCCGCTCGCCAGATTCTTCGCGCCGCCCGTCCAGTAATTCATGTTAAATTTCCAGCTCTTTGCTATAAATAAAATTTGATTTTCATTAAAAAAATTAAATAAATAAATAAATTGAACCTTGGAGTTTCATGCACTCGAGCTTCTCTTTGCTTTCGATAGCAAACGGCTTCATTTTCAGGCCAAAGCACTTGTCTGAGTTTTCGTGCCAAGTGCCCTGAGTGAAAATTTATTTAAAAAAAAAATATTATTATAGGAATTTATTGAGACCAGAGATTTTCCTAATAAAATTGTTTGGCCGCACGCGTCCAGCCAGAATCCGTGCAAGTCTGGATCTAATTTAATAAAATTACTATTGATATTAAAATGTTAGTAAAAAGCGTGAACCAGCAATCTCTCCATTAGTTGCAAAAAGGGACCGCTGTTATTATTACATATAGGAACGTCAATTTTTAGAGTAAAGAAATAATTTTTATGATTGCATACGTTGACTGCAGCAATTTCGTTCGTCGAGCATTTTCCTACCAGAGCTGGCTACATCGACAAGGTAAAAAACATCGGTAATAATTAAACCAGGAAGCAAAATTAGAGCGCGTGGCGTACGTTGATGGTCGTTGAAGTCGTTTTAGTAGTTGGAATTGTCGTAGCAGTGGTTTGAATTTGTGTAGGGGTTGAGAGCAAAATTTTTGATTCCGTCGTTTCAGTTGAGATTTGAGTTGCCGTTTCGGGAAGAATAGTCGTTGAACCAGAGTCTAGTTTTGTTTTTTCACTCGGAAAATCAGCTGCTGAAGTGTTAGAAATTGTGGTTTCTGAATTCTGGAGTGCAATTGATACAGATGGAGTGGCTTTTTTCAAAGTAGAAGATGAACTCGGCATTTGCACATCCAAGGCGGTTGAAATTGATTTTGAGGAAGACGGACTTTCTTGGAAAAACTGCATATATAATTTAAAATTCATAAATTTTCAAACACTTTATTTTTCAAATAAATTTTAATTACTTCCAATGTGGACTTATCGCTCAAATTTGGGCTGGCATCGATAAACGTTGACATAGGCAAATCACTAGATTCGGCATCACTGTTGTCGACAACGTTCACCTGTGTGGTGCTCAGTTTTTCAGAGAATGATAATCCTGAGGTTTGCAGATTTCCCAGTTTAGTCAGGTTTAATTCTTTATTCTGAACGGGATTTCAAAAATTATCATTGTAACTTTTTTTTTATTAATCATGTAAAACAAAGAATGCACTACCAGGACGGGTTGTGAGCGGCGTTTGGTCGAACCACCACTGACAGCAGAACATTTGTTTGGGCCGCAACACTTGATTATGGTTTGGCGTTTATTAGCAGCTCTGGATGCTAATAAATGAAAATTGCACGGTTTATGAAAGTCGTCAGACATTCGCCTACTTTTCTTACTTCCTTGTCCTTTGTTACGAGCAACAACCCCCTAATGAGCATACTTTTAAGCGATTTTATTGAAATAAAATTTAATTTACTCACTCTAGAATTGGCCTGGCTCGTCTCTTGAATCAAGACTAAAAGTAAAATTGAAGACAGAAAAACGTCAAATCTGAGTGGCATTTTGATTTTAACTGCACGCAGGCTTGGTCATTTTCACCTATCACGATTCCACTGTTTGGCACAACAGGAAAACATTTTCAGTTTGACGTATCGTGCAGTCACTTCCTGTGGACCATTAAAATTTCCATGTAAAATAGCAAAGAACACAATAAACAAAAAATAAATATAAGAGCAATAATAAAATTTCTGATTTAATTTATAAATTTATCAGTTTTCTTACTTTCAATGAAGATAAATTAAAAGTAGCTTTTTTGCGCATCTATTGCTTGTCACTATATACCTTGAATATTTTCCACAATCCGAATGGAGGGGGAATATTTCAAAATAAATCATCTGCTTACAGACTGCATTTTAGTGCATATCCCATAAACAGGTTAAATCAATATCATGAGTGGTTAATTGAATGAGAAAAAAAATCAATATATTTCACAAGCTCACAGTGATTATGTCATGCGTATACATATATACACTTAAATTTGAGACTTTAATTGATTATATGAAAACCAAAATTAGTTTAAAGGCAGAAGATTTAATTACATCAAATAGTGCGGACATAAGTGGCATTTAATAGTTAAATTAAGTCTAAGAAAATTATAAAGGAAGGGAAACCAAACAAATTAAATATAAAATATAAATCCTTTTTCTAGAGCATTTAAGTTTGAAGTTGTTGGTTCCTTAGTAATTAATTACTCTCACTGCAACAAGATACCACCAAAAATTTATTTTTCGGCAGCCCGCACGACATCATTGTCACGCAGGTTGCAGAGCTATCATTTTTTAGATTTGACTCTAATTCGATCGTACAGCAGCGAAATAGTACATAATGTCCATAATATCATTTACATTTATTTTCTTTTTCGGCGTAGTGAAATAGTAGGAATGAATAAATTTGATATGAGCTCTCCAGAAGAATTAATATGTATATAAAAATAATAATAAATTATTAATTTATGGTAGCCATCTCAGCCATCTGAAAACCCCTTCATTAGCCAATATTTAAGGTATCCCCAAAGCTCAATTGATATATTTTCTTTTTAATTTGTTCGTTTCCCCAACCCTGCTTGTTTATGCAGATTTTTTTTTAAAAAAATACCTAATTCGGGGGGGGGGGGAAATGGGGATTGAAAGAAATACAAAATGTATAGATCACTCGTCCTTCTCTGCCTCAACTTCAGTCTTGCTCTGCTTCACGATTTTTCCGAGAGAAAATGCTTTAAGATTTTCTGATTTACTGGGGGAAAGCACTTATGAATATGCGGTGGTGACAGTTGGCAAATTTAATAAACTTATAAAGGAGTTATTGTTATTATTATTACAATCAAAACACACACTGCGGCAAAGATATAAGAATTTTTGCAGCATTTTTAATGATAATGATTTGCGAGAGAACAAATGAATTGAATTGATTGATTGGATTGCATTATGTATATATTCTGAGACACGTTTATGAGAGACCAATCTAGAAAATAATGAAAAAAAGGTGCCAAATGGAGATTTGAATTTCTTTTCTTTTTTTTATTTAAAATATATTATAAATTTAAAACTAAATTAAATTTTCTTTGTTGGTTATCAATTAAGAGAAATTTAAGAAAAAGCAGTTGAAAGTTTAGTTGATTGGCAAATCTAAAATAGAAGATTAACATTATTTTTATGATACTATTTTAATTTTTATTAATTTAACTGAATACAATAATTTGACGTTTTAAGGTTTAAAAAAGTGCCGAGGAAAAACATAAAAATTAACTTCAGAAATTTTTATTCCACAATTAAAAAATCCCTTCGCACATGAAAGATTGTTTGGAGTTTGCAGGAGAAAATTTGAACTTCGGCGGCGCCGCATAGTCAAGGTAAACATGCATGTTCTGCGTGCTACCATCATACGCGCCTTTTGGATCATAACTCATTTGGAAACCGGGATTAAGATTTTGCGGCAGATAATCTGTTTGCGTTTCACAATCATAGCTGAATCCGCTCGTCACGTCAACGACGAGAGAGTTTGTCATTGTCCAAAAGCGATTTGAGAACGGATGATTAATAACATTTGCAACTTCAAAGAGGATAACATTAGATTAAATTGATGTGGCAAATTTAGGGAAAACTCACTTCCCGCCGCCTGCATGCATTTTGCAGCTGCAAAAAAATTGGACGTTCTCATCAATAGCATCCCGCGCTCGCAACAAAACTTTACTGCTTCTAGGTAATCGTAGTACTGCGTTGAAAAGGTGAAATAAAATTATTATTTTCACTTCTTTATTTATAAATAAAATGAATTTTTAAAGGCTTACAAAACCAAATTGATACTTCATATAGTACACCTTCAAATTACTGCATTTGCAAACCCAATCTCCGTTAATGTAGTTGACGCAAGTTGAAGCATCTTTAAGAACAATGTTAATTTATTCTTTGCATTTTAAATTAAAATTAATCACACGTACTCAGATTCAACGAGGTCAGATTGTCCCTTGCAACTACCTGCATTAAAATCATTCAAATCGGTGGATTTAATTAACCGAATTTCATACGTCAATGGTGCAGTTTGACGAATTACCACATCCATACGACTTAGAAACCAGTTCATCATTCTGTAAATAAAAATTAAATATTAACAAAGAAATTAAAGAATAAAAAATTTATATTTCAATCACGTCTGACTCCTTTTTATCCAAGTCCTTGATCATTTGGTCAAAAACCTCCGGCGACTTGTCCCTGGCGCACTTGGTCAACTGGTACGCCTTGTCGCACTCGTCCATTCCCACTTTACATTTTTTTTATTAATAAATTATTAAATAAGTTATTTTAAAATTATCCTTCAATTTACAAGTTTTATTGTTGCACTCGTCCACGATGGCCATGTTTTTCATCAGCTCGTCCGCGTTTTTCAGATTCATACTCTCAAGCATTGCGAAAACCTCGCTCGCCACAAAATTCCCGCCAACCAGCTATTTTCAGTTCAAAAATAAATTAAGAAAGAATTTTGTTAAAAACTTATACCAGGCCGACAGCGTCTCCAACACATTGCAAAAAACACTAAAATTATTAACATATTAATAAATTATCTAAATAACAAAGAAACCTTGATCCGTAAGTCAAATTTTGTCATATTTCGCAGCAAGTCAATTTCGGCTAAATCAATTAATTTTAATAATTTACTATAATCAAATATTATTGTTTAGACTGGAGTTGACATTGAAAATAATTGAACATTCGTCCACCATCGCTTGCTTTCCACTCTTCGACTGAGGGTTGCCTAATTTCTTAAATAAAAAAATTAAATTGAATTATTCTTTCTACGAGTTAATTATGATTTTTTTTTAACCTCACAAATGTATCTGAATTTCATCTGTCCTTCGTAATCAGCGAGCAGAACTTGTCTCTTTTCGCGGAAAATATGGACCGCAACGTAGTTTTCTTTTCCTCGAGCGTTGTCCGGCTGTCCGGGCAGCCACTGGGCCTCGCCGCGGAACAACCTTTTGGCTGAACAGAATCCGAAAACAGATTCGCAGCCCTCATCCGACCCCGAAGTCCAGAAGGTCAAATTTTGAGCCTCTAAATATTTTCAAAGTGAAGTTAATAATAAAAAATTTCTCCCTCTTGCCATTGCTCATTTCGCCGAGGTTGCCGATGGTGGCCAAAGCGTCGTACTTGCGTGGCGAGTCCAAGCTCAGCAGAGACATACCCAGAGCACAACACGCTTTCGTCGCTTCTAAATACTTTGCAAAGACAGCAATTTTATTTCGACTAAAACAGTCGTGGATTTTTTATACAGTCCTGGTGTCACTACTGTAGCTGAAGAGGTAGTTACGCAGTCTGTAGGTGAACAATTTTCCATGCGATGAAACGTCCGAAATCGACAAATTTAAAGAAAAAAATTGGAAGGGAAATTTCGTACAGAGTGACGTCAAAATTTCCCACCAATGTTTTATTTCAATTAGGTAGAACATTTTTAAAATGATTAGACTATCAAAGATTAAAATATAAAAAAATAATAATAAAATTAATTTTTTATTATGACGCAAACCAATTTTAAAACACCAAATTATTCCATATCAATCAAGAATTTAATTATTTAATTGAATTGATCTAAATGTTACAAAATGTTGGTTGAGTTTAAGTTTAAAAAAAATGCGTACAAAAGTTTATTTATTTTAATTATTGTAAGTAAATTATAATTGTTAGATATAAAAAACCAATATCCATGGGCAGGTTAATTAATTTTAAAATAAATTAAATTTAAGCTTCAATAGCTTCATGTGCCTTAAAGTGAATTTATAAACATTATGTCATACTTTTTAGAACCATTGATTTCCCATTAGCCGTTGAAGTAAAAAGCATTGGCTGCATTGTTAAGGAAATTAATAATGCCAACAAAAGTGGAGAATGGGTATTCTAACATCTCTCTGGCATGTGACGTTTGGGCAAACAGGACTTGCGCACTTGGGACCTTTCGTCGGCGGACCCTGATTTTAATACATTAATCAATTTTCTATCCAAAATTATTGTTGCAATTATGCAATTTTGAACCTGGCAGGCGAAAATGGTTCTGTCTGAACAACGCTTGCCGCTGATCGAAACAGAGCCGTTTGCTTTGGAAATTTGCATCTGGACGCAATTCTGGTCCTTTGCAGGGTTGGCCAAGGGCAGGACGTCCAGCCAGGGCGCGGAACCGTTGGCCGAGCACCACCCAAAGGTGCCGCTCGCCAGGTCCTTCGCGCCGCCCGTCCAGTAATTCATGTTAAATTTCCAGCTCTTTGCTATAAATAAAATTTGATTTTCATTAAAAAAAAAAAATAAATAAATTGAACCTTGGAGTTTCATGCACTCGAGCTTCTCTTTGCTTTCGATAGCAAACGGCTTCATTTTCAGGCCAAAGCACTTGTCAGAGTTTTCGTGCCAAGTGCCCTGAAAATAAATTTAAAGAAAAAATTAAGTCATACAGGAATTTATTGAGACCAGAGATTTTCCTAGTAAAATTGATTGGCCGCACGCGTCCAGCCAGAATCCGTGCAAGTCCGGATCTATTTTTAATAAAAATACTATTGGAATAAAAATTTAAGTAAAAAGTGCGAACCAGCAAGCTCTCCATTAGTTGCAAAAAGGGACCGCTGTTATTATTACATATAGGAACGTCAATTTTTAGAGTAAAGAAATAATTTTTATGATTGCATACGTTGACTGCAGCAATTTCGTTTGTCGAGCATTTTCCTACCAGAGCTGGCTACATCGACAAGGTAAAAAACATCGGTAATAATTAAACCAGGAAGCAAAATTAGAGCGCGAGTGGCGTACGTTGATGGTCGTTGAAGTCGTTTTAGTAGTTGGAATTGTCGTAGTAGTGGTTTGAATTTGTGTAGGGGTTGAGAGCAAAATTTTTGATTCCGTCGTTTCAGTTGAGATTTGAGTTGCCGTTTCGGGAAGAATAGTCGTTGAACCAGAGTCTAGTTTTGTTTTTCACTCGGAAAATCAGCTGCTGAAGTGTTAGAAATTGTGGTTTCTGAATTCTGAATTGCAATTGATACAGATGGAGTGGCTTTTTTCAAAGTAGAAGATGAACTCGGCATTTGCACATTCAAGGCGGTTGAAATTGATTTCGAGGAAGGTGGAGTTTCTTGGGAAGACTGCATTAAAGAATTTAATTTTCGTTTATTTTCCACTCTTTATTTTCCGTATAAATTTGAATTACTTCCAATGTGGACTTATCGCTCAAATTTGGGCTGGCATCGATAAACGTTGACATAGGCAAATCACTCGATTCGGCATCACTGTTGTCGACAATGTTAATTTGTGTGGTGCTCAGTTTTTCAGAGAGTGATGATCCTGAGGTTTGTAGATCTCCCAGTTTAGTCAGGTTTAATTCTTTATTCTAAACGGGATTTCAAACCAGAACATTTATTATTGTAAATTTTTTTTAGCAGTGATGTAAAACAAAGAATGCACTACCAGGACGGGTTGTGAGCGGCGTTTGGTCGAACCACCACTGACAGCAGAGCATTTGTTTGGGCCGCAACACTTGATTATGGTTTGGCGTTTATTAGCAGCTCTGGATGCTAATAAATGAAAATTGCACGGTTTATGAAAGTCGTCAGACATTCGCCTACTTTTCTTACTTCCTTGTCCTTTGTTACGAGCAACAACCCCCTAACGTGAATACTTTTTAGCGATTTTATTGAAATGAAATTTAATATACTCACTCTAGAATTGGCCTGGCTCGTCTCTTGAATCAAGGCTAAAAGTAAAATTGAAGACAGAAAAACGTCAAATCTGAGTGGCATTTTGATTTTAACTGCACGCAGGTTTGGTAATTTTCACCTATCACGAATCCACTGTTTGGCACAACAGGAAACATTTTCAGTTTGACGTATCGTGCAGTCGCTTCCTGTGGACCATTAAAATTTCCATGTAAAATAGCAAAGAACACAACAGACAAAAATAAATATAAGAGCAAAAATTCATGATATAAGGTTTTTAATTTATCAGTTTTTCTCAGTTTACATGAAAATCAATTAAAAGTGGCTTTTTGAACCTTGAATATTTTCCACAATCCCAATGGAGGGGGAATATTTCAAAATAAATCATCTGCTTACAGACTGCATTTTAGTGCATATCCCATAAACAGGTTAAATCAATATCATGAGTGGTTAATTGAATGAGAAAAAAATCAATATATTTCACAAGCTCACAGTGATTATGTCATGCGTATACATATATACACTTAAATTTGAGACTTTTTAATTGATTATATGAAAACCAAAATTAGTTTAAAGGCAGAAGATTTAATTACATCAAAAAGTGGCATAAGTGCCATTTAATAGTTAAATTATGACTAAGAAAATTATAAAGGAAGAAAAACCAAACAAAGTAAATATAAAATATAAATCCTTTTTTCTAGAGCATTAAAGTTTGAAGTTATTGGTTTATTGGTAATTAATTACATTCACTACTGAAACAAGATACCACCAAAAATATATTGTTCGGCAGCCCGCACGACATCAACGTCTTGCAGGTTGCAGAGCTATCTTTTTTTTAGATTTGACTCTAATTCGATCGTACAGCAGTGAAATAGTACATAATGTCCATAATATCATTTACATTTATTTTCTTTTTCGGCGTAGTGAAATTGTGGTAATGAATAAATTTGAAATGAGCTCTCCGGAAGAATTAAAATGTCAATTATTATAATAATATATTATTAATTTGGTAGCCTTCTCAGCCATCTGAAAACCCCTTATTTAGCCAATATTTAAGGTCAATCGATTTATTTTCTATTAAATACGTTCGTTTCCCACACCTGCTAGTTTATTATTATTGTTGTTTATTTGTCCACAGTGTTACAAATACAAATACATTGTTTACATTCAATTTTTGAAAAACAAATATATATGCGGATTTTTCAAAAAATTCCTAATTTGGGGGGAAAATGGGGATTGAAAGAACAATAAGATGTATAGATCACTCGTCCTTCACTGCCTCAACTTGTCTTGTTCGCTTCACGATTTTACCGTGAGAAAATGCTTTAAGATTTTCTGATTTGCTGGGGGGAAAGCACGTATGAATATGCGGTGACAGTGTGGCAGAGTTAATAAACTTATGAAGGAGTAATTATTATTACAATCAAAACAAAACTGCGGCGAAGAGATAACAATTTTTGCCACATTTTTAATGATAACAATAACAGATTGGATTATTTGGATTGCATACAAAATATTTATGCTCTGAGACCAGTTTCTGAGAGACAAATGTAGAAAATAATGAAAATAATAGGAAAATGCCAAAGAGCACATTATAATATTTTTATAAAAAGAAAATTATAACAGTCTTTTCTTTGTAAGTTATCAATTAGGAGAGATTTAATTAAAAGCAGTCGAAATTGTTTCGAAAACGTCAAATTGAAGGTAAACATTTTTAGATAAATTAATTTTTGTTAATAAAACCGATAAAAATAATGAGGGCGATCCAAATGGCTAACTTGACCCAGGCTGAATTAACCTGGCCCGGGCTAATTTAACCCGCCATTAAATTTTGCTGGCTGGCCCGGGGCTAAGTCAAGTTAGCCTGGGCCAGGTTAGGCTTTTGGATCGCCCTAAATAAAAGGTTATTGAGGTTTAAAAATCCGCTGAGGATAAACGTCCAAAATTAACTTCATAAATTTTTATTCTAATTAAGAAATCTCCTCGCATATTAAAGGTTGGTTGGAGTTTGCAGGAGAAAATTTGAATCTCGGCGGCGCCGCATAGTCAAGGTAAACATTCATATTCAGAGTGCCACCATCATACGCGCCTCTTGGATCATAATCCATTTGGAAACCGGGATTAAGATTTTGCGGCAGATAATCTGTTTGCGTTTCACAATCATAGCTGATTCCGCTCGTCAAGTCAACGACGAGAGAGTTTGTCATCGTCCAAAAGCGATCTGAGTACCGCTGATTAATAACTTTAGCAACTTCAAAGAGGATAAAATTAGAGAATTGATGTTGCAAAATTTCATAAAACGTACTCCCGGCCGCCTGCATGCATTTTGCAGCTGCAAAAAAATTGGACGTCCTTATCAATCGCATCCCGCGCTCGCAACAAAACTTGAGTGCTTGTACGTAATTATAAATCTATGCATCATAAAAGGTGAATTAAAATTATTATTTTCTCACTCTATTTATTTATTATAAACAAATGAATTTTTAAAGGCTTACCAATCCATTTTGATATCTCATATTGTACATCTTTGAATTACTGCATTTGCAAACCCACTCTCCGTCGGTGTAGTTGACGCAAGTTGAAGCATCTTAAACAACAATGTACTTTATTCATTTTACGTTTAAAATTAATCGCACGTACTCAGATTTAATGAGGTCAGATTGTTCCTTGCAACTACCTGCATTAAAATCATTCAAATCGGTGGATTTCATAAACCAAATTTCATACGTCAATGGTGCAGTTGGACGAATTTCCACATCCGTACGACTTAGAAACCAGTTCATCATTCTGTAAATAAAAATTAAATGTTAACGAAGAATAAATAGTTTCAAATCAAATTGATCACGTCTGCCTCCTTCTTATCCAAGTCCTTGATCATTTGGTCAAAAACCTCCGGCGACTTGTCCCTGGCGCACTTGGTCAACTGATACGCCTTGTCGCACTCGTCCATTCCCACTTTACATTTTTATTTATTGATAAATTATTAAATAAGTTCTTTTAAAATTATCTTTCAATTTACAAGTTTTATTGTTGCACTCGTCAACGATGGCCATGTTTTTCATCAGCTCGTCCGCGTTTTTCAGATTCATACTCTCAAGCATTGCGAAAACCTCGCTCGCCACAAAATTCCCGCCGACCAGCTTTTTTCAGTTGAAAAATAAAATACAGAATTTTGTTAAAAATTTATACCAGGCCCACAGCGTCTCCAACACAATGCAAAAAACACTGAAATAAATTATGTATATTTTTTTTTAAATTTTTTATTATCCAAATAAAGAATAACCTTGATCCGTAAGTCAAATTTCGTCATGTTTCGCAGCAAATCGATTTCGGCTAAATTAATTAATTTTAATAATTTACTAAAATCGAATATTATTATTTAGACTGGAAGTGACATTGAAAATAATTGAACATTCGTCCACCATAGCTTGCTTTCCACTCTTTGTCTGAGGGTTGCCTAATTTCTAATTTAAATTTTCAGTGAAGTATTACTATACTTAGCTCTAAAAAATTTTAAACCTCGCAAATGTATCTGAATTTCGTCTGTCCTTCGTAATCAGCGAGCAGAACTTGTCCCTTTTGACGCCAAATGTGGACTGCAACGTAGTTTTCTTTTCCTCGAGCGTTGTCCGGCTGTCCAGGCAGCCACTGGGCCTCGCCGCGGAACAATCTTTTGGCCGAACAGAATCCAAAAACAGACTCGCAGCCCTCATCCGACCCCGAAGTCCAGAAGGTCAAATTTTGAGCCTCTAAATATATTCAAAATAAAGTAAATAATAAAAAATATCTCTCTCTTGCCTTTGCTCATTTCGCTGATGTTGCCGATGGTGGCCAAAGCGTCGTACTTGCGTGGCGAGTCCAAGCTCAGCAGGGACATGCCCAGATCACAACACGCTTTCATCGCTTCTAAATACTTTTACAAAGAGAGCGTTTTTATTTTGGCATGTAGTTGAGAGAATTGTTTACAGTCCTGGTGTCACTTTTGAAGCTGAAAAGATAGTTGCGCAGCCTGTAGGTAAACAATTTTCCATAGGAAGAAACGTCTGAAATACATAAATTTAAAAAGATTGAAGGGAATTTTTGACGACATAATTTCCGAACAATGTTTTAATCCAAATAAGAATTAAAATGCAGAAAAACTACAATTATTAGTCATTATAATATAAAAAAAATAATATAACGTAAACTTTTTATTGTTTAGTTTGATGCAGTCCAATTTTGAATTTTAATATTTTATTTAATTTGAGAATTTTATTATTCCATAGATATGAAATACACACGTTAGGAACAATTTTTGGGGTTTTATTAAACTATAAAAAAAAATTGTGAAAATTCATTAATTTAATTCTAAATAGGTTCTTAAGATATGTCGTCACAAGCCAAAATCCATGGGCTTGGGCTTAACTTTAGGCCTAATGTGCCTTAAAGTCAAAAAATTTAAATATAATATAATTATCATGTCTTGTGTAATGTTACATTACACAACACATGGTAATGTGTAACATACTTTTTAAAACCATTGATTTTCCATTAGCCGTTGAAGTAAAAAGCATAGGCTGCATATTTAAGGAAATTAAATAAACTAAAAAAAGTTGAAAAGGGGTATTCCAACATCTCTCTGGCAGGTGATGTTTGGGCAAACAGGACTTGCGCACTTGGGACCTTTCGTCGGCGGACCCTTTTTTCAAGATGTTTATTATAAATTTTCACTTCAAAATTAATGCTAAAATTTTCAACCTGGCAGGCGAAAATTGTTTTGTCCGAGCAACGCCTGCCGCTGATCGAAACCGAGCCGTTTGCTTTGGAAATTTGCATCTGGACGCAATTCTGGTCCTTGGCAGGGTTGGACAAGGGCAGGACGTCCTGCCAGGGCACGGAACCGTTGGCCGAGCACCACCCAAAGGTGCCGCTCGCCAGATCCTTCGCGCCGCCCGTCCAGTAATTCATGTTAAATTTCCAGCTCTTTGCTATGAATAAAATTTGATTTTCATTAAAATAAAAAATTAATAAATAAATTGAACCTTGGAGTTTCATGCATTCAAGCTTCTCTTTACTCTCAAAGGCAAACGGCTTCATTTTCAGGCCAAAGCACTTGTCAGAGTTTTCGTGCCAAGTACCCTGAAAATTAATATTAGGAAGGAAGTAAATAATAAAAATATTAATTTATTAAGACCAGAGATTTTCCTAATAAAATTGTTTGTCCACACGCGTCCAGCCAGAATCCATGCAAGTCTGGATCTATTTTTAATAAAATTACTATTGATATTAAAATGTTAGTAAAAAGCGTGAACCAGCAAGCTCTCCATTAGTTGCAAAAAGGGACCGCTGTTATCATCAAACATTATTACATATTGGAAAGTTTATTATTATCATGCAAATAATTTTTATGATTTCATACGTTGACTGCAGCAATTTCGTTCGTCGAACATTTCCCGAGCAGAGCTGGCTACATTGACATGCAAATGCAAAGTACAAAAATTATAATTGGAAAAATAAAAACAGGAAGTAAAATTAGAGCGCGTGTGGCGTACGTTGATGGTCGTTGAAGTCGTTTCAGTAGTTGGAATTGTTGTAGTAGTGGTTTGAATTTGTGTAGGGTTTGAAGTTGAGAGCAAAATTTTTGATTCCGTCGTTTCAGTTAAGATCTGAGTTGCCGTTTCGGAAAGAATAGTCGTTGGTCCAGAGTCTAATTTTGTTTCACTCGGGACATCAACCGCTGAAGTGCTAGAAATAGTGGTTTCTGAATTCTGGAGTGCGATTGATACAGATGGAGTGTCTTTTTTCAAAGTAGAAGATGAACTCGGCATTTGTACATCCAAGGCGGTTGAAATTGATTTTGAGGAAGACTGATTTTCTCGGAAAAACTGCATATATAATTTAAAATTCATCAATTTTCCAACACTTTATTTTTCAAATAAATTTGAATTACTTCCAATGTGGACTTATCGCTCAAATTTGGGCTGGTATCGATAAACGTTGACAAAGGCAAATCACTGGATTCGGTATCACTATTGCCGACAATGTTAATCTGTGTGGTGCTCATTTGTTCAGATAGTGCAATTTCTGAAGTTCTTGGACTTCTCAGTTTAGTAAAGTTTTCATCAGTTTTCTAAACGTTTGTTTTTAAGAATTTCGTTTATCTTGATAAAGAAGAAGAAAAGAATCTGTTAAGACAAAAAATTATGCGATACCAGTACGGATTGAGAGCGACTTTTTGTCGAGTTGAAATTGAGAGCAGAACACTTTTTTCCGCCGCAGCACTTGATTATTGTCTGGCGTTTGCTCGCAGCTCTTGTTGTTGCTAAACCAAAAGATAATTTTTTTGTTTAGTTTACGTCATTTTATCTTACCCCCGTGTCCATTGTTACGAGCAACAGCTCCCTAATTTATGATCGTTTTGGTGATTTTATGGATTTAAAAAAAAGTTCGTTTACTCACTCTAGAATTGGCCTGACTCACTTGAATCAAGACTGCAATTAAAATTATTGATAGGAAAACGTCAAACCAGAGTGGCATGTCAATTCCATCTGCACGCAGGTTTGGCCGTTTTCACCTCATCACGATCCGACTGTTTGGCACAACAGGAAAACAATTTCAGCCAAACAGAGACGGTCACATCCTGCGTGCTGGTGAAATGCCAAAATAAAATAGAACATAGCATAGCATGGCACACAACAAATCAACAAAAATCTTGGGCCTGAAAATTATTTTATACATTAGGACATTTATAATATTTATATTTTATAGATTATTATTTTAGTTTTAATAAGAATTTTAATTTTGGTCTAAATTTAAGTTTTTGAATAGACAAAATGTAGGACTAAAAAGTTAAGTTTTTTAAAGATTAATTTTTGGGATATTTTTTTAATGCATAAATTATGGAAACTTGCTTTACCTTGATATTTTCTGCTGGTGATTATTAATTATATAGAAGAGCCTACAATATTATAATGATATAATGAATTTATAAAACAAGCTTACATTGATTATACCATGTGACCATTTGACCGTGTGAGTCGTTTTATAATTATATATAATAATGGCAAATAAATAATTTTATAACGAAAGTTAATTTACATCAAATATGGCTTGAGTCGCATTCAAAAGTTTCATTCAAATAAAAGATAAAAGTATTATAAATGAAAAAAAGGGATGAAAAAATTTTAAAATTAATTATCACTCTTTTTCAACGGCTATAAGCTTGAAATAGTGTCTTGGTTAAATAATTTACTTTTATGTGGATCGCAAGATACCTGGAATATTGATGGGTTCGCAACCCGCGGGACATCAGCGTCTTACAGGTTGCAGAATTTTCTTTTAACATAATTATATTATTTAAAGAAATAGAGGAGTCGGCAAGATTTGAAAGTTAACCAAAGTTTGATAAGCTGACACAAATTCCAAGCCGTCATTAAAAATTAGCAAGATTTACTAAAAATTCCTCATACGAGCTTAAGGACTTGAGCACTTGGGACCTTTTGTCGGCGCGGGCCCTGATTACAATACATTAATCAATTTTCACTTCAAAATTATTGTATTGCAATTTTTAACCTGGCAGGCGAAAATGGTTTTGTCCGAGCAACGCCTGCCGCTGATCGAAACAGAGCCGTTTGCTTTGGAAATTTGCATCTGGACGCAATTCTGGTCCTTTGCAGGGTTGGCCAAGAGCAGGACGTCCTGCCAGGGCGCAGAGCCAGAGCCATTGCCCGAGCAACTCCCAAAGGTGCCGCTCGTCCAGTAATTTATGTTTAAAATCCAGCTCTTTGCTATTACATAAAATTTGATTATTATTTCACATGAAAAAATAAATAAATGAACCTTGGAATTGAATTGTAAATAATATAACCCTATAAAACCATTAAATAATTATTCTTATTGATATGTAAATTGTTTTTAAAACTTTTTTAAAGTGTTAACGTCAAATCTTATGAAATACTTGAAAAAAATCAATATTTAATATAGAATGGATAAATCAAAGCGATTCAATAACACGGAGTAAACGAAAACTTTTTCTTACGAAGCAATTTATTTTTATAAAATGCTGAAAGGAGAATAATATTAAATTAAAATATAAAAGACAAATTTGATTCTTTAATTATTTACCAATTCTATAATGTTTTACGACTCTGTTCTAATCGGTAGAAAAAGAACAAAAGATGCTCAAAATACATGTTATTATATCAGATGAAAAAAATGTAAACAGTACAGTACAATACAATACATAACACACAAAAAAAAAACATTTTTAATTTTCATTGTGTTAAAAGGGAAAGGGGAGAGGGCTGTGGATAGAATGGTATATATTGCATGTTTGAAACAGAATTGAACAGAAACTAGACACAAACATCTTGTGGGGCGCAGGCGGATTCTTGATTCGTTTCGAGTCATAACCTGCGCAAATCCTGTTCATGACTTGCTAAAGAGGGGAGAATTAAGGAGGAAGAGATAGGATAGACGGATAGAGCAAAAATAAGACAGAAAACAGAGAACAGAACACAGAACATTCCAATTCCATATAGAGCCGCAAGTTGAGCTCAAAGTGAGATTGAATTAACGTCGGTGGTCGGCAAGAACACAAATTCGGAGCACTCAAGGACTAGAAACTCTGAGAGAAGGTGACGCTTTTCACGCTTTTGTAGAAATATTTGACAGACATAATAATTATAATTGTTACGGTGACAGAAATAACAAATAATTATTTTATTTATACCTTTGTTGTCCTGCGTAACAACGTTTTAGGTTCAAAGCAGTTTTCCAAAATGAAACGTGGATATTATGACGAGTATGGTTCGGATTCGGAGTATTCGGACTACGAGATGTACGACAGTGATGGCCTCCCTGAAGACTTTGATGATGATAATTCCAACGACGTTGACGTAGCCTTTGACCGATTGTATGGAGACAGCAGAATTGGGTACGAAATTTATGTCTTTTATACAAATAAAACAGCTAACCACTTTTCTGGATTTTCTTTGTACCTAAATAGAAATTCCAGCACTGTGGAGGAAGTCCATTTGAAGACACGTGAAATGCTGTTCAACTCATCTCTGAAGAACATGTGCCTCAATGTGCTGATTGAAAATTTGAGAAACCCAGTAGGATCCAAAAATAAGAAGCCAGTTTTGCTTGAAAACAATCAAACTCATGCAGTTGCCACTCTACGTAAGTAGAATTATTTTATGATAACTTTTCTCCTGAAAAAAAGTTGAAGTTTTTGACGCCAGAATTGGAAAATTTTCATTATTTTTAATTTTTTAAGAACAGGAGCACACTCAATTATACCTATAATTAAAAAGTAAAAACGGTTTGAATCTTCTACATCATATTTTGATTTTATCTTTCATACAGTAATTACTGAGTTGATTTTTTCTCTCCAAATATAATTTTCTCATTAAATTAAATAGTGACTTTTTAATAATATAAATTCCTAATTTGATTATTTCATGAAATATTATAATTTTTCATAGCAATATTGTTACATTCATGCGCAATCAATCCTGTTCAATTGTTTTAATCATATATTTTATCACAGCTCCAAATTTGAAGCAAATGCTCCTGAAAAAGCTGATGAAGGCAAATTACGGAGCAAGTGTGAGCTTCAAATACCAATACTGGTCTAATGAGACGGTGAAAGCCATCAGCACTCATGACATATGCAGCATGATTTGCGAACTGCTTGGGCCTCGCATCTCTGAATTCAGTTTTGAGTGGATGGGCGGCAAAATCCAAACCTCACACAATCACCATGTTGAAAAGGTATAAAGTTTTAAATTAAATTAATATTATGATTATCAGTCCGAAACTGAAAAAGACATAAATTATCCTTATTATCCGAAAGTGCATGATATATTTAAATTTGTACATGCACCTCTGTATTTATTTCGTTTCCTCTTGTTTTAGTTATACAGACTGCTGGCTTCCAAGTATCGTGACTGCTTGTACCACCTAATTCAGGGCAAAGAGGGCAACATTTCCAAGCGTTATGATTACGAATTAAGCCTTGCCAATCTCCAGTCCGTCACTCACCTGAAAAATCTTCAGCATTTGGAGTTGCATGAAAATGCCTTGAATGATTTGGACTTCAGACGCATTTGTCGCAAACTGCCCAACCTCCAATACTTGAGCTGTGAACTACTAGATGTGACCCAGGCTGTGCTAAATGAAGCCCTGGGGAGTCTCAGTAGGCTGGAAGTGTTCATTTTCAAAGGCTGGGCGCGCAAAGTGGACGTCAGTCTGCAATCCCTGGAAGAGGTCGACACAGCCAAGCTCAATGGCTTCTGCCTGGACAAGTTCCCCCAACTGAAAATCATTGGTGCACAAGTTGGTGGTGAACGCTTTTTCGAAAAGCAGACACGTATCACTTTCCACCAACTGAAAAAGAATGAACTTTCTACTGGAGGGCCTCATCAGCTGCAGCACCTCTCAATCAAAAGCCCTCTCGCCGTTGAACAAGCCCTACGGTTGCCTCATGTCACTTCTCTGAGAGTAATTTTTCAAACCTTAAATGATGGAAGCATTTTATCTAATTCTTCCTATTAATTTCTTTTTAGGTTTCTTTGGGCGATAAAGAGTTTGACTCGACCAACATTGGTGCCCTGCTGAAGTTTGACAAGCTCCGCGTCCTGACTGTTATGTGGCCAGCTGAAAACTCGACTATTGACAAAAATTTGCTTCTGCAACTTCTGCAGATCTATGGTTTGCAGCTAGAGAGCTTGACCCTAATCACCTACCCCCGTCATGACCTTGATGTTATCGTTTCACTTGAGCTCAGCATGGACGAAATCCATGCCCTTTGTCCTAATCTTGAAAGACTCAGTTTGGACCACGATTTCACAAGAGGATTTGACTACAGGTCCATTCTGCATCCCAACACTATCAAAAATCTGACCAAAATCAGCATCACTGCCTGGGATGATACGTAAGATAATTTTTTTATTAAGAATATTTTTATACGTATATTTCCAAATTTTATATAATTACAGTTGGAGCATGAAAGTCTTGTCCCAGCTCTTCACTGCACCAGTGCTTGAAAGTCTGTGCTTGTGGGAGTTGAGGTTGTCCGAGTGGAAGGTCAAGGATTTGGTGGAAAACAAAAAGGTGCCTGAATGTATTTCACCTAAGCTCAGGGAGTTTCGAGGATCTATACATCATTCTAGACACCTGAGTAAATGGAACAAGAGGATTTTGGCACACTACTGGTGCTTGCACGTAGACCTGATTTGTGCCACAGCCCCAGCTTTTATGACTGTTGACTTCGACTATGGTGACAAGTTCTTCAAGAAAGGGCCTTCGAAAATCACTCAGCTGATGCAAAAAAGGGCCCGAATACTGTAGTACAAGGGATTTACTTAAATTACATAATAATATGTATGGCGTGTAATCCTCAATTATTAAATTTTAAGAAATAATAAAAGATTTAATCCAATTTTATTACATTTCTTCATCAATACCAAATATTGAAATTTTTAATTTCTATTTATTTTATCTTATTTCAATCAAAAAATTATGTTATTTTTGCATTAAGCGCATTCTTGTATTTTTTTTTTATATTGTTCATATAATTTTGACATTCAGCAAAATATAGTTCTTAAATATCAATGCTGTTGATATTATTTGAACTTAAAAAACACTGTCCAAAAAAATTTAACATTATTTTCCTTTAAAAGGAGTTTAAGTGGTGGTAAAAATTTAATAAAAAAATGCTTTTCACCGCTTTTGGCATTATGTTAAAAAAAAATGGGTGGTGCCTTTTGCACCACTAATAAATAAGGGCACAGGCCGACAAGACTTTGTCTTGGCCTGACCCTAAAAAAAAATTCAATAAAAATTTCAAATTACACTGAAAAATTATCATTGGGTTAAGTAATTTGATAAGAAATATTTAATTTTTTTGAGATAAATAAGTTTAATTAACTCAAAACAAACTTCCAGAGAAGAGACTCGACAGAGCTTTTTGCACTTTTGGATCGTCCATGATAGGCGCGGCAGGTTTCGGAGGTTCCGTCTTGCCCAACTTTTGCTCCATAATGCTCATGATTCTCTTCTGCAACTGCTCCGCTTGAGATTCACCTGCTGAGGGCGCACTGACACCAAGAGAAACTGGTTTGGACTCGATAGCTGCAATCGGACAAAATAATGAAAAAATAAAAATATAAACTTACAAATTCAACAACTCACTTTGAGTGTTTCCAAGCTCGAGTTTGACTTGGACTTCCCTCTTTAGCGCGAGGAACTTAATGAGGGCTTCGTATTGCATGACGGTGAGTGGTTTGCTCTGTGCCAAAAGATTCAGCATGTTTTCAATGCCCTCGGGAAGGCCGCTGGCCGTGGTCACTTCGCCCTGTCTTTTTCCTCCAGAAGCCACGTAGCGCTCAAAGTCTCGACCAACCATAGCAATGGCCTTGTCGATGGGCATGTTTCGGTGCTCCTCGGGATCTTCCCCATGCAAAATGTTCAGCGTCATACTTGCTTTCAACTCATGTTGAGGACTTACCTGGAAAGGTAAACAAATTTTAAAAATAATTTTTTCATATAATATTTTTGTACTTTGAATTTTAACTACAACTCTACATTCAGCTACACATTTTAATCTCAAAATGACAGATTTTATCAAATATAAGTGGATGAATTTGATCAAAATCTTTTTTTATAGGGTAACACACAAAAATCCAAAATTCATTGGAAATCATAATAATATAATTTACGTGGATTCCTGTTTTATCCAAAACTAAATTTTATAATTTAATATTTTGCTTTCATTAAAAAATAAATTGAAAATAATTAAAATACTGCCTTACACTAATGGCATAGAGAGTTCCTCTGGATGCAATTGTGCTCAGCAAGGTGAGGATCGGAATGGTTTCGTTGGGGAAAAGCAAGTCAACCGCAAGGCCCATCTTCTTCAGATTCCGCTCGATCATCTCTGCGTACGCCCTTTGGCTGCGGTCGTGCACAATAATTTCGCAGTCGTTGGCTCTCTCGTTTTCGCTGCAAGCCAGTTTCATATTTATTGCGGGTCCGGACGAAAGTGGAGGCCCCGCAGATTCCCTTTCGTATCCTCTGTGGGGAGGCTCTGGGCTTCTATTCTGCATCTGCAGTTCCCGGGGCAGTCTGCGTTCATCAGGCTGACGAGCCTTGAACACCTTGATGACCTGGCCTTTGTAGTAAGTCATGTGCTGCGCTCGGACGGCGTGGTCGGCCTGCGATGGCGAGTCGAACTGGATGAACGCAAAGTCGGATTGGTAGTTTATTCCCAGAACCTATTGTACAAATTTACTTATTTCAAGAAGTAAGTTTGATTGAAGAGAAATTCGAACCTTTCCGAATTGAGAAAAATGTTCGTGAAGTTCCAGCCGGCTCAAGCCTGTGGTTGGCAGGTTCTTTACGAAAATACGAGACGGAGTCAGTTTTGGGTCCAGCAAGACTGGCGTGTATGGATCCATCGTCTGGAAAATACAAATTTTGGTCATATTTTCGTTAAGCTCAAATTAAAAGCTAAAATCTATATGCCTTAAATTGTGTTTTGTATGTACTTGAGAAATCCAGCAGAGTCTGCGACGTTTGGTTTATGATTGCACTGAATATACAAAAACTTCACATGCCACTTATTATTGCAAAATTATTGGAATTAAAAGCTTGAGTTGTGAGCTATGCTATTAAGTCCTCACGTCTTCTATTTATGTACTTAAAAAAGGAAAAAATTGAGAGGTTTACAAATTTGGTTCGATTTTCGCTTCAAGAATTCTTGTTTTGTTTTGCTGCCAACCTAACAAATGAGCAAATGTCATGTCAATGCCAACATGACAGTTCCATAACAAAATAAACAAAAAGCACAAACAATTTTGATCTAGAGATTATGATTTTGTGATTGAAAGCTTTGCTCATTTTGTTTTCTGATGACGGAATTTCAAGTGGTGATGGACATGGACTGTTGGAAACTGATCTGATCGACCGGACACACAAAAGTAACTTTGACCGGATCGTGGAATCAAAGACTCAAGACGGGATAATATTATGTATTATACATGAAAGGTGAGTTTTTCGTTTTATTTCCAAAAATTATGACCACTTTTCACCCCCAAAATTCACATGAAATCACATCAAATTTAATTTTTTTGGCTGCCAATTTTTGAACATATAACATGAGAAGCTCTTTTTAATGATAATTTAAATTAACTAATTTGAAACTCTGGAAACAGTCTTGAAGCCTTAAAGCCGTTAACATTTTTACGTAAGAATACTTATTACTTTTCCAGATTCTTCAATATTTTTTAGAAGAGTGATGTAATTTTTCTATACACTTTCTAGGATTCGTCACACATTTAATTTGTTTACTGAAATGGATCTGCTGAAGAATTACGGTTCGTCCGCGAGTAGCGAATCTGAAGAGGAAGAAAAAGTGGAGAAAGAAGTTGACAACAAACCCACAAGACTCGAAGTGCCGTCCAGCATAAAATCGTTATTTGGTGACGCTGGAGGACAACACCAGGATGACCCCTCTCTGCACCAAGGCCGAGTTAGAATAAAATTAATTCCATAAATTCATATTCTAATTTAATTTCATTTATAAAATTTATCAGGTTCGAGGTTTTGCTCACGAACGAGGATTGTGGGCAGGTTTGGTGAGCATCGAAGTTGGACCTCCATTGGAAGACTGGACGCGTCTATTGAATCAATTGTCTGATGTCAGTCCTTGTCCGGAACCACTTCACGTAAGCCTGAGTCGACCTTTGCAACTGCGGCATCTCTGGATCTCCTCCCTGGTGGCCGATTTGCGCAAACGTGCTTCCAAGCTCTTACATTTTGAGGTATCTGAATAAAAAAATTTATTTAAAATATTTTTAAACATTTTTCCTGCAGATAATTTTCGGAGACGTTACCGTTTTGGTGAACGAAGAGCGAACCAGGACATTTGTTTGTGTTGATGCCGTGGGCAGTGGACTGGAGACGGCCTGTTCTTTAGCAGAAGCCGCCGGTGCTGAATATCGACTGCCTCCGTATTACGAGGGCCGTCGATTCCACGTCAGCATAGGATGGGCCCTCGGAGATCAAGAGACTCGACTGAAAGCTGCCTTGGCCAATTTGGTGCTGCCCTCGCCTGCCTCCTTCGCAGTGACGCAACTGCAGCTCAAAGCTGGCAACCAGCAGTACCAAATTCCACTTCAGCATCGATAGGTGAGACAATTTAATTGGTTAAAAAGTGATAATTAAAATGAGATGAACAATAATATGCAATGAAAAAATATACTTTTTCGTAAAAAATTACATCAAAAAAATGTTTTTTAGTGGAAACAAATAATTTGTATATTATTTGCTAAATTTATGCAAAAACAAATGGATCTTTTTACATTTTAATTTTTTTTACAAAGCGTTCATAAAATAAACTTCCCTCCGAAATCTCTGAATGAAAAGTGCCAGTTTCCCGCTCAAATTCAAACCGGTCGTCTCCGTCGCTCCAGCTGGCAGAGCAAAACATTTCAAAACTCCCAAGTCGATTAAATATTTGTGAGGTGAGAAGTGACCCTTTTTCTTCCGGCAAAATGGGCAATTCGAACGTCCGGCCGCGCACTCTGAGCATCGATAATGACTTGTCCGCACCTTCCGCCGCTGCGCCTGCAACCGCCCCAAAGGTATATTTAATTTAATGACAATTTTTAACTCAGTTTATGCTCAAACAATGGTTATTTAGGCTGTGACCCCAGAACCGATCTCGGAAAGCGTCTTCGACCCTCAGGGTGACCCTTCGGCGCAACTCGAGGCTGCCCTGGCGCCGTTCAATCGAAGACTCTCTCGGGACGCCGCTGCACCCCTTCCACCCCAACTCGGCGAGCTCTCGCAATGTCTGCGAGGAAAGTCTGCAGGCCTTTACTGTCTCCAACCTGCCCATGACTTTGCAGAGGTGTCACACATCTCACCTGCCACCCCTTGATTTAGAAATTTAGAATTTAAGAAATTATCGCTGATTGTGACAATGTAAATATTTGAATAAAAAGTGTTACACTTGATCTGTTGAAATAGAAAAAAAATTCATTTTTTCATTTTAAAAAATACAAAATTGACACTTCATGGATTTATTTTATTTTAAGTTCGTTTTTAATTTCATCTTTGTAATATAATTTTATGTTTTGCTATTTATTTCTAGGATCATAAATATTGAATGCAATAAGATTATTTATAATTTTATAATTCAAAAAATTTTAAATTTTTTACTTCGAACAAAAATTAGTTATTTTATATTGCATTGCATTTTAAAGTTCATTTTATTTATTATTTCGCAGAATTTGTTTTTTTTTCTGTCTAATAGGTAAGATTTTTTATATTTATCATAATTTCAAAAGACATGAGTGTTCTCATTAGACCTCAAAATTATGTATTTGGTGTACTTAGTGCGCCTTTCCAGGTTCGGATTGAGATAATTTAACATCTTGAAGACATTTAGATCAGTTTTGTTTTTATTAAATTTTCTAAATTTTTACACTTCAACGGTAACTTTTTAAGCCTTTTGCAATGTCTGCAGGATTATTATCAATGAAAGTTGTCAGTCCATATGTATTGTAAAATTAAATTTACATCAGGTCGCGACGACGTTACTTACTTTTAGACGTTGGAATATAATTAACGGCGCGAGAGAGCGGATTTGAAATGCAAACATCACAAGTCGGGGCCCCGCGTCGTCAAGGCGAAAAAAAAATAATGCGTTTAGTTATGTTATGGGTTAGTTCAGAAGAGGCCCCGCTTCGAAACGGGAGCAAATTTATACGCTTTCAGCAAAGGGAAGATGTCCTGCATTGTTTGGCGCGTCCTCAACAAAAAGTGCAGCAAGGCGCGGCAACTCCTCAGAAATGGTCTTCAAATCGCTCATTTTGTCAGTGTGAATATTCTTTTGCGTCTAATTTAATTTATCGCTAATAAATTAAATTTCAAAGGGTCTGAATCGTGTAATATAGGGGTTGATCTCCCGCAGTTTTTTTCATCTTCCCCAATACTTTTGATTTACGTCCGGTTCGTGATTGCACTTTGAGCATTAGTTATGAAATTCGCGAGGAGAAAAATAATTTATTGCCACTTTTATTGCTGGTTTTGTTTGTGCCGAGGGAGGGGATTGCACGTGCACTCGGGGGGTGCACGTGTCGCCCCTCCAAATACAAACACTCGTCTCTTGACCGCGGCACAATAAAAAGCATCTTGATTTATGCATCCCTTTAATTATTTCTTTTTTATTCGAATTCTCTTTTTTTTTCTCCCCAAAAGAGTGAAACGTTTTGCGTTGAGATTTGAGGACGAGTCAAAATTTTATCTGCGCGGCGGCTGGGAACGCAAATAGAGCGAAGGGGTTGTTGTAAATTATTTGGAGGCGCCGACAAGCGCGCAAACACTTTTATCTCTCGGCATGAAAAAGTGACGTCAGCGCACTGCATCTCGCTCTCAAAAGTGCGGCCTCTCTCAGTACCAATTGTTGCGCCTCGGGGCTCTTTATTAATTGAGGGTTTCGATTTTAATTGAGCCAAAATTCGGACTTTTAAGGTTTTATGCTGATAGTGCAAAACTTTGATTAGGATTTAAAAAAAAAAATACTTTTGTTAACAGGCATGTGTGGTGCAATTGGAGCAGAGGCGGCGCTGCCTCTTGCCAGCCGTAGATGCACCCCCAAAGAAGCCCGCAGCACCCCCGAAAAAGGTAAAATCGGTTTAAAAAAAATCGTAATTGTTGTAATTATAAAATTATGCAACAACTTCAATGAAAATTGAAAATTCGGAGGGAAATATGAAGTTATTTTAATTCTAACGTGGAAGAAATTTATATTTTAAATCATAATTTATTAAAATTGCTATCAAACAAATTAATTTAAAAGTGTTAATAATTTCTTAATAATTGAATAGTTTTTTAAATAACAAGAGGCTTTATTTTTTTTAATAATATCAGAGTTTTATTACAACATCGGACAACATCAAATTTTTTATCACTTGAGTGAGTTGTCAAGTAAATTTGACATAAAAAGTTTACAAGTTATGTAATATTTATTCAAAGTGATAATTTTGTATGTGATAAAAAGGCGGTTCCTGTTGCATTCCTTGTTTGCAATTCCACAATCCAGATTAGCTTCAATATTCTCACAAGATATGATCGCAATTTATGAGTCATTATGCGAAAACTCATGAAATAAATTCCATTTATCAAAAGCGCAAGTTGCAAATTGGCGCCGAGGAAAGCGAGTGGATCCAATTATAAAATCGAAAAAGATAATGAATTTGCGGAAGGCGGCGCTTTTCTTTCATATATTTTGCGCGCCGATTTGATTAAATATTTTCCCCTTGCTTTGTTTGCGTTGAGAAGAACAAAAGGAGAGTGTGGGAGCGACACTGCGCACGAGAGCCGCTCTCAGAGAAAGCAGCAAAAGTCTCTGTAGCCCTTTTATCTCGGCCCGATCGAAATGTGAAACCGATCATGCAGATGAATCGCCGCGCCGAGAGTCGTGATCGCACAATGCATCTCGCCAAATGCCAGCGACGCGACTTATTATATATATTTTTCATATTTTGACCCGCGCGTTTGCAAGGCGACCGATTTTCGAATCGATTTCACGCGCCATCTGCTGCAATAATTCTTTCTCGTCAAACCAAATCCGCCAATTTTTTTGGCTATTCTACGAAATTTGTTCTATTTATTATATATTATTTTATAGATAAAAGTTAACATAATCGATTCACTTGCAAGCTCTACTTTCTAAATTTGTTCTTTAGATATTTTATCAAATTAAAATAACAAGTTCTGCATTTTGTTCCAATTTATGCGTCAACCCCCTACTTAAGCTTAAAAGCTTTGAAGCACCCCCTTTTGTCACGGGGTTTTCAGCAATGCCAATTATGATTTATTAGCTCCATATCCTGATCCTGCTCTTAGCCAGAAATCAGAAAGAACTTCCGATTTGGCAAATCAAAAGCATTATTGTTTGGTGCAACAATGACGTATTATGCGATCTTCTTTCCAGAGCTTTTTGCATCTGTTATTCATTTGAGCAATTGCTCGTCTCTCTCTTTTATGATTTCAGGATTTGGCTGATCTCCTTTCATCGTACTTGGCGCCGTTTTTCGCATTTTACGACGCACTTGAGCCTGTTCTGGAGGCGGAGGCGCGAATTTTGTGTAAAACTCATTTCGGGGGAGATCTGGATGCATTTGAAACCCTTTTTCTGCGGCCTGCCGCACAACTTCTCCATCAGAAACCAAAGGTAAGTAAATTTTCTCTAAGTTGTTTGGATGCATATTATGTTTTTTAAACATGATTTGGTAATATTGGTAGGACAGAAAATAATATTTAAGATAAGAAGTTATAATAGAAGTAATTTAAAATTAATTAATATCGACAAAAAAAACGCTAAGATTCATACAAAAATTACATTATTTATAGAAACAAATATTTTTTAATTTAATTTAAAAGTCTTCTTAATCTATTAAGAATGGTAAAATTAAGGTCATGAGCATAATTATTTTTGAAAATAATCACTAAACACATACAGAAGCCAGGGAGGTACTTCGAAATTAATTTTCAATTCAACTTCAACCAATTTTAAGAGAAACCACAAACCTATTAATTTTAAAATTTAAAAAGAAATGTATTAGTTTTTCATTTTTTTAGAGCTAAAAATATTAAAAATAGATTTTGAAAATTTAAATTTTAACTTGCAATTCATAAAAAAAAATTAAATGACAAATTGATTTATCATTTTATTAATAAAAATTAAAATAATATATATTTAAAAAAAGTATTAAACCAACAATGAACAAATAAAATAATTTTGCGAAAATATTTTAAACTTGAAAAAAAATATTGACAAAAATTTGAAGATTTTATTAATATTTAAGCTTCTTTTTTCTATGGTTTAGAATCATTCATTATAAAATGAAGAATTTTATTATTTAAATTCTGTACACGCTTAAATTACTACAGGATTTAGTAAAAATATTTTCTTCGAAGTTCTTTACATAATCAGAGAACTTCTTATAAGTTTTTAAGATTTTTAGAAATAACATTCTTAAGGAACACTATTTTATTATTTTTTTCGGGTACTCTTTTCAAGTTGCACACTCGAGATCATTTGTCAATGGTCACATTGTTGAAAGATGTTTTGACTCGCGAGGCGGCATCTGTTCCGCGCGACTTCTGGGAGTATCAGATGAAGAAGTAAAAGGGTTATGAGAGAGTTAGGATAGAAAATTAAGAACGCAGCACTCCCCTAGACCTTTGGTTTGCTCTAGGGGCGTTTTCGCCTTTTGTTTGCCCTGGTGCGCGTTTGCTCTCCTCCGCAGGCCAAACAAACACGGAATTAAAAGCACACTCGCGTAATAATAAAAGAGAAGAAGAATAAAAAGCGCCTCTCAAACACGCCAGGCTGTGTGATAAACAAATAATAAATTTGTGCTCCGAGAGTGCAGCGAAAGAATGTCTCGGATACTTTACGGCTTTTTAATTCATTCAAGAATCTCTTCGTGTATTTTTTCTCTGTCCAGCCTCAACCGCGGTGACGCTCGGGTGGTCTCCTTTATATTTTTTCCGTGATTTCGATCTTGCGCCTATTTATTTATATTCGTCTCCGGACCTCTTTTCTTTTTAAAGAGACATCGATGCACTTGTAAACTCGTCCTCTTGATTCCCCTTCGTCTCGTCTCCGGCCCGAAATTTATTTTATTCAAATTGAGCACGCGCATAAATCTGTCCCCAAAATGAAAATTAACGACGTCGGCCCTTAATTGCTTCCCTCTAGACATGCATCTTTTGTTTTTCTTCTTTCTCCTTTTTATCTCCAATCTTCTTATTTGTTTTACAACAAGATCGTCATGCAATTTTAATTTTTTTCATCGTACTTGTCCTTTGCAAAATTAAGTGCGGGCTGGGCGCAACAAATGTCTGTGAGAGCGAAACGAAACGCGCCTCTTCCGCCCGCATATTATACAAACTCGCCGGGCCGCCCTCATCAACTCCAATTTGAGCCCCTTTCTTTTCTTAATATGGGCCACCAGCAGGCCACCCCCGACGAGTGAATTTTTCTCACACACGCTCCCAAGATCGAATAAAAAATTTAAACTGACACGGCTCAAATGTTAAACTTCCTTATTTATCTAATTTAATTCAATTTGATAATAAATTTTTCAGAACAAGAGGCTGAGTATTTTGTCTTTTGTTTGCGCAGACTGATAATGAAAGACATAAATTTCGCTCTTTTGGGGTTGCTGGGTCAGCAGGGGAGGAAGCGTGATGCCGACCGCAATCAACCCCCAACCGCTTTGCAATATTTGCATAATTTTGTTTATTTTTCCTCCTCGATTGAGAGTTTGCTGAATCTGATTGATTTCTCGTCGGGACTGCACTAGGCAGGTGGAAATAAAAGTTAACCCCACCTTATTTTTGAGGGCGAGTAATTATTTCCACCCCCACGTGCGCGCACCCCGTGTAATTGAAGCCTGTATTGTTTGCAATCAAAGCTTTCAGAATTATAAAAGCCTTTTTGATCACAAACTGTTCATTTTCTCTATTGTTGGCACAAAAGCAGCGTGCCCAATTAAGCCATTATATATTTGCCAATGTGGGGGTGAAAATTTTACAACCTGCAATCAACTCGACAGAGCTTATTAATCACGACTTCAAGTAGCTCTAATTTGACTTTTTTATCTCTATATGGAGAGATTTTCCACTTTTATTTTAATTTAGATCCTCCCCGTTGATAAATCTCCCGGATCGGGGCGTCAGATTGATGGTGTCCGTATAATGCAGGTATCTCCTCTCCTGGATGAAAACCTTCTTCTTCTCAGGGAACGAAAAGTTAATTGAGCGATGATTTGTGTTTTCTTCTCTATTTCCACGGCGACGAGCGGCTGTCAATTAAATTAATTGAACGCGCGGCCAATCAAAGGGAAAAGAACACTGCAGCGGCCGAGATGAAAAACAATTCTTTTTTATATGCATCGAGGCGAGGGAGGAAAGGAATTTTAGCCTGCGCCTCTTCTCAGAGTTAAGAGGAATATATTAAAAAAGCATTATCTTGATTACACGGTGAGGAAATTAAGGAGAAATTATTTAGCAAAATTTATATACATATTTTTTTTTTAATTGATAAAACCGATGGAGATGATAATAATTTTTATTTATAAATAATTCCAGATTTGAACAATTTCAACCTTTTGCGTTCAGTTCACAATTGTCTTATATGAATTGTAAAAAAAAAAAAATTTATTATAAATTATTATTTCAACTTTAAATAATTTATTAAATTTATTTTTCTTTTTTTAATATATTTGTTTATTATTTATTTATAAATTTTCTTTTTTTTACCTTTTGATCATAATAAATTTTCCTCACAAAGTATATCTCATGTGCAATCACAGGCAAGAAAAAAATTGTATATTTATCCAAATCACTACATTTGGTAACAAAATACTTGATTCAAAACTCAATTATTTAATCTTTGCTGTGGTCCCTGGTTCTGAAATTTAAATTACCCATTTTCCCTCATCACCGATTCATTTTAATTTCAAATAATTTTTATTAAAATATCACAGAAGCAATCGCCGCCCATATCGAGAAACATTGATCGCAATTCCAAAGTAATTACATTTTATTCACATAAATTAAGAGAGTAAAAATCATGTATCTTTAAACTTAGTAGCAAATTTATTGCGCGGTTTTTTAGGTTTTCTCAGACTTAATGCTGTAAAATAATCGAGAAATTTGAGATTTTTATGTTTATTTTGGAGTGAAAGAAGCTTTTCTTATCTTCTTGATTTGAGTTGTTTTTTTATTGGAAACAAACGCGGCTCCTTGTTGTGAATGAACCGAGAAAGGAATTCGAGAGGAGGGGAGCGCGCGAGGGGAGGGGTCGTCGGCGCAAGTGGTGCTGGTGGCGGCCAGACAGTTGTCGGCCGGCGGCCAAAACACGGTCCTCGCGAACTCGGTGCGGCTCGATCAAAGGGAGAACGAATCGCGTGCGAGAAATCAGTGGATTGCCAATTCGGGAGCGAACAACAGTGCGAGAGTGAAAAGTGTGCGAAGGAGCAAAAAGATCAGGTGAGAAAGAAAAAAAACTTTGTTTTCGCTAATTGAGCGTCCACCGGGGAAAATAATAGAAACCGTTTAGTCGAGCAATTAAATCTCGGCAATAATTAATTTCTGGGAACGATTCTAAGGTGGACCATATAGAAAAAGAAAGAATGCGGTTGTGAAATTTGTGTAAATTATTTTTTCTTTCAAAGTTGATTGACCTGGCGAAGAAAAATTATAAGTTTTTTTTATGAATGACGGATTATAAATAATAATAATTCATAAATTTTAATTGCTGCACATGAAGATGAACGACCGTGTTTGGATGTTTTCAATTGTCGGAGCGTCTCTCTCGGAGTTTCCGTCTCCGTTGTTATTATTTAACACACGGGCCGCGTGCATTTATTACGAACGCAGGCGGCGATTAATTAAACGATTTGATTTATTCCCAGGTGCACGCGGGGAAAATGAAATAAAGAAAAAAACTAACGCTGCTGAGCCAGCGAGCGAGCGGCAACATACAAAAGTAACAGTACCCTCCGTTGCTGGCCAGGGAACGCGTATTATACATAAACGTGCACACACGAGGAATAGGCTCCTCTAGCTCGGATTTTGCTTTCGCAGCATCTGCGACGAGGAGTCGTATTATTGTTTTTGAAATCTTCTGCTTACACTTTGTTAACGTTGCACGCCACATGAGTTTATTCTAACTGATGTAATTTTTCAGTTAAAAATTTGAAACTAAAGTTGTGCAATTAATTCAAAACCAATTAATGAAATAAGCGTTCAAACAAAATTACAATTAAGCAGCGGGAAATTAACTTTGATTAATTTAAATTTTGCTTTAACTCCATTGCAAACGAGTAGGTGGTACAAATATTATACTACGTTGTAGAAAGTGTAGAAGCAATAAAGATTGAATTGAATTAAAATTTCAAATCTTTTAAATAATGGACGTTAAGACTTTGGGTTTGGGGTCAATTTCAATATAAAATTGAAACTGGAATTAACCTCATTGAAACATTTAAAAGAATAAGAGCAATATTGTTTCAAAATTGAACAATTTTATTTATTTTTTTAATCCTGCCATTCTCCCTTTATTTGAAATTTTTTTAGTATTTATTACACAAGAAAGCTTAAAGGTTTTCAACTACAAGTATGGCCATTTTTTTTTAAACAAGTATCAATTTTTTTAAATTGTTTTCTTTTTTTTTTAAACCTTGAATAATTTCAGTAGTTTCAATTTATATATTTTCTGTTATAAGCAAAATTTAATATAGTTTAAATGCTATTTTCTCTTTTTTACAAACATTGAATTCGTTTTTTTAAGAGAGCTTCTACGTGAATTACTGAAGCTTTGCAAAAAAGACAAATAAGATACTTTTGCCAGTGTTTCAAATTTGAAACAAAATCCAATTTTCCAGAAGCAGAAATTGCTTATATACTTTCTGGAAGACTGAAATTTTCTAAAATAAACTCATCAGTTTGGTATACAACAGCAATACAATGGTCAAGATTGATTTCGCCTAATTCCAAAGTTCATCATTTGACCTGGTGTTTCACGTTCTCATTTTTTTTTTAAAGTAAACAATGTGATCATAAAAATTGGACGAATGAAAACGAAATTCTCAAATGCTCGGAAGCACGTTTTGAAAAATAATGCAACCTGCTGGACACGCTTTTTAGAATTTGCATAAATTGCTTAAAATATTGCTTGATTTCTAATTCTTTTTTCTTATACCAAATCCTTAGTTAGGTCAAACTGTTCTATTTAAATCTTGAGCCAAATGGATCAAGACACGTTAATTTGGTGGTCCAGACCTGTCAGAAATCAGACAGTTTTTTAGAGTTGAGTAAAAAAAATCTGACAGAAAATTTCCATAATTGTTTGCCTGCATCAGGTAAAGTGCGCCTACGCAAATTTTTCCAATGCTCCGAAGCGAAACGAGGTGTTTTTTCCATCAAGAAGCGTCCATTATGTCATCGGCGCATAAATTCATTTGCATGCGAGGCAATTAAACGAGAAGAAGTCCATTGTTTGTCGCCGCCGCATGAGATCACATGTATGCAATTTCATTGTTGGCTGCTGCTGAGTGCACTTTGAAGTCGTGGGCGATTTTTCTTTCCTTTTTTAAATTCCCTCACGTCCCCCTTTTCAAGAGCTAGAGCAATAAATAAATAAATAAAATTTTCAATAAGCCTCGCGTCTCTAAAACAAAATTCGACGAGCTCGGCTGCGCAGGTTAATTGGCCACGAAACGAGGGAAAATCGAATCGACGAGGCGCGGGTCAATTCGCGGACATATTTATGAAAGAGTCGCTTCCTGTTTCCGGCGGCGCTTTATCCCTTTATGATTGATTTATTGTTGATTGCGCAATTGCGCATACTTGCACATCTCTTCTCCTTGCCTGCGATCTTTCACGGAGAGGAGTAGAGAATTCCTTATCTCTTGCGTCTAATCAACAAACTCGCCAAGCTTGTAACTGTTCCTACGGAATAAATTAAAACAGCAGCTTTTTTATGGTTTTATATTAATTATCATAAATAACGTAGGCAGCATTGTTTTTAATAATATAAAATCATTCTATTAATATTTATTAAATTATAACAAATAAAATTTGGAACACAATTGCAAATATCATGAGAACAAAATGCAAAACATTTGTTATGTAACAATATGTACTAAAATGCCGTTTTTTTTTCAAGTAAATTAACATCATGAAAGTGGTGAGGATATTTAAAAATTTAATGTCACACATATATCATAACCTTTCCAATTAAGGAATCCCCCGATCGACCATTTTTGTGAAATCATTAATTATGTTTTAGAATTGTTTAATAGTTATACGTTTTATAAATTCCAATTTCTATTTTATTCCTTATTTATATTTTGTTTATGCTAAACGAGAAAGTTTGCATCATGTAAATAAATTAATTTTTTAAATTTATAAAAATTATAAATTAAAATGTTTTAAATAAGAAACAAAATTAAAGCAAAAATTATAAAATATAATTTTAAATATAAAATGCATAATTACTTGTTTTATATGTTACAAATTTTTCATTTATGTTTATTCTTCCAGACTGTTACAAACATTTTACATTGACAGATAGGAAAAATATTTGTTGAGATGGAAATTTTTATGATCTCTGTAAGGCAAATTTTACTCTAACCACTGAAGATTCAGAAGACCCCATCCGCCTCAGTCGCCCCTCACTCCTCACTTTCGGTGTCTTAAAAAAGTCTGTTCAGGGAATACAAATGAATTAATTAATTTTATCTCACATTTCTATATATATTTTTCTTTTATGAAATGAAAATCGAGCAATTCTTAATTTGTTTATACCAAAATATTATGTATTTATTTTCAAATTTATCATTTTTTTAGCATGGATTTTACATGAAATTTTGCTACAGAGGAAATTCAGTTTCAAAAAACTCAAATCTTAGTTCAATCTTTAAAAAAATTTTAAAATTACATTTCTTTTTTCCTCAAAAAGTTACAAGTTCTCTACAAGATTTGAGTTTTCAATCTGCATCCTGAAACAGCTTTCGAAAGATTTTGATTATTTTCCATCGCTCGTGTTGGTTTATTGGTCTTTGAACTTATTATTTGTTAATAGATCGCGTGCACAAACCTGACTCACAAAACGGCTCGGCATGCGAACGAAAACAAAACAATTTCAAAAGTGTGTAGGTGATGAAATTGTGTTTCTTCCTCTTGGCGTGCGCGTTTTTGTTTTTACGAAGGAAATTCGGTTTGGAAGATGCATCTGGCCGGAAGCGAAAAAAGACGAGATGCACTTTTGACTCTCACGAGAAGTCTCAAATTCGCCCCAGCTGCACGTCGTCTCAGCTTGAAAATCTCCACTCGCGCGCGTTATGGTTTATTTCGGAAATTGGGTCGTTAGGAGGAATTTGTTTGCTTGAAATCTTTCTACTTGTTCTGTCGAAACGACCGATAAGAGGAAACGAGCGATAAAATTATTTGAGCTTTGGCTGGCGCAATAATAACTAAGAGAGAACTCTTGCATCTTCTTCCTTTCGGTTTGTTTACATTTGCAGTCAATAAAAGCCAGCAGAGCGAAATCGAGTCGTAATAGAAAACCAGCGTCGTGTGCGATTTTTATTGGAGTTGAACGACCGAAACTGCTGCTTCTGGAGGAATTTTTCGATCCGGTGGACAAAGGAGATTTATTTGTTTTCTCTTTTGTTGGTCACTCGGTCTTGCTTGTCCGTCCGGAATAAATTATAACTTTTTTCGCCGAAGAAAGCACGAGACAGAGAGAGAAACGAGTTTTCCGGAGAGATTTGATTTGGTTTAATCCACTTTTGGTTCGCTTTTCTCTCTATTCATTTGACGGACGAAAAGCAAACAGAGAAGATGCAATTGAAAAGATCCGCCCCCGCACGTGGGAAGGGAGCTTTCCTTCTTTGTCTGTTGATTTGTTTGATCAGCTGCAGTTGAGCATCGAGTAAATTGACTTCGTGTGCACCTGATTTCAATCAACGGGTCGAATTTCACTCCAGACCGCACCGAGTGCTGAAAAAAAAACGAAATTCTTCTTTGTTGTCGAACGAGATTAATAAAAGCAGAGAGACTGACAGATGCTTTTCAATTAAAGAAGAAGCTAAAGCGCGTGTGTGTCTGATTGATATGGAATTTCTGAAAGTGGTACAAATTATTTGTGAGAGGTGCAAATTCCAAAGAAGAAGACAACATTTTTCCTTTTCAAATTTATGCAGAAATGTTGTTTAAATTGGATTACGTTCATTCTGTATGTTTTTATTTGGTAAAAAATACGAAAGAAATTTTATTTTCTAAATTTTCTCATCAATTATTCATCAAATTAATTAATCAATTCAATTGATATAATGGCGTGGTTGAAGTTCGAAGGGATTCATCTCTAGGAGAGAGATAACTCAATTTTATTTCACTTTCAATTCTGCCTAGATTGCAATTTGAAACATTTTTATTTCATCACACCTCAAAACCTTAAGAGGAACAGATTATATAAAATTAAACTCAAAATTGTTAATTATAATATTTACTAATTATCACAAAACTTTATTTGATGACTTTTCAAAACGAGAGACATTTCGATCCATTTAAATAATTAATTTGAATGAATTTCAGAATTATTTATAAAATTTCTATAGGTGTTTCTAATTTATTTTTTGTTGATATCAAATTTTGAAACATAATAATTATTTATTCTATATTTTAAATAATTCATATGAGCAAATCTTATTTTAAAAACTTAAAAAAAATTCACCATTCATTTCATTTCAATAATAATTAACTTTAAATCCTTTGAATATGTTGCATAAATATTGCAATTTCTTTAAGTAAATTAAGTTATTTTCACCAACTTGAACCATTTTATTGTTGTGATTTCAGTGGTTGGCGCCGCTGGAAGCCACTCTTGGCGGCGTCGCAGTCATTTTGGTGCACATCGGTGAGGCTCCGGACGCGAGTTTCGCGACCGGCGCCCTTCACTGCTGCCTCCGGCCTTCTTCCTTCGGGGGCGTGGAGGCGTCGCTCACGTGGCGGGGGCCGCTCGGGCAGCTGCGGAGGCGGCCCGCCGGCCCCCTCGCTCCCATGACGGCCCCGACCGACTCGGCCGTCCTGCTCGTCGCCGCGTCCGGCTCTGCGGGAAACGTGGCAATCCGTCCGGCGCCGCTGCACCTCTTGGAGCGCATCCCGCACATCGACTCGGACGACGACGAGCCGCCCCCGCATACGCCACCTCCACCGCCTCAAAATACGGGTAAGTCTTTACCGAAACAATATTATGTGTCAATGGAAAACTGCATTTTTTTTTAGTTTTTTGTAAACACTTTTTCGGCACGATTTAAAAAAAAAAATCTTTTTTATCTTTTTTACTCTACGATTTTCTTTAAGTTGAAGAAACTGATTTTGTAGGTTTATACACGGAATGATAATAATCACAATGCAAATAGATGTGTAATAATTGAATTTCACGCGGGATTTTCTATTTGGTGTTGTGCTTGGGTTAAATACAAATTATTCTTTTTATATTCGGATCTTTTTAAACTTATATTTCCCTATTTGAGTATCTTATCAATAGATTAACTTTTAAAGTAAACAAATTAATAGCAAAAAGTAATAACTTTTAATAAATATCCACTTGAAATTAATAATAATAACTAATCTTTAAAGAAATATATGTATATTTTTGTTTAATTTTATTATTTTTTAAATAAAAAAATAAATATTGTCATTTGTGTTATTTATAAGATTAAAACTTTTTAAATTATTTATTATACTATAAAAGTAATTATAACTAACAATAAGTTTTCATTCACGTTTGCAACATTAATTAATTTTCCTAAAATGTAAATGCGTTCTTCCTATCACGCTTTGGGTTTAATGAAATTAAGATGTAATTATTATATTGATACTTCAGATTATATTATCCAACGAAAAGATCTCATTGACAGGTTATCCATTTACTAACACTGTATAAGTTGGCCATACATGTGTTCTTTTAAATATTTATATAGAAATTTAATTTTTAAAATTTGTAAACTTACATTTGTTTCCTTCTTTAACTCAAATTCATCACTTTTTGGTATCTTATTGATAAATCTTCTTAAAAACTAAACCAAAAATAAATATATTTGATAAATTTTGACGGTAATAATTCATCTTCTTTTCTTTAAATAAAACAAAATTATCTAAAATTCGGTTTCAAATTTAAAAACATTTAGTTCAAAGAGGATTATTTACTTTACTTTTTTATTCAGATAAAGTTAAACGTTTTTAAATTAACTTTTATGCCATAACAATCATTATAATTAATATAAAATTTGATTTCAAATTCACAACTTAAACTCTTCAATAGTTTGTTTCCAAAGATATTTTTCTGAAATTCAGATGTTATTTCAATTCCAATCCACCAGATTAAATTTCGTAACGAAAGGATCGTAAATTGGCAGGTCGTGTATACATTATTTACAAATACTTATAAAGGAGAGCCATCTGTGCGATGGACGCATTGAAAGCGCGCGGCTCTGCGCATTATGCATTCATCTGGGCTCAAAAATGTAATTAATAGAAAAATCGCGCGGCTGCATTTGAATACAATTGCAGTGCGTCGGAATGATCTCGCACCGAAAGAAAGAAAGACCTGGCGCTGGAGAAAGAGATGCAGAGAAATGAAAATGAGCGGCTCGATTTCTCTCTCGCTGCTCATTGTGCACAACAAGAAAAAGAAAGAGAAGCGGCCGAGCTCTTCTTTTCGTGATTAATTGGCCGCCCGACTCCCAGGCGGATCGAATTTCGCGTTGCTAACTCGCCACGCTAATTGCCTCGGAAGATTCAATTTGACGCAGAATTGCACGCAGCTGACGTCTGCGCAATGCTCCGGGGAAAAAATAAAACTTAATTTTGGCGCTTCTGAGAAGAAAAAAAATACGAACCGTGAAGTATTTGTTTCATCCATAATTCATGAGTTGTGCCGCGGAGGAAGTTTTATTTGATGAATTATTTTTCCACTCGAAATTTATCTCGATCGTGCGTGATGGATATGGATGGACGTGTACGGCTGTTTGGGATTCGGGAGCCGCCCTTCCTGGCCAGACGAAAAAGGCCCCGAGAGCATCCCTCTCGCAATAGGGGGTGAGATTTGGAGACGAGTGTGCTCGGGAACGCCTGCTACGGAAGCGATTTTTACAGTTGACTATTAATAACAAAACACAAATCGCACCCTCGTCTGGAGTTTTAAAATAAGCTGATTATCTCCCAGATCAGGAATTAAATTAATTTTTAAATCTTTCTAATAATTATCTTGTAAATTTATTTTTAAAAACGAAATACACCAAACTTTTTTTTCTATTTTATTTATCTTTTTTTACCGATCAATGATGAAAAAAATAAAAAGCAACTTTAAACAAAATAAAATTGAAATTTTCAGAATTAATTATTTTAAGAGAGAATTTATCTTACAATAAATATCATCAATATATACAAAAAAAAATTTAAATCTCCATTTTTTTAAATAGTAATTTTCCTGATATTTTTATATACTTCAATTATAAAACTACATTAAAAGCAAAATTAATCTCTTTCTCCGTTGGAGATATCGTGGGACTTTTTCCTCCTTCAGCACCGTGCGTTGAATTCCCCTGCTGCGGCGGATGGCGTATCCGTATTAATTTTGCTCGTTCGCGAATTGAAATTCTCGTGCGCGACTTCCTTTGCTTGTTCGCTTCTTCAATGAATCGATCCGCGTGCGTGACTCACACGTGGACGCTGCAAAAACGCGCGGCGCCTCTTTGTGCTGAATGAGTGACCTTCAATGACCATATTTATTTTGCAGGCGACGACCAGCCGCCCCCTGCAGCCCCAACAGCCGCCTCTCAGCTGCCTGCAGGACTGCTCAGCTCGGGCTTCTTTGCACTCGCAGGTAAAATTTTCATCTTATTCTGCTTTGTACTCATTAAAAACGTGTGTTTTTATATTTAAATTAACTTTTGGAAAAAAAATGTTAAATTAATCTCCAAGTTTAAATTTTATGGAAGTTTACAGTAGAATGGTTTGTTTTAAACTTTATGGAAAAAAACATAGCATGCAACCCATCTTATCATTCTATCTGGTCCAAGTTATTATTATTATTTATTATTTGTTTTTTTAATTTTTGATGCAATATGCTTATTATTTGAAATATTGAAACTGGAATTCTGGTTGCCAAGAGAAAAAATAAAAGAACATCTGACCCTTAAAATCGACCTGCTGACCTTAAAAAACCTAAGATTTTGTCGAAGGAAATTTATTTATAAATAAAAATTAAAAATTTAGAGAATTTTATTTAATATATGAATTTTTTATTTTGAAGAATAAATAAATGGAATTAATCAATATATAAAATAAAATAAAAATACAGAAGTGCGGCAGATTATTGTGATTTTGCCAGAAAATATTTTCAGTTTATTGCCCTGGAAAATTCTGGCTTTTTGTAAGTCACAATATGTAGGTATTTTCTGACTCAGTTGCTCAATTAATTTCTGCATGTTTTATTTATTAAATTAAATTCTTCCAATTTTATTTTTAATTTTTACAAGTTCCTCCCACTTAATAGTTTGGACATGATAAAACTTTGGGTTTTAACAGTACCAGCACATTGCTTTAGGGTCAAATATCATATAATTTTTTTCGTTTTTACTTTCAATTTTTCATGAAATACACCACAATGCACTACATTAGTTATTATTGAAAAATGATTTCAAATTATTAATTTAATTCCATTTTATAACATTTTAATTTTTATATGTATATTGTTCCTGAATAGAGTCTTAGTCAAATATCTTTACTGGTAAAATGTTGCAGCGATATTTTTTATTAATTATCAAAACTTCAGGCTTAAAAGTTGAAACTATTGTTATCTTAAAAATTTAAATATGTGCCTTGAAAAAAGAGCAGTAAATTTTGCATAAAAACCTATTTAAAAAGAAAAATTAAAAATATAATTAAAAACTAAATTTAAAGCAAAATAATTAAATATTATTTTAAATAACCTATATTTAAAGAAGTTGTATAATTTTTTTTAAAGAAACTGCAGGCTCAAGAAACCCACAACGGAGTAAACGTTCGAAACGCGCACAATATTATCAAAACAACTAACAATCAGACCCTCATCGTTAGTGCGCGTTTGTACAATTGTTTTTATAAACACACGAGAAGTGAGCAATTAGCCGAAACACACATTACGCGAAGGGGGTTGCCGTGGTTTTGTTTGCCGCCCGCACCCGTGATTAGGGACTGAACAAAACTCTCTATTCATTTATTACTTTTCTTCTATGCATGCGTAATTTTTCTGCACGGCCGCCCTCAAAAGGAAATGAAAAGTCTCTCTGTGTCCTTAATTCGCCGGACCGAGCCAAGATCTCGTCAATTATTGAAAAGCTTTCGTTTCTATTCTTTTGATTTCGTCTCCATTTCGATTTTCTCCGTTCATATATGTTATTTTTTCTATTATTGCTCGGCGCATTGATAATGGCAAATCGGCGTGGCGAATGCGACCGGGGCACGCGCGAGGTCACCTCGGGTCACCGGGGCGCCTGATTTCTCCCACGACATATATGAGAAATAATGAAAAATGACATTTTCTGTTATTTTCCAGACACGGAGGACTGCGAAGGCGCCGCCGTCGTGGTCGCCGGCGGCTCCCGCGAACCCTATCCTGCCCCTCGCCAAGCCGGCCAACTTCTGACCTACCTAGCTTTGCTCGTCGAGAGGTTTGTATTCATTAATTAATTGCTCATTAATTTTGCAGTTTAAATTTATTTGAAGAAAGAAAATTTTTAATTGGAAAAAATATAAGGACCTAAAATAGCTAAAAGATTTACTAATTAATTAATTTACTTTGCAAGAAAATCGCTAAAGTTATTATTTTATTAGCAAAACATCCATATTTTTGCTTTTAATTCAAAAGAAATTATGCTTTTATGTCTGTTTAATATACAATTTTTTACTGATCTGATTCTATTTTTTTTTTTCTAAATTAAATTTTTGTTAAGCGATTTTTTTTTAATCTCTACACGTTTTTAATTTACTTGAGAGGGCAGAAAATAATTAGAGTCACCAAAAATTGATCTTTATTTAATATTGTTTTATGTTATTTATTGTTAAATCCATTTTATTTAAAAATTTTGAATTATTTTTACTATTTAATTTCAAGATTTCATCATAAAAATACCGTACAATATTGTTATGTATTTTATTGTTCAAATAAAATTAATGATAACATCGATTAATTTTAATCAGGCTGATAATATTACAATTTTATTTGAATTCTGCCTCAGGGGTTCGGCAAAGTGACCCTGGATAGGGCCGTATTTGCCTATGCAGTCACAAGCTTAATTATTTAAACTGTGAAATTTTATTAAATTATTTATCATTAATCATTACGATGCATGTTATTTTGATGAAACTTACAATATGATAAAAAATTGTCAAATTTATAAATTAGTTCTCATTATTAAAATTTTTTCCAATGCAATAATTATTTTTATTATTTTCATTCATTGAATTTTGAATAAATTATCTGTGACACTAAAAACACTTTCACGAATTTCCCCAGGAGATGGAAATTTGAAGATAATGAGAGCAATCCACCCCCACTCACCCTTTATGTGCCACGGTTGGAGTCGACGGCGGTGCTCGACCTGATCGATCGCTCGTTGTTTGCCGCTCAGGTATGTTTTCGTTCGTGCAACAGAGGTCTTTGGCCTTCTCCTTTTTGTGTTTGACGGACGCGAAGGGCGACTTTTCCCAACTCATTATTCGAACTCGTAATTTATGCGCTGATAAAGATCTTTCAAGAAGAAGATCGGAATTTTGAAAGCTGTAAGATTTTCAAGATTTCGGCCCCCGGGCCGCCCGGCGCATCTTTTTTTAATGAGCCGTAATTTGTGACCGGTGGCCGCGCATTCTAATCAGATCGAGCTTTCCCTTTTTATTGAAAAAATACATAAACGATGCTGTTCACATGAATGACTTGACGCCTTTTTGACAAATGCGCAGGGATACGGAACTCGTGTCGAGAGGGTGGTTGTCAGACGTCAGCCTGGAGGAGCTCCGGCCAAATCGAGGAGAATTCTGCCAATTAGCAAAGTCAAGGTAATTATTCTTTACAAAATATGAAAGAAAAATTTTATAGATAACATTTTTTTTCTTTCATCACAAATTACTTTTGTGTTGCAGGAGAAATTTTTATCATCCTTTTCGAACAAAATAAACTCTTTAAAACTAACCAACAAATAAAACTTTCCAATCTTTCCATTCATTCTTTTTATTATTATTATTCATTTCTTTTTTTTTAATCAAAGTGAAAAACTTTTGATAATTTTGTTATAATGTTTGCGTGTTTTCTTGCAGTTGCATGTTGTTGGAGGCGACGGATCAGCCCTGCGTCGATTCTTCCCCGACGGTTCGCCCCCAGTTCCTGCCTACCCTGAGCGTCCGCACCTGTGGGCGCAACTGCTGCAGGTGAGCGAGATTCTCATCCCCTTAATTTTATCTCCTGAGAAAGCAAACACATTCTCCTTTTAGCTTTTAATGTTTCCTCGTAAAGTTTAGGGAGATATTAAAAATAAAGAAAGAGGATTATCTCTCTTTGTTCTTTCTACAAAGTCTTTGTTCTTTCCAGGAGGCGGAGGAGGTGGAGGCGGCGTGTTCGGGGGCGGACCGCCTCCAGACGGCCTCCGAATTGCAACAGCGGCTGTCCCAGATCGAGCTCAGGGCCCAGAACGAAGCCTGTCCCTTCCTGAGGTAATTAAAAAAATACTTCAGAAATTTCAACTTGCAGCAGCTGAGCGCACGTGTGCACTTGTTGTTGTGATGATTGTTGCTCGAGATCAAGTGCAACAATTAAATGCTGCGCCGGCAGCTGCTGCTGAAGCGTCTTTTATTTCCCACTTCCTCTCGAGCGCCGGCAGTCGAGACTCGGCTCTCGAGGAGAAACAAAGTAGACTTGACTCTGTTGTGAATAAGCTCACCTTGTTCTTCTTCTTTCCCAGGATTGGCCTCAAGAGAGCGGCCGCCGCCGTGGCCGCCGTCAGACAGGCAGAACGGCCAGAGGCCGTAAAGAGACTACAACAGGTTGGTGATAAAACTTCAAAGTTTTGCATAAAAAAAATTATTAAACAGTAAAAAAAAAGATTGAAACTTCCAGTAAATTCTATACTTTTTTATTAAAATATATATTACTTAAAAAAATGTGATTTTAAACCAATTTTTAGAAATTTGTCACATTCTTTTATTGATTTTAATACGTAAATTGAAATTTTGTTAAGAAAAACAATTGGGAAAAGCCAAAAACGTTATAATATAATTTTTAATTTCATCTAAAAATTTTATTTTAAACAAACTTCTCAGATGATTTTTCTGATATTAAATATGAATCATTAAATTTTAAATTTATTCCATTTTTAACAAATTCAAAATAATTTTGAATTATTATCTATTTTCAACCAAAATTTTCTCAACGATTTATTTCAGTTCAATATTATTGTCTATACCTGCCATCAAAATTTTTTTAAAAATTGTGCGCTTGAAAAGTCCTTGGGTGCGTTTTCCGTGACCTCCGAGTCAATTATCATTGTTGAGGCGAACCATAATTATTGGTCGCTTCTGGGAATCTCTCTGTAAGATTCCCTTTTGTCTACCTGTCTGTCCGTAAACCCCGTCACAATACGTTTTTTTTTCTGTTTCACTTTCGTTTTCCTTCTCAATGCTGCAACTACCCTGAACGAATCGCGCGAATAGCCAAAGAGGTGCGAACGAAGAAGAGTTAAAATAATTTACGACGACGGCGGCGAGGAATTTTTATTTCCTCTCTCGGCAGAGAAATAGTTTTACGGGCGCAATAAACTCGCCTTTTTTCCCGCGAGGAGGGAAAAAGAAGTCGACGCACGCACATACAAAGGGACATGAATTTATTATAAATAAGAAAATGCGTTTGCTTTATGACGGAGGAAGTTGCGGACGTTTTTCTCTTCCACCAGCTCTCCCCGGGAAAATATTTAATGAATATATCATTTTATGGACAAGCAATCCCGATTCGATTGTGCGCGCACTGAGAAGAAGAGATTTATTTTCAACTCTCTGTGAATAGAAGAATTGCGCACGAAAAATTTTAATGATCAATTCTAGGAAAATTTGAACCAGACAAAGACTAAATGTACTCTTTTAGAATAACAATACGCTTGATTCTTAAATTTTAAACAGAGGGACTTGGATTTATTCTCACGGTATCACATTTATAAAAATTATTTTCTGATTTAATTTTCTTGATTTAACGAAATTGATTGAATATTAAAAATATTCTTTAAAAAATGTATTTAAATGCAGAATTTTTGCGTTTAATATGGATAATTCAGGAGCTAATTTTAATTTGACATTACAAGAAATTACTGGCAACAAATTTTACTCTAGAAAAGATGACTTAATTGGATTGGATTAATGTGTTGTCGGAGAAATTTTTAATTGATTTCAATCTGGCAAGTTTTGAGCAAAATTGTATTTTAAAAAATTCCCTTTAGGAGAAATTTTTATTTTCAAAATTCATCCCTAAAAATTTATTTAATTTATTATTTTTAAATATTAAAAATACTAATATTATTGTTATAATTATGTAATTATTATAAATTATAAGTATTTTAAAAAATGACAAAATAAAAATTAGCGGGTAAAAAAATTATCAATGATTTAAATTTATGCACATTTTTTTTCTTCTAAAATCCCCCTCTTATCTAAAGTGGAATTTCTCTATAATAAAATAAACTTTTTATTTAATTGATTCATAAACAAAGTGAAACTGAACGAGATGATGTAGTCGCGGTCTAAATTTATATAAAAATGAAACGTAACACTTGGGGCGACAATTATTTCTCTTCTTCCTTTCATTCATCCACAATCTATCGAGGGATCTCTCGATTATTAGGCCAATTAAAAACCGCCAGTCATGTTATATTGAAAACCTTTGTCCTCTCCGCGGGGATATTATATTATAAAATATAAATTTGGCTAATTTGCAGTGAATGAAAGCGCGTGTATAATTACATTTTTCGGCGGCAATTAGTTTGATTGATTTGCATTTTTTTCACTTTCGACGACGGAATCTCGCCGCCGGCCAAAGAGAGAACGTCGAAATTAAAAACGAATCGCGCTAATTGTCCTCTTCTTTGCACGCGCGGCGATCCCCGTCCCAAAGTTGCATCTGGAGGAAGAACTCGCAGGCCATCTGCGTTTGGTCCTCGAGAGGCCGCGCGCGGTGGTCGAGAAATGAAAACACTCGTAATTGGGGCGGCGAATGGAAAACAGACGCCGCCGCCGTAAAAATAAACAATCGGGTGCATTTTTATTTCGGATGCACTCAAAATGCACCGACCAAGAGAGATACGAGCACCCCTTCTTCCCGCGACGCCCGTGCCAACAAATACACACGAGAAAAATTAAGACGAAGCTCACTTTGAACCGAGCTTGTAATAAAATTTGAGCGATAAAAAGAAGGCGCGTGAAGAGGCATAATTTATCAATGGGATATTTTAAATGCATCCTCGGAACGTCTCTTAATTTATGCATGTTTCATAAAATGATCAAAGGCGCGACACAAATTTAATTATGAGGGGGAAAATGCTGCTTTGTTGTTATTTATGTTGAGGAAAGGTTTTATGTGAAAATCTGGTTTATTTAAAATATCCATCGATGGTGGAAAACAAATTATTGTAAAAAAAATCATTCATGATGAACATGCATATATTTCTTTGTAAATTCATTTGCATTTTCTGTTCTTAGATTTAAGGTCTTTGCAGGCTCTTGGCGTTTTATTAAATAAATCTTCAATTTAAAACAAAAATCCGTTTTATGTTTGAAGAAATTGACACTCGAGGAGATGATTATGAAAAAGAGATCTTTTCCTCGTTGTAAAATTTATTTTTATTCAAAAACAAAAAGGCTCTACCAGTTTTGGTCACGGTCTGCAACCCTATTTTATATGGTAGAAAATACATTAAATCAGAAAAATTGAAAAAACACCACATTTTTGCATCAAGGAAAAGCCCAATCACTTCCTTTAATTCCAAGAATTTATGGCCAATTTAATGAAAAACTGGGTCTTTTTACTTCAGAATTTAGGATTATTTACATGAGCTATTAAATTTGTAATAAAAAGTAGTTAAATATTTATTTAGTAATGTATTTTATCAGATTCATTTATAATGCTGCAGTGAAGTTTTATTAATTTTCAACATAACTGAATTAAGAAAATTAAAATTGATTTAAAAAAACAACCCTGGAACTGTTTTACTTTTAACGACACTAACAACTAGTTCAAGAATAATTTATTAAGTTTATTATAAATATTAATTTAATTTTTTAGATTGACAAATTTATATTAACAAAGTAATTATTAAATACTTGTTAATTTTGTATTTTTTTTAATTTTACAATTTAGCTCAGAAGTATTAGTGTTTCAAATGATTTAATGGCAAAATTATACAAAATTTTATCCCAAACTAATTTTATAATGAAATTTCAATTTTTTTTCTTTTTTATATGATTGTTTAATTTTAAGCTCTGCAATAAATTTACTGTTCCAGGAATTGTCATGGTTTGACAGCGAAGGTGAAAGGTCACTGGCAGACCTTTTGGCCGCTGCTGAGGGACCACCAGAAGGGCCTCCGGACCCTCTCGGCGGAAACCGATTCCACCTGCTCTACCTCGAAGCCCTGGTGAGTAAAATCTTTATTATATTCACAGACCCTGAGCTCAGGTCGCGGCAGGTGCCGCCACCTGACGACGAACCTGCCGAAGCCCAGTAACCCAGAAATACGCATTCTTTCCTTTTCATGCCGATTGTGCATTACATTATATTATAGTGAATGCTGCACTTGTCGTTGGAATTTCTCTGCCACTCTCGCGCGTCCAAGGCGAACAGGCAGTTTCAATTTATTATCTTTTTATAATGTACATTTTCCGCCCGCGCCACACTCCTCGCACCAGAGCAGAGGCGAAAACAAAAGCGTCGAGTTGCGAGATTCCAAGGAATGGAATATTATATTTAAAATGAAAAGAGAGACGCGCGTCTGCAGAATCCGCTTACGGTGCTCATTTTCTGCAGAGCCAAATGAACTACTGTTTTAAATTTTGCGTGATAAGTAATGTGACTAATATGTGCGTGAAGGTATGAAAAACAATTTTATTAAGGAATAAAAGATCCTCGAGCTTAAATGAGAACGACAACAATATAAAATAAAAATTTAAAAATTTGTTCTCATCTTTGAAGTCCGTTTGATTTTTTTCATTTGCTCAAAAATTCACAAAGAAAAATTAATTCATTCTCATTCACAATACTTGGGACTGATAAAACAACTGTTTTGGATAATTCGCATAAAAAATTAAAAGATTTAAATTCAAAATTTAGAGTATTCCTGGATATGTCGAAAGATTTAAATGAATTTTTTTTACAGAAATCCAATTTCCATGTTTGCAAAATTTGGTAAACTTTTTCATATAAAAATTTACTGTCAAGTTAAAGATTATTTTTGAAAATATCTTCTTTTAAGAACATTCTATTTAAAATATCAAGGGCAAATCTGTCTTTTTTCTTCACATTTGCAAAAAGTGTAAAAATATCTCAATATTTTATTTTAAATTTTATTTTAAATAAAAATTGTATTCATCAGTCTATTATAAATCAATAGCTCGAAATTTAAAATAAAATTTATTCATGCAGTTTAAGTAACTTTGACTCTGCAATTTTCTTGTCCCACTTTATTATTTGTACACATACATTTTTAAAGACCATTTCCATCCTATAAGTGCCTATAAATTATTCGATTAATCTCACTTTTTTTAATGAAAATTTAACTTACATTTTCGGAACAGATTAAGAAGAATTAAAAAAAAAATGCCCCAAAGAAGATTCAGCAAAAAAATGTAGGATGAGGAATTTGTACTTTGAAACAAAAAATGTATCAATTTTATTATAATAAATTAATGTTTTTTTTAAAAAACACATAATATACATCTTATACTTATTAAAAGTAATTGTTAGCAATAAATCAACGGCGAGGTGATCTAGTTTTGTTTTTGAGACCGGAGAAAAACAATTAAGAATTTGTGAGGAATGCTTTTGATAAAACACCGCACGATGCACCACAAAAAATGTCATTCTTGACAGTTAATTTTTTATTGTTGCGGAGAGAGAATAGAAGAGAAAAATGCGTTCCAGTTTTCGAGTCTGGTGCGTGACTCTTGTACATATTCCGATCGCGTCGTCCGTCGCCAAACGAAAATAAATATACAAGCGAAGGTCGTGACTGCCGAAAATCAGCGCAAGCCAATTACTAATTTCTTCATTATACCCGTTTTCTTTTCGTGAGAAGAGAGACTGACAAACAAAGGGAAATTCGTTGCCGCTACTGTGCTGATGTGGGAAGAGCAATTTTATTATGATCTGCCGAAAACCGTTTTTAAAATTGAAGTTTCAAAAACGGTGCTACACATTATTATATGACAAAGTCGGTTGCGCAACGAAATCCGAGATTCATTTGCGCTCCGTCGTGCTGAAAACGAGATCGCGCGCTCATTAGTGAATAATACTCTCATTGCACGTTTTATGTAGGAGAAAAAATCCTACTGAGCAAACTGGTTTCACAGCACACCTGCGCCATACCCTTTTGCATAACAAATTGAATCAAATTTATTCATAATATTTGGGCTATTTCCTCATATTTTAGCTCAAGCGTTGAAAGGAATAAAATAACATTTTGATCAAAGGAATTTATTTAGAACATTTCAATTCATTTACAATTATTTGTTTCAAGCGAATCTGCAATTAATTTATGATGCAAGAAAAAGGTGATTTATTAAAGGCTGCTAATTTTTTTCTACTAAATTTCCCAATCAATGTAATTAATTTCCTGGAAATAATTAATTCTGACTATATTTTTTATTAAAACAAAACATTTTAATTCCACCTTTTTTCAGTTTTTAATTAATGTTGTAAGTTCATAACATCCTGAATTACTTCAAATAATTTCTGATTTTCTTAAATTGACAAAAATATGAAACATACTACATAATTATGGCTTCATTATCTATTTAAAATGAGATGATATCATAATTTATATTTATTAAAAAGTATGCAAATTTATGATGTAATTTAATACAAATAAAATTAAATCGAATTAATAAAATAAAATAATATTATAATTAATGAAACAAAGAATAAAACATAAATAAATTGAAAAGAATTGAAAATAAATATTTTTATTTCATATTTTACTAAAACGTTTGTCGTTTGATTTGTGCTTATAATTAAAAATAAAATTCATGTCATGGACATCCTTTTTTTAAACTTTAAGTTAAAATTTCATCATTTTTCTATTCTTTCTTCTAAATACTTTTCTTGGAACTTTCATCAGGTTTACCTAATCCGATTAATACGGGATTAGCTAATTTTTACTACAAACACGCGCAGAAAGTTGAGGCAAAAAATCTAATACGATTCTTTAGGTTTACGAGCTGAAAGTTTTGCCAGCGCAGAGAGATGAAAACTGGTCCTTTGCTGCGAACGACGTGATAATTGGCCAAAACTTGTTCTTAAAATGAACGTTTCCGCCGCTGTCAGCAGCAGACACAAAGCAATGAGAGAAAAACTTTCTTTTGCCCTTAAGTGAGTTGATTATGCCAAATTTGGAACCGTGTCTAATTGCGAAAATGCAAATTAATAGCAAAACAAACATACATTTAATATCAATTAAAAAATAATGCAAAGTAAAGTCGCAATTTTTATTTGTAAAAGTTATAAAATTGTCAAGTTTAAGGTAGTTTAATTGTATTATTATTATTATTTATACTGTACGTTGATAGAAAAAGCAATAATTGTTGGAAAGGATTGGAAACTTTGATTTTTTTGTACAAAAATGCAGCAAAAGATATTTTGCTATAACTTCTGGAGATAAATTTTTAATATAAATTTGATTCTGTTCTTTAAAGGATAGAAGAGAGAAGCACATTTACTGAAATTTATGTATACGTAGCAAGTTTTAGAACAATAATAATTTCTCTCTTATTTTCAAAATTCTTTTCTAAAAATTATTTAGCTTTTGGTCGAAGCCTCGGAATTTAATAATAAAAATAATTAAAATTAATTAATAAAAAAAACTGTAAATGAAAAGTGAACAAATCTGAATCCACGGAAGTGACTTGAACGCCTGCTAATAACAAGCATCGCGACTTTATTAGTGTTTTATTTTCGATCGAAAACCGCTGCAAGGGAGAAAGTGCGCGCGCAGCTCTCGGAGTCGAGGGCCGCCGCTTTCCTCCTCGCAGTCGCAGTTTGTTTTCGGCCGCCGTCGCGAGAACAGTGAGAAGGTCTATCAAAATCGGCACCGCACGGGGCGGAAAATGGGAAAGTTCGGCTAGTGCATGAGCACCGAGGAAAATCCGTAGCGATGGACGTGGCCGCCGAGGAGGGCGAGGGGCGGGGGTGCCGCCTCGTGCGCGTCACGCCCCTGGCGCGCGGCCGCCCCCGAGCCGCCCCCGCTCCTCAGCCGCCCCACCGAACCCGAAGGGCGCTTTCTGCACACTCAAGGGCGCAACAGGTAGAGTGAAATTTTCTAAATTATTTAAACTCACTTTAAATGTAATAAAATTAAAATTATTATTTAGTTTTCATTCGATTGAGCACTGAATTTGCGTTAAATATTTATTTTCTTTTTAATCAATTTCAACAAACTTTAAATATAAAATAAATATACTTTTTACCTTCCAATTCATGATGCAGCCTTATTAATTTTGCAATTAGTGTTGATGAAAGTCTATGCCATACATTTTATTTAAAAAAAATCTTCAAATCAAAAATTTCTAGAATGCAAAAATATTTACAATTTAATAAAGTCATATTAATAAGACTATAAATACTATAATATGAAAATTAATTTATCATGTAAATAATTTTTATTTATAAATTAGTTAAAATACACTTTAATAAAAGGATACAAATTTCAAATAAGAACAAATACAAACGTTAAATTAAGGACAAGGAACAATTATTGTCAAGGTTTGCGTTGGGTGTTGCATAAAAAGATCTAAATTTGAATCCCACAGTCTCATCAATATTCATCCGGCATTTCAGGCTAGCTTTTGCTGTGCACCAGTTGATTTGATTCTTTTATTATATTCGCAATTATCGAGTCTGCTGACCAAACTGGTCGCGAGCCTCTGCATGCTGATTTGAAATTTTATTCAAGGTTGGCAGGGCAGGCGGAGACGCCGAGCAAAAAAGGCGAAGGCTTCCTCTTGGGCGCGTGGGAATCGAAATCGTAATAAATAATAAAATAATAATAATTCATGAGAGTCCGTTTCCTCCGAGCCGCGACTTTTCGACCCAAAAGCGTGCTGGCCGCGGAAATGGGAATAATTGGCAAGCAACGCGCGCTCCGTACAGTTAGTCATTAAATCTATCGTTATAGTTGGAAAGGAACAAACACGCGGGCATGTCATTCTTTGGCGTGGCCACTCATCGAAATGCGAACCGCGTGGCACACCCGACCACCTCCAAATTGGGCAGAATTGTGAAAAAATTAAATAGTCAAACGTGCCAATTGGAATTTCGTAATTCATTTTTTTTCTAATACTTTTAGGTTGCTAAATTTAAATTGGTCCTGGATTCAATTTGCTTTAGAATTTCTAAAAGGATGACAAACTAAATAATTTAAATTGA